CCAACACAGCATGAGACACGTACAGAGGAGAGAAGGAGGCTGAGAGGATAGAAGGATGGATGGATGGAAGGAGGGAGGAAGAGACAGGGAGGATGGTGTGTATGTGTGTTTGTCAGTGAATGTGTGTGTGTGTGTGTGCGTGTGTGTGCGCGTGCGCAAAAAAGCCTGGATAGCAGTGTGTCAGGAGTGCTGTCACTCACTCATCCATCCATCTGGCTAATTGGCTCCTTACCCTCTCTCTCTCTCTCTCTCTCTTTTTCTCTTTCTCTCCTTCTCTCGCTCACTCTCCCTGCTTGCCTCCCTCTCTTCCCTACCTCTCTTCCTCCCCTCCCCTCCCTCGCTTGCCCTCTCTCTCTCCCTCCATCAGGCGTTGCTCCTAACTGCGCGCCGGAGGCCAAAATGCAGATGAGCTCTGCCTCGCGTCAGGGGGAGCTTCTGCTCTGCTTAATTATCTGAGTGTGTGTGTATGTGTGTGTGTGTGTGTGTGTGTTCGAGAGAGTGAGAGTGTGTTTGTGAGTGAGAGAGAGAGAGAGTGAGAGAGTTAGCTTATAAGCTCACCGGCCCACACACACTCACAGAAACACACACGTACCATTCAAGCTGCTGCTGCTTCTCCTGCTGCTGTTGCTGCTATGCTAAACAGCAAGGCATCCTGGGAATTGCAGTGACAGCTCATTTTGGTTTTTTCGCAGTCTATGTATGAAAGCTGCTGAGAGACAACCCTTCCCTCCCCCCTTTTTCCTCCCCTCACAAACACATACACGCACACCAAACCCTCCATCTTTCCCCCCACTGTGCTCATGGGAACGGGTCCGGGGCCTGTCACTAACCCCCCTCCCCTCCCCTCTCTCCCCTCATCGCCGCGGTGACAGGGCTTGTTGACAAACGCCAGCAGTCATCAGGGCACCATGGGAAATCTTCTGCCACCATTTTGTCAGCAGAATGACAGAAGTTGTTAATGTCTCGCCTCTCGCCCTGACACGAGACGCCGGGGCTGACAGACTCTGACACGCGCCGTACACACACACACTCACCTTAGTGTGCACACTGACACAAATGTCATGCTCCATTCTGACACAAACACACACCTCCACGCACGCACACACATACACTCACCATTTATGTCCACATTTCGTGCACAACACCAATCCTTCACTCTGCCCTTATCTCCCTCAACTAAATCAGCAAGTGTGTGTGTGCGTGTGTGTGTGTGAGTGTGTGTGTGTACGTGTCATCTGACAACTAGATGTGTATGGATGTTTAGTGTGTATGACTCCAGAGTGTTAATGAGGATACGTCTATGAGTGTGTACGGCTCCTAATGAGTACTACTCTCCTGTTTGTGTGTGTGTGTGTGTGTGTGTGTGTGTGTGTGTGTGTGTGTGTGTGTAAACAGTGCCTTAGCTCTTGTTATGGATGCGGCAGCGTATGCGTCTGATCAATAACATTTACAATCCCGACAGGAGATCGAGCCTGGCGGACAACCCTAACTGACCGTTATGAGAACATGATGAACTCCGGACAGAGCACACACACACACACACACACACACACACACACACACACACACACACACACACACACACACACACAGATACATATGGGCAGCTTCTCTGGACAGCCAATTACCGTTCCTCATAATCCACTTGCTGCACACATACTTGCTGTACAACCTCCACATGTCTACTTGTATCTTTGTGTGTTTAAATAAGTGTGTGTGTGTGTGTGTTGCTGAGGATACAAAAGTTCCCACTAGTAACCACCAAGATCCTCGTCTTAAGCACACAGGCCCCCTGATCAGATCAGCACAGGTAGTTTAGCACATTTGGCTGCCTCTGTTAGAAACAGAAGTGTTTTATGAGGTCAAGATACGGGGGGATGTGTTTATAACATGGTTTAAAGTGTGAACTCCAAGTCCACCAGGAGGGAGAGATATGGCTCAACTGAACAAGCAGTGAGAGCACATTGTGACCTTGTGGCTTAGTTGAGAAAGAGATCATATTTAAGCAAGTTTTGGGTTTGTTTTGACATTAGACCTGAGCTTCAACAAGGAAAAGTGCTGCTACTTCCCTGATTTACCTGTTGGTGTGTGTGTACCATGCAGCCAATTAGCTGAGCAGCACAAACCCAGACAGGTGAAGAAAAGACGTAAAAAAAAGACAAAACTTTCCTATCCTTAAAAACTTCTATGAGAAAAAGTTGTTTTAGCAGGGCATTGTCTTTCACATGATCTGAAACCTACCCCTGCCAATAGATCTTGATTTTTTAAAATAACTACACAGAAAAAGTCGCTCTCATTTTTTATGGCCTTGTTTGCCTCTTAGTTCATAAACAGATATCACTATTAATTGAAGTCTGTTTCACAACCTGCTAAAAGCTCCTCATGGGAGCTTTAATGACAGATATAAGGCATTAATGTTGATTTTAACCCCAAACATTGACTGAAAAAAAGCTACTTCAGTGTTTAAAACTGACAAAGAACCTCTGCACTAGCCTCACTTTGCTCCTATCAGGCTTACATTGTTGATGTCCTCTATTTACTGTGATTGCTCCGGTTTGTTCAAAATTTTTGAGTTCATGTTGTGTTACATTCAACCGTAAAACATGTGAAACACATTTAAGATAGAATAAGCATAAATGAGTAGCAGTCGACTGCTACAGTCGACCTCTATCCATCAGGTCACAGGATCCTGTGATCTGATGGATGCAAGTCTGACACTTTTTTGGGAATCTTGGATGTCCCTTCACATGTACTCACCTAGCTTGTTATTGGAGTGCAGCATGTTGGATATCTAGGAGTCACTATACCGTTAAATATTATATATTTATGCAAGACAGTAGTATCACTCATATAGAATAGAACATTTCTTGTTCTAACTTTGTTTACCTGCCAAAAAACATTTCAGATTTTTTATTTCGATGAAGTTCTTGATAGAAGACAAGACTCTCTGTATTGTTCATTTCCCTGATTGTACCGGAAATGACCCGAACTGTGATTTTTGTGTTACACTCCTACTTGGTATGTTTAATGAAATACCAGTCTGGCCACCCCTCAGAAAGGTCTAGCTGTGCCCCTGTCTTCATGAGTTCAGCCTTCTAGAAATTTCTGTGGTCAAATTTTATATAAAGCTAACTTTAAATTGATAAAAACGTGATCATTTTATAAAACTTTATAGTCAATTAAATCCTGGTCCTGAGTTTCCTGAAGCGTTTTTATTACAGGTCTGTGGATCCACCAGGCTACAGTATAGTGAGTACAAACTTGTTAACGCCCCACATACAGAGGCACACGCACGTGCGCACACTGAGCGCGCGGAGCAGGTGGAAGAAGCGCGAGTCAAGTGCAGCTTTCAGCAGGTGCGCCCCGCGTGAGCCCAGATAGGACGAGATGAAAGACACCGCTACACACCTACTCTCTCTCCCTCACTCACTCCCCCTCCGCGTGAACACCCCTCGCCCACCCCACCCCATCCCGTACCCTCCCCGCTTCCCCGCGCGCTCGGTGAGGTAGATTTGTAGTGACAGCAGCGGGTGCATTCGCCAGTCATTCCCCATAAAAGGTTCCGTGTGATCAAAGCCCCGCAGAGGCAGCGAGAGGCGGGGAGGCGGCCCGCTATGTCGGCGTGTGTCTGCGTGTCTCCGGTGTCTCGCAGGGTTGAGGCGGTTTTTGAAGCTTTAAAAACACAAAAACCCCTCTCTGTCTCTCTCCCTGCTATTTACATTCGAGCTCCGTTTTGCCTCGGCAGTAAAACATTGGTTTTATTCCCTCCGCCTGTAGCCTGCGTGCGCGTCTGTGACTGTGACAGGCTTGGCTGCATTAATCAACTCTTCCCGCTCCTTAAACTGGAAGAATTAAATCTTTAAATACATTTTAAACGGAAGTGTCTGACTGAAGTTATGTTAACAAGCCTCAAACCTGAAGTGCGCGGTGGTGATGAGCAGAGCAGACTCCCCGGTGAGCGCTGAGGGGAGCGCGCGCACCAAAGAAGAAGAGAGGCAATGTGTTGATATAAATTTACCCATCCGCTGTCAATTACGCAAACATTTTGGCGGGTGTAAAAGTTCGCTTTCCTCCACAATGAGAACACTCAATATAAGAAGTGCGCAAGTTTTTCCATATTCATGTTGTTTTAAATCACTAGGAAGCACGTGCATCCTTCTTTTACCTCCTCATTAACATCAGTCGTCCCGTCAGAAGCAGACAGTCTTATTCACCATCAATTAAGCGCACAGGAATCCAGAGCCATCCACTGCTGACATATCCTGGTGCACACAGAGGCCGGGATGCAAATGCGCAAATATTTTGGCAATGCAAATTTGGAAATCAGTTAAAGAGTAGACTACACAACTCCCCCTTTCCCCAAATTCACGGTTATTGTTGTTCTTATCAGCAGCACAAAGCTGTCTATACATTGATCTTGCTCCCCTGCAATAGTTGCAATCCCTACTGAATTAAACATAACCCATCAACGCTGCTTGAAGTTTTGGTCCAAGCATCAAGGAGCTTCAATCAGCAGAGAGGAGTTAAAGCCTAAAAGCTGGGGAGACAAGGGAAAAACAACATTTTAGAGCTGTTTTTGTGATTGTTATTCAATTTTAGGCTGGTAACTAGAAATAATACTATTTGATTAGAATTTTTCTTCATACGTGAAACATCAAACTTTGTTAAACTGTTGCTGAAAAAATATATATATATATATTTTCAACCTTATATCAGTTATAAACTGTGAACCAAGATTTACTGCACAAACATTTCATTAAACATTTTAGATAATACAAAAACTTATCAAGCACATGGCATAAAGTTTCATCCTGGGAGATCTTTTTATTTGTGAAATGTTTTTAAATTAAATTTTTTTTTCCTGATTATTTTAGTGAACTGTTTAAGAGTTTTACAAAAAAAATCAGATTTCATTTGTGAATCTTTTTGGATTTTGTCACTTTTTTGGGATTTTTTTTTCATGTCATGTACTTAAGCTCCTTTGGGGAACCTTTCAGCACTTTTTTTTTCTTTTGTGAAACATTTTCACGTATATTTTTTGAATCGTGAAATGTGTCTATTTTTTATTGCATTTCATTAAATATTCCTGTAAATTGTGAAATGTTTGTGCATTTCATACAATACTCATTATTTGCCATCATTGAGATTCTTAGTTCTGTGTACTTATGCATTTGGGGGATGTTTTTGGTATATTAATTTTGGTGGATTTTTGAAATACTTTTGCATTTTATAATAATATCTTGCATTAATACATTTATTTGTTTTGCATTTATTTTTGGGATATCATGAAGTATTTTAGTGTTTGGTGCCTTGATTTGGGTTTAAAAATATTTTTGTGAAGTGAAATATTTTTGTGTTGATTAAACATTTGATCAGTTGCCCTCAAGGGCCACCACAGTTTACCCCTCCAACAGACAGGAGTAAGATCCGTAAATCTGAGATAAGGTAAAAGGTGCAACTATTACTGAGCCAGTCAGTCAAATCTGATCGAACAAAACAATAAAAGACATATTAAACTTTGACAAAGTTTAATATGTGATTGCCTGAGTGAACAAAACATGATGTAGAATAAATTCAAATATGCACCACTTCTATAACCCAACGGTATTTTGATTATTTTTATAAAACAGGAAGAGATTTTTGATACCAAACTGTTATTTCCATCACTGTGAAGTTGCAGTTCTGTGTTTTTGTTCCTGAATAAATCTCAACATTTAAAAAAAAACTTTTGGTTAAGGTTACTCACAGGCGTGTTAAAGTGGGGGGCCAGAAAACATTTTCAACGGCCAAATGTGCCCCTTGAAAAAAGGTTCAGGGATCACATTTGTGTAAAAAAAAAAAAGAAAAAAAAGAAAAGAAAGAAAGAGTAGTTCAGAGGTTCAAAAGGAAGGGCAAACTCAAAAAAGAGCTCTAGTGTGATATTACTATCACACCCTTTAATTCCAACAGTTTGTTAGAAAAAACATATTACAGCACATATAAACATTTGGATCACTCCCCCTCCTGCGAGTCTTAAAATTCAGCTATGTTACATTTTGACTCAGTAATGATGCTGACTTAGTTAAACCTTTTAGTCCAGAAAAAAATCAAAGGCAACACTCCTTGACAACATTCAGTGATAATTTTACATCCTGTAAGCAGAAGCTGAATTTACACGAGATTCTCTAAAAACGCTCACAAACTGCATGACTCTCCTCTCATCAAGGCAAAGTGGTGCTAATATGTACACTTGGTTGTCTGGATATTAGCGTGCAAAGAGTCGTCATGTCATGATGAAATCTGAAGATTTGTGTCACAGGTGATGTTTTTGTTTACTGGGGGTACGCCTCGATCACCATGGCATGACCCTAGAGAACACAAGAGAGCAAGACTGTCAGAAAAAACATGCAAATAAGATTTTATTGAAATTTTCAAAAGTTAAGATAAACAAAGAATCTAGACGCTCAAAATAACACCTGAGCTGTGCAGAAAGTGCTGTTTTCATACCTCAAACTCATGTAAAATATCTGTAATTAGGTTTAAAGGGAGTTATTTCTTGTATGATTCATCTTCAATATGCACTGGCTGCTTGATTACCTGTCCTCCAGCAGCACATGCAGCCACCAGTCCGTACTGTCCTCCCTCCTTCTTCAGCCGGTGTGCCACTGTGGTCACCAACCTGCAGCCTGTGGCACCAAACGGGTGACCCAGAGACAGAGAGCCACCCCACAGGTTGAACTTCTCCATAGGAGGAGTTCCCACCTACAGAAACAAAAATAATTTCAGTATTACCTTTTATAACACAGAGGATTAGGAGATCTAAAAAAAGAGAAATAACCACACCAAAATGATACACACATTTTATCATCATCCAACTTTGCTGTTAATAATATACTTAGTATGCAAGTAACAGAGTGTTTTATGCATCCAAAGCTAGTCAGCTGCCGTCTTTACCTTTGATTGCCTGCCCAAGTACGTCTGGCCAAACCAGTCTGAATCCATAGCCTTCAGATTTGCCATTATCTGACCCTGGAAAATCAAGCACAACATTTTAACAGTTACCATAGATACCAGACATTAAGTGTAAGTTACAAACTTAAACCAAGACAAGAGAAATGGCGAAATCCTTGCTGAGGTGTTCAGGTAACATGGACTTCTACTGGATAAGAGATCATCATGGTATATATGGTGTCATGATTGATTGAAAATGTAATCTGTTTCAGTCTGAGTGTTTGAGGGCTTCAAAAACTTTTAAATTTGCTCAGGGAGCTTGTCCACCCACAGTGACATTCTTAGATTGCTCCTCTTGGTCTACAAAAAAACTTTTGAAAAGGCAGCTACTTAGATAAATCTATTAATTCAAGGGTGATAATTTAATGAAAAAATACAACTCCAACTCCAAAAAATTTAAGAACCTGAAATGTTTATATGAACAGATTTTGATGGTTTGTGCATCATTTAAATCCTATATTTGAATGACAGCAGTGTTAAGACAACAATCAAATGCTGATACTGATTAAAGTTCTGGTTGTATTTAAACTTTATTTTTCTTTCATGATTTCAAGTTTGATGCTTGTTTCTAAAAAGATGGAGCAGAGAAAAAAAAACTGAAAATTACAAAAAACTGCTGTCTCTTTTCTGCTCTAAAACAGTTATTGTATTAAATTGCAAGAAATTTGGACTAGAATCATCTTTAGTTCAAAGGATCATTAAAATCAGAGAATCTGGGGGAAGTCTCTGAAAAAATTGTACATGGCCCAAAGACTGCTGACAATGGCTGTTGTTGTTGCTGTTGTTACTGCTGTCCCCTGTCTCTCTCTCACCCTCGTTCTCTACTCGCTCTCCCTTCCCCTCCCTCTCCTTACTCATTCTCTCTCTCCTTCCCCTTATCTTGTTCTCTCTCTCTCTCTCTCTCTCTCTCTCTCTCTCTCTCTCTCTCTCTCTCCTCTCTCTCCCTCCATCTCTCTACATTCCTCCCCAACCCAGCAGCGGCATGGTGGCTGTCTGGCATGAGTCGGGTCCTGCCCAAGGTTTCTGCCTGTTAAAAGGAAGTTTTTCCTTGCCACTGCTACTCATGTTAGTTGAGATGGGCCAAAACCCATCTTAGGTTGGTTCTTGATCATCAAACTATGAGCGTGGTCTAGACCCGCTCTTGTTCTTTGAAAAGCGTCTTGGGCTGACGACTGTTGTGAATTGGCGCTATATAAATAAAATTTGATTGATTGATTGATTGACAATGGCTCTTATCTACAGGCTCTCAGGCAGCACTACATTAAAGTCAGGCATGACTCTGTAGTGGAAATCACCCCATGACCTTAAAATTACATGAGACTTTTATAAAGGACTTTACATCTATTTCTTTGCTAGTCCACACATGTGAAGCTCTGTTTGTGTTGTTTTTGGTGACTCCTCTGTACAAACTGGTTTGGTCTTTTTCACTGAAGTAGTTAACTCTGACAAACAATTTGATCCTGACTGCTATGAATCTTTGCTACCAAAGAAGTTAAAAGGCCCTTTCAGCAGCTTGTTGTTTGACACCTACTGAGCTGCAGCAATTCCACACATCAAAATTAAATATTTTAAAAAGTCAGCTTTCTTTTTAATGACCGTGTTTGCATTTTCAGCTCATTAAGAGGCTTCAATGTTAGTTTCAGTCTGTTTTTTTATTTTTTTTTCACCATCTGAGTAGTTTCGGAGTTAAAATGTGTTGTGATAACTTACAGCAAATGCCTCGTGGAACTCAAAGACGTCAATGTCGTTCAAAGTCAAACCAGCCCGCTCAAGAACTTTTGGTGTGGCATACGTTGGCCTGCATGAGTCAAAAATGATCACAGTAAGAAGACAAAAACAGATGTTTTTTCTACTCACATGTAACCAGACAAAGAACCTACCAGGCAGTCAAAAACTCAGAGAGGGACTCACCCCAAAAGCAGCTGATCTTTGGGGTCCTGGGACACGTAGACAAAGTCTCTGCCGGGATGAAAACATGATATAATGAGCACTTCCACTCTAAGATCACTGCTGAGGATGCTGTAAGAAACAGCGAGTGTGCAGATACCTGAGGTAGGCTTTGGGCTTGTAACCCATAGCCAAAGCTTTCTCTTCAGACATGATGAGCACAGCAGAGGCACCGTCAGTCTGACAACACACAAAACAGGCAGTTCACTTATAGCCAGAGTGGTTTATAAGAGGCGACAGTGTTTCAACTTGAGAGTCAAATCAGTTCAAATAGATGGAGGGGAGATATTTTGAGCAGGGCAACACATTTTGTTTGATAACTGAGCTGGAAAAGTTACCCAGAAAAGTTCATTAAGAGGTGCAAATACGACAGATTCAAAAATGTGAAGCTAAAGTTGTCGTCTGAACAGGAAGAGACATCCTCAATCAGATCCTAACAGTGTTTTGCTCCAGGTAAATTGCAGGTCTTATTTTTGTAGCTTGAAGTGTGTGCAGCTTTGTGCGTTTTTCTTACACACACAGAGACAGATGCTTGTGTCAATGCTGAAGGTGCTTTTGAACCAGAGAGGAAGAATTAAGAACACTGAGAGCGCTGCAGGGCCTGTGTGTGTGTGTTTTAAGAGACAGAGAGAGGGGTGTGTGTTTTTGTGCATATATGTTTGTTAGTGGTTACCAGGAAGGAGGAGTTGGCGGCGGTGACAGTGCCATGAGGTTTGATGAAGGCAGGCTTCAGTTTGGCCATTTGCTCCATGGAGGAGGGGCGGATGCCGTTATCCTTGGAGACAATGTCACGACCTGGGAATCAATGTAGACGCACAATTACAACACACACAAGGTACTTTATTTTTGATTTGCACATCTTGCAAATTGACAAGGTCTTGTCAGTCATCTTGTTTGCTCGCTCATAAAATCCAGAGTACTTCCACATGGTTGCAGTCAACCCCGGTGGTTAGAGAATCAGACGCTCTTTGGAGGCTGCTGAAGCTGAACTGAGCTGAAGCTCTGTTTGTTGTGGTCCCACTCACTAAACAGTCTGGGCAGCGCATATTACGGTTCCGTTTTTTGTTGTTGTTTTTTAGTTCCTGTCTTGCGGCAAAGCATCGACTGATTATTTATTAAATTATTTTAAGCATCAACGTAAATTAATCAACGCCAAATCATCACATAAAGCATCACAATGCATCGATACATTGATGAACTGCACCCACCTCTACAAGTAATCCTTCGTTGATACGAACAGTTTATTCAGTTGTTTTACAGACAGCAGCAGCATTTACTGGCAGTGTGTATTTGGTTAACAGCTCTGTATAATTCACGTAATAGGCTGGGGGTAACTAACACATACTATCGACCAAATACATCTGATTGGATCACTTAAGAGCTCAAAAACATGTGAAACATGATGAAAATATGCTGCAACTTCATGCAACTCTCACGCAATCATCCCAATCAATGATTATATATTCTGTGAATATGAATGTAACCTTCTCGGGCAGGAACCAACCATGAAGCCCGATATTTTCAGTGATATTTCAAATGCTGAGCTGTTATTTCAACCCCTTTAAATGTGTGATCTACACCTGTTCAGCTCATTTTAACAGGAGTCAGACCTCTGCTTCAGAAGAATGGAGTCCTTCAGGATGCTTTATAACATGGCTGAAGTATTTGGTTTCATTTTTTTTATTTTGCATTTGCAAGGATGGAAAAGAAAAATCTAACTTAATTTCGACCATCAGGTCTGAAAAAAGGATATGATGCGGGTGATCACTCAGAGCAACATGTAGGGGAATTAAACCTAAAAACCTCACCATCAAACAGTGACTTGACACTGATTTTCCAAATGTAGATAAAGTTCAAGAGCTCAGTGATGTCACAACCTGTAACAGCCTTTTCTCTGTTTTTACAGCCCTTCTGAGTCATTTTTTGTTATCGATGATCTTACTCATTACCTCTGCTTTCCTACATTGAGTTTAAACATCTTTTTCTACCTCTGGTGTTTCCTCATCCAAAATTTGTGCGTGTCTTTAGTTTTGTCAGCTCTTGTGTTATTCACTCTACAACATGTTCTTTTGCTAACTCTGTTGGTTTGGATGGAGGGATGGCCCCTTTGTATTCATTCTATCTTTATTTTGCACAGTCAATTGTGTTGCATGACTGTTGTATGATAGGTCAAATTAACACCTCTGAACAAAACCCATGCCTCGCATCTGGAGGATTGTGGGAATGCAGGTTTGGCTCAGTGGTTTATGGCCCGTCCAAACTACAGAGGTTACAGTTCTCAATGTGGGAAGCCCAGGTTGGATACCGACTCTCAGGCCACTGCTGGATCTCCTTTACTCTCTTTCTAGCTTCCTACTTATCAAATAAAAGCATCACGGTCCCCCCAAAAATAATCCTAAACAAAAACCCAAAGGACACAAGCTTCTGTGACTTGCTTCCATATATTCCCTTTCCTCTGTTGTGTATTTGAGATTCAAGGAGGAGAAGTGTTTACCTGGTACTTTGAAGGACATGACGTCCTCCAGCAGACCACTCTCTTGGGCCTTCTTGGCCAGAGAGTGTGATCGCAGAGCAAAATCATCCTGCTCCAGTCTGGAGACACCGAAAGCGGCAGCCAGACGGTCTGCACTATGACCCATTGTTTCAGCTGTGGAGAACTCAGCCACGGCAGGGAGCTACACACAAATCATTACAAAGCTTTAGAAGAGAGTCTAAAGAAGAATTGAAAATCCAGAATTTGGTTGAAAATGAACATACCTCTGGGGCGAGGTGAGCCATGCGGATACTGCCGATCAGACTGAGCCTCTGTCCCAGGGTCTTTGCTTTGTTTAGGGACAGCATGGTCTTCCTCATCTTACGGCTGTGGCGGATGGGGACATCAGACATGAACTCCACACCTCCTGCTACAACAGCATCACACTGACCTGCAGCGATCAGACCTACAGCTGGAGAGGATAGGGACAGAGAGAAAGAGACAAAGATCAGACCAGGATGTAGACAGGAAAGGTCTTTGAGAGGAAAACTCTAATTAATCTAATTCTTGTTTTTGGTTTTTCTCAAAGGCATAAAATAAATCTGAAGTGCAAAGTTTTAGGAGAAGGAAACTGGTGACGAGGTTTCTCCCCCTGAAATACCTGAGGTCATCGCCTGGTTGGAGGAGATGCAGGCCATGGTGACCGTGTGGGCTGGGATCTTGTCAGAGAAGCCAGCACCCAAAGCTGCCTGCAAACCACACGAAAAATTAAAAATGGTGCAAAACAACTAAAACAGAAAGCCGCTCAAGATAGTCCACTTCAGTTAACATGATGTCCTACATGGCTTACTATAAGCATTTTAGTGTTCATTCTGCATCAGTTACCCTGCACAACACAAACTGCTGAGTCACAGTTAGCTCTAAAGGTAATTGACATATGTGGCCCCTGGACAGTCAGGAAGCTCTAAAACCTGTGTGATGTGTTCCAGCTGATATGATGACATGGAATTGGACAAATCTAATCACAGCTGCTCACACCAGAACTGCTCTGTGATCTCTAGTCTGCAGTTACTAAGAGGAAATACAGACAAAAGATCTACAGCATTAACACACTGATCCCTGTAATGAAACACCAGACCCCTCGCTGTGCTGCAAAATCGGATCTATTAGAACGTACCTCTCGTGCTACGTTGCTGGTTTTCACCTCCTGAATGACTGTCCCATAAATGATGTAGTCGACAGCGTCTTTGGGTACACTGGTCTTGTTCAGCAGACCCCTGAAAGCCCCGAATGAAAATTCTACATCAAAGTCACACTGAATTAAACAAGTTAACACTCTGGCTTTCTAAGCAGCAGGTGTTCTTGGACAAAAAACATGCAAACTGAGACAGACTTACTGCAGAGCTGCTCTGGCTAAGTCATGGGGCATCAGATCAGCGTATCTGTGAACACAAAACCCAGAAAAGAGTGAACCTCAAAGGCCCAGATGATCTCTCTGTTAAAAGGAGACATGGCTGTCAACAGTTTGCTGACCATCTACAGGTCAAAGCACAGATTTTTGGAGCTGCATCCATAATGATTTCGAATGAATGTATGAGGCAACAAACTCCAGCCAGTGAAATGAAAGTAGATTAAAGACATACGTGGTTCCAGACAACAGGAAAGGAGTTCGAACTCCTTCAACCAGGACTATGTTCTTCACGCCAGGCCGGGCCAGCGTCTTTTTACTTTTTGTCTGGGCTGGAAAAAAAAGACAAAAATACAGCAGATTAAAACACTTGAATCATTTTCAACCACTCTGATTCCGCCTCACAAAGACAGTCCTGCACTGATTTTTGTAAATCAATAAATAAACCAACAATCGTATTTCCAACGAATAACCTACCCTGAGCCTGAAGCTGGGCTGTCGTACTGAGAGATCGCGCCCCTGAGAAACACAAAGAAAATCTTTATCATCCACGATACACTGTTTAAAACAACAGAAGCAGATATCAGCCTGGGTTTGAGAACAGGAATGTGAATATTTGGATAACCACTTAGACCAGAGTGAAAAATGAAGCAAAATAATAACAGAGAGGAAAATCTCTGTGATAAACTTTATGTACTTATGACCACAACTTTAATACATTCAATCTGCTGGTCATTTCTATTATGTTTTATTTTTTAATGTCTTTTTCTTAAAAAGAAGAAGAAGAAGGAGAAGGAGAACAAGGACAACAACAACAACAACAAGAAAGAATTGTAACAAATAAGACTGCAGAAATCTTACCGAAGCGCATCGCCAATGAGGGGCCGACTGAGCAGGTCCGCATCGTTGTCAGCAACATGGACGTCATTTTGTTCTTGAAAAATAAATAAGAAAGTTACCACAAAGTTACAGAGACTCTGCTGGACAAGCTGACAGCCATGAGATCCATTCGTGTTGAGAGAAGCTAGCAGAAACATTCATCTCTCGAGGGGGTGTCTAACTTGGTGTTATGGTACATTTGACCATAACTTAAATTTATGTAGGAATATCCCTTTAATGTTAACATCACTAAACAACACAGAGGATAATTTTAATACTACTCTAAATTTACTTGGAGAGTGCAAAACATCAGAGTGACTGACCAGTGAGTGAAGTAGACAAACTAATGAGGGATGTTAAACACACCTACACGACATGCAAAGAGACTTGAACCAAATTGAAGAAAACAGACATGAGAAAAAAAAAAAAAAACAAACACACAAAAATGGCAGGTTTAATGCTAATTTGACCTGTAAGTGGGCTCATAAGAGTATCCTTACCACAGATATGCAACCAGCCGTCAAAACTGAGGGACTACATTTTTAGCTGTGTAAGTAATATCTTTATATGACTACTTGTTTTTATCTTCAGTTGGTAGCCAGGTTATAAGTGGGACAGAAGAAATAGAAACCCTATAACATGAGCAAGACCTCAATGCAGAGTTGTATCCATATTGTCTACAAGGTGTCCTCTATATTAATCCACCTCAGGTACGATCTACATGTACTGTATCTATATATAGGCCAAAGTTCAACAGAAGTGCACACCTGTCTTTAAATATCTGAGACACTCTGCTCATAAAAAACTGTCAGCCTTGCTGGAATGTGTAAAAACCTGGTTTGATGTGGAAAGTCAGATCTTGGGTTATACTGTATTTAACACTTGTTCAGTTCACTTTTTTTTTCACAGCAATAGAGAAAATAGGTGTTTATAAGGATGACATCAGGCAAAAATGCGTAAATATGATGTTATCGCATTGATAAATGAGGACAATCAGTTTCTGTTCCTCTGAGGATAGACCCAAAGACCTTAAACGACTTCAAGTGTGACTTAACTGATCCACGTTTGCCCTCTATACAAATCAAACGAATTTTATTTTGTGAAGCTGCAAATTTTAACATATATTTGGCCTGGTGAGTGTTATTATCTATATAATAATGCTGTTTAATTTGACTTTAAATTTGACCCTCCCAACCCCCCTCCTCTCTCTGTGACCCTTCACCCAGATTCCTCTACTGGAGACTGACACAGACAGAAATACTGAATCACGGGACTCTAACAGACTCAAAACTGTTTGCAGAACTACCACAAACCTGTTTGCTTCGACTAATATCACCAAAATCACAACAATCTGAACAAAAATGCTTTGAATATCAACACAAATCCTCTGCAAGCTAGCCAGGTGCAAACCCCTGAAGCTAAGTGGCTATTTGTTAGCTAAAGTTTTCGGTTAAATGTGACCTATGTTTGCTTTCTTATTCTGACTAATCATTTATTAATCCTATTTCCACTCTTTCTAGTTTTATTATCAGTGACAGGTGTGCCAAAGCTTACCTGTATGTGATAATGTCTTAGCCGACACTGCTTCCCTGACAAACGATGGGCCAGTCAATCAGACAGCCCCCGGGACTACACTGTGAAGGACCCGAGAATTTCATAGGTGACCGAGATAGTGCCTGAACAAAACACAACGACAACCAGCGCGTGCGTCAAAGTAATGTTTCACAATGAGTTTTATAAATTACAATTACAATGGGAACGTAATTCAACATGTTTATTTGGTAATAAAATTGTGTAAGAAATTAGTGCATTATTACATTATGGTGCGGCAACATGTCTTTCAGACCCTCAACCTTTTTGCTGTTCGAGAGCGCCTCCGGCGGTCAGAGGAGTTTAAATTGGGACGTTTTGTTGAACACTTTTTATAAAAAAAAAAGAAAAGGTTCTCAGGTGGAGATGGCAGGTGTTCGTGCGGTCGGTGTTTTTTCCAAGTTTGTTAACTGCAAATACCCCTTGTTGTCAGGTATGTGTTAAATCAAGTATTTACTATTTTTAAAAATTATTTATTGAATTATACTATCTTTTTATCGAGAGTTTTGTTAATAAGATTTTTTTTAAGCTTTGCAAGTTTCTTTGTTTTACTTTCTTTAGACAAAAAATGTATTTTTTGTGGAAATAGCTTTGACAACAGTTGATTTAACTTCAAGTTAAACTACCAATCGACTGAAGTAAAAGCAAGAAGTATTTTAATGTGAAATTAACATAAAGTGCGGACAAACAGGGGAGGAAAGGGTTTAGGGAATAAGACATGCCCCCGGATTACGTAAAGCACATTTTTTCAAACTAACTGTTGTGACATAACAAACAGCATTAATGTGTAAAGTGGTTTTGGCTCCGAACACATCCAGGAATATATTTTTAATACTTGTGCATTGTCTATACGTGATAAGAGTGTTTGTTTGTTTTTTTCTCAAATATAATATTCCTAATGCAGGTAAATTTGGTGTGCTTTACACATTCACAGATTTTTTTCACAGATATATTATTCATGTACCTTGGAGAAACGCATGTTTTTAGTGTAGTTTTCAAAGTGGAGACAGCTGTAATGAACCAAATTTTAGAACCAAATCTAAAGTGTAAAGCATCTGGTTTTTGCACACTCAAGTCATGGCTGGTTGTGTAGAGAGAAGTGTTGTGACAAGGCAACTTTCAATACATCAACCAAAATCTTCTAGTTAATATTTTTGAAACATGAAGTATCCATCCATTCATTGACTGAAACTATTTCAGTCAATGAATCAGGGGAATTTTGGCTTCAAAAATCTTGAAATAAGATTACAGTTTGACTAATAATAAGTATAACAAGATATTTTGAGAAGAAATGAAACAAGTTTAATCAGGAGGATTTGGGATTTTTATAGTGTAGACATCATCCAAACAGATGGCTGTCATGCAAGCTCTGAGAGGGCGACTTAAACAGTAACTGTCTCTTTGTATGTGTTTCTCAGGTCATGCCAGCCGCTGCCTCTCAATGTCTTCAACCCTGGCAGGTAAAGGTGTAATTTACTGGTCAATGGCCTGTTGATTATAAACCCACCGTGATCAGAATGAAGACTTACATGTTTTTATAGTTCCAGGATCTTTCAGTTAAAGATTTAGAGATAAGGTGTTGTCTGTGCTCCTCCTCTGTTGTGAAAGTTTTAAGATAAAATGGAGTTTCAGGAGATGACTGAAACAAAGCTGTTTAAACTGTTTTTTTTGCATAGTAAATAAACGACTGCCTTAAAGCCACCCCATGGAGTTTTCTGCAGACAAACAGAGATCAGGTTTGAGATCTTGTTGACTCATCATAGTTACCCTCAGGGTGTAACTGAAGGGTGGACTGAATTTGCACCCTGTTGTTGCACTTACTGAGCCCATATGTTTCTTTATTTAGTTGTAATTTACCACAATATTTGAAGCTTTTCTCCCTGGCCTTTATTTGCATCTTTGATGTGCAGTTGACCTTTAGGCCCACCATAGCTTTGAGAAGCTATTGTGAACGAAAGCCCTTCTTCTTTCTTGCCGCTGTAAATTAAGCACACCAAACACATATAAGTCCTCTTAGATGTCCGTCAAGTCAGTGTTAAACCTTTGCTCTTGAACGACTTAAAACACATGATAAATATTTTTTAAACAGTTAAAGTGGACTTGAGGATAGCTGTGCTTTTGCAGCCTCTCTATATTAAGGGTTTTTCATTGTTGACAAGATGGTACTCATGTTTTATGAGGATTTTTGGACATGCAGACATGTGATGTTGAATCAAAGTTACTTTGATTTTACCATATTTCAGTTGACTCCAGGCTTGTTTATAGAGTCTTCCCAGTTGCAGCAGCTCCTTCTATTCTTCAGTGTTCTTGAAAAAAGGCGTATAAGAGCAATCTTAGCAAGTATTCCCCAGAGAGGATCTTAAAACAGCAGGAATTAGCATCATACCGCCATGTTGGCTCTCTGTCTGATTGTCTCTTTGAATTGTTCTCTCCATCAAGCTCGAACACATGTCAGCTACGAGCTCAAGGATGATGTGGCGGTGGTACGACTCAATGATCCAACAGCCAAGGTGAGTGTGTGCGTGTCAGTGTGGGTGTGTGTGTTACATGGCAAAGAGAGTGAGACACTACATACATGTCATAGATGGGGATCATGTTTGTGACAGTCTTGACTTACTGTCTTGGTTTCTCTGTGACAAACTTGCATGTGACACATAGATAATTTATCAGAGTGTGTGTGAGCGAGTATTTATGTATGTTACATCTGTGTGTGTGTGTGTGTGTGTGTGTGTGTGTGTGTGTGTGTGTGTATACAGGTGAACACACTGTCGCTGCAGATGCAGTCTGATCTAGCAGAGGTGATGGGGGAGATATGGTCCAACGAAGCTGTGAAAAGTGCCGTTTTTATCTCCAGTAAACCGGGCTGTTTCATCGCCGGAGCAGATATCAAGTAAGCTTCAAGTCGAGCACCCTTATTATAGCTCCTGTGAGGAGTTCTATATATACTATTTTACATTTATGACTTAGACTTAAATTCATGATCTCTAAAAGCAGACAAGGCCATCAAGAGCAAGATTGTCTACATTAATACAGTAGTTTTTAATGTCTGAAATGGGCATGGGGGGGGGGGGGGGGGCAGGTGTCAGCAGAGCAGCTACAATTTCCACATAAAATATTCTACATTAGTTCTACATTTGACTATCAAAAACTAGCAAGATGAGACTATCAACAAAGACAGCTTTATCCACAGGGGGGCACCATAATTAACAGAGACCAAAAGTTCCCTTCAGGAGCTTTAAGTGTAAAACTTAAATATGTGGGCTTTTGGTATTTGTTGTATTTCCACCGTAGAACTAATACAAGAAGTGAACATAGCTTCTAAAACCTGCTATGTTTTGAGATGCCAGCAGAGGGTGACTCCTGCAAGGCTGTACATAACCACGTAGAAAAATAACTCCTCTGCCTGATTGATCTTTTATCTCATGAGCTCATCTACCCAGCCAATTAATACTTGAGTCAAGAATGTGGATCTTTCAGGGGTGTTGAGAAGCAAATCTGTCAGCTTTAGTTAGCTTGCAGGTTGGACATGTCTGGGTTTTAAAAAATCAAAAGTGAGAGTAAGTGTATTTTCCGTCTCTCGTAGTATGATTCAGTCCTGTCAAAGCAGCGAGGAGGCCACCCGCCTCTCTCAGGAAGGTCAGAAGATGATTGACAAGATTGATAAGTCACCCATCCCCATCATTGCTGCTATCCATGGCTCCTGCCTGGGCGGAGGCCTCGAGGTAAAACTCTATCTGTGTGTGACTCACAAAGCTGCTCATGTAAACTAAGAACTGACCATCGAGCCTTTTTTTGTGTCTTTCCTGTAGTTTGCAATAGCCTGCCAATACAGAATTGCCACGAGAAGTAAGAACACTGTCCTGGGGACACCAGAGGTCATGCTCGGACTGCTGCCTGGAGCAGGCGGCACTCAGAGACTGCCTCAAATGGTAAACACACACACTCACACACTCATGGTAATCTTGTATTGAATGATCTGCTATATTCTTATGCTGGTGGCTATTCACACCAGAGCGTGTTAAGGTCAAGAGCCTCACTTTGGGGATGTCCCAGATCACAGTATACGTGCTTGTTGCCTCTGTGTGTGTGTGTGTGTGTGTGTGTGTGTGTGTGTGTGTGTGTGTCTGTGCGTGTAGGTGGGCCTCCCTGATGCATTTGACATGATGCTGACAGGAAGGAGAATCAGGGCGGAAAAAGCCAAGAAGATGGGGCTAGTGCAGCAGCTCGTGGACCCTCTGGGTATGTTCTTCATGAAGCAGTTTTTTTTATTACAAAGGGAAGCTGTTCCTGTTTCTGGGATTTTTACGCTCTTTGTTACCTGCAGCAAGATTGGAAGCAAATTAAAATGGATGTTTGCTCACTTCAGGTCCTGGAATGAAGCCTGCAGAGGAAAGGACGATTGAATACCTGGAGGAGGTTGCAGTAGGCGTGGCCAAGGGGATTGTTGACAAGAAGGTTCCCCTCACAAAGGAAAAGAGCTTCAAGGAGAGTGAGTAGAGCCAGTATACCACTGGTCATCTTTACATACAGTTATGAGGATCCAATCAGTATGTCGTATCAATCAATGCTGAAGTCCAGGCTATGTGAGCTTTAAAACAATCCCTAAACTCCTATCTGTACATTATACTGGCCTTGCAGTTGCACCAGTCAGGTGACATCATAAACATCGAAGCTGCTCCACATTTGTCAGCTGTTATCATGTATCTGTGTTGGCAGAGCTGCAGGACAGAGTGATGGGTCTGAGTCTGGTTAGGAGGAAAATCTACAAGACTGTCAGTGAGAAGACCCAGAAACAGACCAGAGGCCTTTACCCAGCTCCGGCCAAAATCATCCAGGTATGAGGCTCATGAAGAGGACGCTTACGAATGCATCACCAGGCGGTGTTTCCCACTCTCATTTCACTCTGTGTCTTCTGTTTAATGTGCAGTCTGTCCAGGCTGGGCTCGAGAAAGGCAGAGAGGCGGGTTATCTGGCTGAATCTGAGGTGAGATGTCATGTCATGAGGTCATGTACTTAGCTGTAGCAAATCCCTTTCTCTTATTTCATTAACACAATCACACCAGCTGATTTAGACCTTTGTTTTTCCATCTTATCCAGAACTTTGGGAAGTTGGTGATGTCCCAAGAGTCCAAGGCCCTGATTGGTCTTTATCACGGCCAATTGGCTTGTAAGAAGAACCGCTATGGGACCCCAGAGAAGGAAGTGAAGTAAGACCTGTTGTGAGGGTTGAATATTTCATTACAATACCTCAAAATTATTGCAATATTCCCTGAACATGCTTTACTTGTGTCAGGACGCTGGGGATCTTGGGTGCAGGGCTGATGGGTACTGGTATAGCACAGGTATCAGTTGATAAAGGCCTGATTACCATCCTGAAAGACACCAGTGAGGAGAACATCAGCAGGGGGCAGGACCAAATCTACAGAAGGTGACATGACATTCCTGGAAATTTAAAGCACGCTGGTTTCACAACAACTCAGTGGAGTGGAGTTGGCCTATCAGGCGTGAAGAGGCTGAATATGAACTTTCATAAGAAATTTGAAGAAGCTGTTTAACTCTGGTGTTTTCTTTTCAGTCTGGACACAAAAGTGAAGAGGAAATCTATGACCTCCTTTCAGCGTGACATCGTAATGTCCAATCTCTCGGTCCAGCTGGATTCCACTGGCTTCCAAAATGCTGATATGGTTGTAGAAGCTGTGTTTGAAGACATAAACTTGAAACACAGAGTCCTTAAAGAAGTGGAGGAGGTGAGTTTAATTTCACACATATCTGGAACTTCTTCTCAGTATCTTTTCACTTTATGTGCAAACTGCTGTTTAAATCTTCTTTGCAGGTAACTCCTCCTCACTGTATTTTTGCCACGAACACCTCCGCTCTGTCGATCAAAGATATAGCTGCAGCCAGCAAACGTCCCGAGAAGGTATCACAAATGGGCTTTGTCTCCCAGATACTGAGTATAAAAATGAATGTTAAGCCAAAATTTTACTCCTGTATTTATCCACAGGTGATTGGCATGCACTATTTCTCTCCAGTGGACAAGATGCAGTTGCTAGAAATAGTCATCACCGATGAGACATCCAAAGACACAATAGCTGCTGCCTCCAGCGTGGGCATCAAACAGGGCAAGACAGTCATTGTTGTCAAGGTGAAAACTGCTTTAAGAGTTTGCCTCATGAAACATCTTTTGCCTGTTTGAATTCATTTCAATCTAATTTCTCTGTGTGTTTCTCTCTCAGGATTGTCCCGGGTTTTACACAAATCGCTGCTCTATTCACGTTCTAGTTGAGTTGTTAAAAATGTTGCAGGTAAGTAAGTCCTCACATGTTTTGAGAGCCAAGTATTGGCTGGGATGAAAAAACCCTAAAAATCATAAATGACTTATTTTGAAGCTCCGGTGAGGAGTTTTTTTTACAGCTATGAAATTGATTAAAACTTAAACCGATTTTCATGATACCTACAAACAAACAAAACCAGTGTCGACATGATCAGTGCCTTTGATGTTGAAGTCTTTTAGAGCCTGAAGCTGGCGCTAGGGGGTAGGTGCATTTGAAGATGAGAAAAGTTGGTGCCAAAATTGATGCCAACTGAAAGTTTCTAACAGGAGATTCAAGGTTGGGTTTTTAAAAAAAGTTGTACTCCATTTTGGATGGATTGGACATTAATGACTGTCACTGTTGAATTGCTTAGTATACTGACAGTATCCTGACCTAAAAAACACAAGAAACTAGAGGCCAACAGCAGTTGCAGTTTAGTTTGCAGCCCCTCTTGATAAGATATTTTGTAATATCACTGGTTACATTTACCTCAAATTTACCCTAAACCAACCTAAACATGTAACTGGTTGTTGTCATTTAGCCGATTTTGACAATACAAACAGCTGCTACAAGCAATTATAAGTTTAAATCTGTGATATTCATTGCTTGGTAAAACATTGAAATGCCAATGCTAGCACAAAAAGTAGGTATGCTAGTATTGACAGTAGCAAGCGGTTATAGTGTTGTTTTATTAAAGCTCCAGCAGGGAACTTTTGAGTCTATTTGGATTCTGGTGCCCTCATAGACAAAGTCGTATCTCTTATTGTTTTATTGATTTCATGTACATAATAATCTTACCCTGTGTTGTTTACATTGGAAATCTTTGCAGTAGGAAATGTAAACAAAGGCTGCTTCACTTTGTTTATTTTTTTGAATGACAGCTGTCCCACACTCGAGGATTCAGACGATGAAATTAACAACAAAGATATAGCCAACCCTGGTACTGCGACCTTGATTGCTTTTATAGGTTATAAAGAGACATTACATATTTTAGAGTCTATTTTATTACCATGTAAAAACTACTCACTGGAGCTTTAAATATGGTGCTAACCCCCTCAGATAGTTTCTCAACACATTTAGGGCGTAAAACTGAGAAAACGGCCACACACTTACCTCTGTTTTGTTGTGCAGGAAGGTGTCGGACTGGACAGACTGTCCGATTTGGGAACAAGCTTGGGTTTTCCCATGGGCTTCCCAATGGTGGTAGATGAAGTGGGTCATGATGTTAGTCTACATTCATCACAGGTACAGTTGGTCTACTGCAAGCTGCATTTAGGTTTTTTGGCTGTTTTATTTGAAGAAAATCAGTATGATGTTTTTCATGACTTTTGAAGAGGACTGATTTTATTGTGTGCTCATGTCCAGTTCATGCTCAGTTCGTATGGTTCTCGTTACGGGGGAGCAGACACTGATGTTCTGGAGGTCCTTGTAGAGAGAGGCTTCAAAGGTAAAGATGTAATGAGGAAAATAAGCTTCAACTTTAGCTTAACCTCATTAATGAATGAGTCTGACATGTACGTCCTGATATTCTTCACAGGTCGTAAATCTGGAAAAGGCTTCTATCTCTACGAAAAAGGAAAGAACTACAAGAAAGTGAATCACGAAGCTGTAGACATCCTCAAGAAATTCCCCCTGACTGCGCCCCCTTCAGTGTAAGACCACATCTTCCAGTTTGATCTGCTTTTCCTTTCATCTCTTGTGTCTTTTATCTTAAAAAATACTCACATTTAATTTATTGTAGCTCCTCAGACTGGGACATTCAGCACCGACTGATGAGTCGTACTGTGAATGAGGCACTTCTGTGTCTCCAGGAGGGAGTCCTGAGAAATCCAGCAGAGGGAGACATTGGAGCTGTGTTTGCACTTGGCTTTCCCCCTTGCATTGGTGGTACGTTTTTTTTCACTGACTGACACACACACACACACACACACACACACACACACACACACACACACACACACACACACACACACACACACACACACACACACACACACACAGTCTCAGCACTGATTTGTTTTTCTAATAGAAGTGTCTGTGTCCATGCAGGTCCATTCAGATTTGTAGACACATTTGGTGCAGACCGCCTTGTGAGCACTATGAGGAGATACGAGGAGGTTTATGGAGACCCCTTCACACCCTGCCAGCTTCTACTTGACTACGCCAAAGACCCCAGCAAGAGGTTTTACAACTGATCTGACAGAAGGACTTAAAAAGTCAAAAGATATTAAAAGTCAAGGTATCTTTGCTCCCTTTTGATACCACGTGACCTTACTTTAGAAAAACAGGACTGCTATTTCAACACCAAGTAACATGAAGGCCCAATCCCAAACCGCCCCCTACACACTTGCCCTTCACACTCCTCCTCCATTTGCGCATCCCCGCCATATTGAAGGCTGTCCCGAACCACAGAGTGCGAAGGGCGAGTGGACCATTAGGCCCTCAAATAGTGAGTCTGCACCAGTGCACATTTACGGCGGGATTTGCAAATATAAGTTCCGTATGTGTCCACCTTTGTCTCACTGACAAAAAAAAAAACACAAAAGACATGGTATGGAAAGATAGAACGAAACTCTGAAATCTTACTCTGTGCTGACGTTTGATTTGATTGTGCAGGCACATGTCAAATAGTAATGGGGTTTAAAGACATGTGGAATCCCTTGCAATCAGAAATATAATTTAGCTCCTGTCACTGTGATGGTTGCTGTATTTATGTTTTCACTGGGACAATGAAAAAATGAGGCAGTCGGTATGTCTCAGAACTGTATATGATGCCCGTTCACTTTAAGAAGAAACACTGCGATGCACAGGACGTGTCTTTAAATTACAAATGGCAATGAGTCTTTCCACTTTTCGGCGGAGTGAGAAAGGCGTCTCATACCCGCCCGTCATGTTTATACCCTCCCATTTCAATCGAGGCACACTCCACAGCTGCGAGTGTAACTTCATTATGAATGACACTTGGTAGTGAAGGGTGGGTGTGGGGGTGGATTGGGATTGGGCCAAACAGTTCATCATGAAGGACTTAATTTTTAATTACAAGTTTTTAATTTCATTACTTTCTCATGTTCATGTCAACATGGTTCAAAAAATCTTACCAGTGTCTTAATTTTGGAATCAAATGAATGCAATGAACTGTATTTTATGATGTTGACTTTATTTAAATAAATGCTGCACTGCCACACTCACTCACTGACGTTCAGTGATTCCTTGATAACGCAACAGTATTTGCACTTTTTAACAGTTCCAGTTTGGTTGCTTTGTTGTTTCTCTTGCAGATGTCCCAAGTTGCCCACATTGTTGACCAGTCTGTGGTAAGTTGCCACTGTTAGTTTTATCAAGCGATGGAGTAAACTGCTTTAATGTACAGGAGTGTGTCCAGAGTTGTTGGGCAATTTATCACCTTAGTCCTAGTGAAACTAGACTTTGAAAAAATATGTGAACATATAAATCTGACTTAAATCACACAAAATTGAACTTTTCATAGTCAGATCAACATAACTGGATAATGTGGTTGGGGATCGATTCATTTTCCATGTATACACCTCCATTGGACTGAAACTGGCCTGAGCAGTCTGCGCCTTCTCCTTAGTTCATAACTAGTAACATAACCAACATTAAGTAACCACACCAACATTGATTGTACCTAAGCCGACTCAATGCTTTATCGTAAAGCCCCCTTGGACAAAACAGCCTTTACTTATCTTGTGCACAACACACTTTAGCAGTGTCTTTGGGCAAATATTTCATGCTCACTTTTGCTGATCGAAAGTATCATTTTTATGACTCTTTTGTGTGGAAATTGAAAAAATACTGTGGTTTCTTTAGCTGCTCAGCCGAACCCCCCCCCCCCCGACTGGTTTCAGGGATTAGACATGACAACATATAAATCATCTATCTTGTCCCTGTTGGTTTTGTTTGCTTTTGGATAATATGAGAAGGCGGTGACATAAATTCCAGCCCATTTTACAACCATCAAAAAAATCCTCATTGGAGCTTTAAATGTGGAGAGTTTAGATTAATGTCAATCTGAGGCTGATGCCTTTGAAGCATATCAGATTGTAAAAATTGGCGGACCACTTTATTTGACTGTCAAGATAAAACATTATAAACATTTTCACATTAATACTTGATTGATAGTGTCAACTTGTTTACGTCTTTAGCTGGTGGCCATGTAAAAGATGGTGAATAATAAACAGGTAGATATGCATATTAAAAGACTGTCTGCTTACTATCATCCCTTGCATGACTGGGTATTTCTATCAGTCGTTTGATGCCATGTTATGATTGAATTATTAACTGCATGACTTACTTTTACTCATGTGTCCTATAGTGTTTAATTTACTGAGGTAAGTATTTTCAAGCAATCATTTAAAGTGTACAAAAGCAAAGTGCCATATGAACAAAGGCTTGGTATAATTTCTTTTATTATTATCATTATTATGCATGGCTAAATCAAGCATATCTCAACATGTGATCTGAGGTACATTTTGAGAACTCTATTTCTGAGGCAGACAAAAGGACTTAATGTGTTACTCTTATAGGGAATGTTAATAAAGAAATTCCATCATCTCAAAGCACAAAATGGTCTTCATACAGAGTTCCTCACACCCAGAGGTGGTTTAATTTCCTTACTGGTCGCTTTTAATTTTAAGACTTTTAGCATTTTTTTTTTCAATTTGGCTTTTTTCTGTCACTAATGTTCAATAAAAAAATCTAAACAGGAACCAGGTTCATAAAATGGCCCTGATGTTGCATTATCAGAAATTTTAAATTCTTCCTATTACAATTTCGATAAAAAATGAAGGCCCCTTTCCTTCAATTTAGGTATTCTGCTTTACAAATCCATATCAGGCTTGAAACCTTTAGCCTTCTTGAATCGTGTAGGCGTCTTTCTGCCCGAGCAACAAATTCAAACAGACTAAATTCACACATATTCCTCTGTTGTAGCCATTTGTTAGTAAACTATTCCCAGTCTGTGATAATGCAGTCTGTGTGTCAACTTGAGGCATGAAAAGCCATTCAAGTGTCAGTTCTGTGATTTGACCACAGGGTGGCGTGGTTTCCTTCGGCATAGTGTCCGTTTGAGTCAGTGAGGCTCAGCAGCCGCTTGGTCACAGTGGAAGGCACATTCAGGACGGCTCAGCGGCCAACAGGCACATTATCAGGACCGTGTGTGTGTGTGTGTGTGTGTGTGTGTGTGTGTGTGTGTGTGTGTGTGTGTGTTAGATTTTAGGCCTCCAGCCCTGTATGAACTGTGTGATCTTAGTGACATGGAGGCGGCTCAGGTGGAAGTCATGTGACAGGATGTCTTCAGTCAGCTGCACCAGGAGGCTGCCGTCAATTCTTTCCCTCTGGAACACGCCAACTGCTGCCTCTGATAGGCCGATAAATCGCAAGCAAGCTGACACTTCCTCCAGTGAGAGAGCAGAGAGATCAGCAGGCGGCCGCCAGGTGGGGTCAGGAGGCGGGGACAGGCCTTCAGTAGATCCTGTGGATGCCTCGCCGCCCTCTGCACCCCTGGAGGAATCGGGGGTCGGGTTAGGGATGGGCTCAGGTGAGGGGCAGGGGGACTGGCGGTTGAAGGGGTTCAACGCCCCAAAGGGGGCAAATCGGCTCTGTGGAGGCGGCCTCAGTCGAGGTCCTGAGGGGGTGAAGGAGTCGACCCATGGCTCTGCCCAGGTGGCCTGTGCTGGCTGAGGATTGGCTGTGCTGTCTGCAGAGATACCAGAAACTGGCTCAGGACTGGTGGGGTTGGGGGCAGGGCAGTCGGCCCATGAGCACGGGTAACAGTAGAGGGAAGCATCTGGAGAGGGCGAGCAGCTACAGGGGGCAGGAGACAATGAGATCAGTATCCTAGTAACAGTCAGTGGACTCGAAAGACCCCAAAACTGCAGACAAAAACCTAAAACCAGATCCAGCTTGTTTGTTTCTGGTTGATAGGCATCTTCTGAAAATGACAGGCTTCAACAAATAGAGAACTGGACTACAACCGTTTGACAAGTACAAGTTTGACACTCTTTTTGGACATCATGGACCACACTGTATGTGACCATGATCTAGAACCGCTGGCAACCTTTCTGGGTCCAGTCCTGTTTGAGAGAACTTACAACAAAGCATGAATCTTTACAGATTTTTGATTCCAGTCACTCTCACTTGGTTTCTGGATGATTTTAAGAAGTAAACAGAGCCTGACTGAAGCCAGTACATATGGACATCTTGTGTTCTGCCAAATCCCGCACTCAGCAATCATAGGCTTTTGACTGATCAATGTAGATTTTACGATAAAGCTGAATCAGCAGCGAGTAGCTGATATTCCGTTCCTCAGAGTGCCTGTTCATGTTCCTTCACTGATACTCTGGATAGCCCCGAAACCATCAGAAGCTCTTAAACTAATATAACATACTACTATAAATTGTGCAGCAAAAACAGTATGTCAGTTATGGATTTGTTGTGAATACAAAATCATTTGACAACATTTTAAAAATCAGTTGATTGGTTAGGACCTTTTTTTGGAAAAACTTCAGAGAAGTGTGCTGATTTCAGAATCTCAAAGCAGAGGATGGATTTATTTCTATACATAGTTATCTGTCTTTTGACAATACAAGCAATTTAGGGACATGCGTTTGGCATGTGTTTGTCGAGCTAAAGTTTGACACTCTTTGGAAATCGTGGATGAAACTGTAAATAATCATGATCTAGACATGTGACTTTTCTTTGACTTGTCCTTGTCCTCTCCCACCAATAAGCGGCTGCTGGAGGAGAGTAGATGAGTTGTGTTTGGTCTCTTTGCTAAAAAAACAGGCAAAGTTAAGATGTTTGGTGGCTAGTACTATGGATGGGACCCTATATGTCCTGTTGATGATGTTAGGTGCTGCTCTGATTATTTGTGGCTATAGAGTGGCTTTTTGATTGAGGTTTGTGCATGGAGACAGGCCGCTGTGTATTGCTATAGTTTGTTAGTTATCGTTACTAAATTTGGTATAAATAGAGAAGCAAGCAGTCAGCAACATTCATCTCTTGAGGGGGTGTCTAAACTCTGTGTTAAGGTGTGTTTGACCCTGACTTAAATTTATGCTAGAATAGCCTTTTAAACACTACCGTGACCAATACCATGGTCAGTGAGGTGTAAACTTCATGTCCCATCTCAGAGTGTGTAAATTTCTCAGCTGCAGCCCTCAGTATTTGTGTCTTTAATCCTCCTACCTCTTTTCTGGTGCTTTTGTTTCTCCTTGTTTCTCCATAAACAAACATCAAAGTAACCTGAACTCTTTCGGCAAACTGATGTAATTACAGTTAGTCTTCTGCAGTCTGTGAAAAAGCAACATCCCTGGCAACGGTCTGTTCTTCATAGCAATACCCTAGATAAATAAACATTTGCTTTGAAGCGTCGCCAAAATCCACGTGGGATCCAATAAAAGTCTCTAACAACACTGGCCATATTTCATAGATTTCTCAAAAATCTTTCTGATTTTGCTTCTCCCTCACATATTATCTACTTTCATAGAGACACAGAAATGACAACTGGTGGCATCCACTTTAATAAATGAACTTTCACATGTTACCTGTCCTGAAGTCCAGAAGAGTAGAAGGAGAGGTTTGGTCTGGGTGAGGTGGACATTTTTGGGAAGCGAGGTGGGACAGGAGGACTGGGAGCCGGACTGGAAATGGAGCCTCCTTTAGTGCAGCGAGGAGGTACTGGAGGGGCAATCAAGTAGCGACACTCCTCTCTCACCTACACACAAACACATGCACTACAAATTAAACCAACACCACAGCAGAAAGTAAACTTCTCAAACTTGACCTATCAGGAGGTTTTGTGTGTATTCGCATGTGTGTTTGTGTGTCTGAGTGTGTGTTTGCTTGTCTCAGTGTTCGGCTCAGTAAATGTCAAACTTTGTGACCTTTACACCTCAAACAAACTGTCTCTATCTCACACACACACACACACACACACACACACACACACACACACACACACACACACACACACACACACACACACACACATGCAGAGTGCGTTGGCAGGCTTAATATCAGGGAATGAGGAACACTGTATGTGTGTGTGTGTGTGTGTGTGTGTGTGTGTGTGTGTGTGTGTGTGTGTGTGTGACAGGGTATAATCCAGCAGCATAACAAACATCAGCACCCACACGCCCTCGCTGCAGCGCTGCACTCAGCCGCCACTGTGACAGAGAACAGTTAATTGAGACAAACAGGCGGAATAATCTACCCTTATCAAACAGACACATGAACGTTTTATCTGGGGACAACATTGTAGCTGCTCAAGTCGTTCCCAGCTTGAAGAACATCATTATGAGATTCAGAAAAGCATTTCTTCAGAAGAGCAGGCGGTGATGATCATGGAAGACTACGACACCAAAGAAGGAGGATTTTTTTGACGGTTATAAAACAGGCTGAAGTTCATGTTGATGCCTCCTCAGGTTATTGGAAAACAAACAAGATCATCAGTGACATGATGGACGCTTCGTATACTTTAATTTCTGAAACCAACATGAGGAGCAAGGTGTCAGCCAAACAGCTGAAGACACTGCCCCGCTTTTTACAATTCCCACAAAAGACAGTCCCAACAATCCATTTGATTGTCAGAAGTCAGCAGGATGAGACTTTGTGTCAAAAGACATAACATGTAGAGGACAAGCAAAGCAAAGACTGCTTTGTCCACAGGAGGTGCCAAAACTGACACAGACGAAATGTTTCTGACAGGAGTTCTAATTTTTTTTTTGCTGAATGTGGCCTTGATACTGTACAACTTTATTCTCATAAAATAATTTCCACTTCATCCTCCAAAAGACTAGATTTTAATACGACTTTATTCTGGTGACTATATGATTTAACTACAACTTTAGTCTCTTGTGAAAACTATTTTTCTACTACTTAGAGACTAATAGTCTCTTGGTAAAGACATCACCTGCACAGATCCTAAGTCTCTGCTAAAGACAGTGACACTCAGCTTGTAAAGTGCACGAGTCCCACAACTTAAGTCTAAGTCAAGTCCTCTAGGGGTGAGTTGAGGTCAAGTTTCAAGTCATTCTTGTGTGTGTTCAAGTCCAAGACCCTCATCAAATCAAAACCATACATCGACAAACTTTTCCTGAGTCTTGTAGTTTAATCACTCAAAACCAACTTCCTCCTTACTCTTTCTCTTCACTGATTAGTTTGTTTACATTTGTGACTTTCGCTCTGTGCTCTTATTGGTCAACACTGATGTGACTTTAAAATCATGGAAAGCAGCAAAAAAGATCAAACACACTCTGCTGGAAGGTCAGAGGGAGTCCATGACGGGGACCTTGACTGTCCTTTACAGTGACACAATTCACATGATTGTGTCAGATAAAACATTTGGTTTTGAGGCCAGCAGGTCCTGACACACTGGTCTGCTGGATCCGTCTCTAATCCTGCTGGAAATATATTGCATGGCATAGAGTAATATAACAGTTTGTAATCAGCCACTACAGAACTTAAAACCTTCAGTCAATTTCTGAACGAAACATGAGATAAATTAGTTGACCACAGACTGGCAAGACACACTGGTAATGTGGGCACGAAGGACTCAGCTGTCAGCTTGTTATTGCTAACAGCAATAAGCAAAAATGCAACACAGGTCTGAACATCCAAGCTTGCAGGTATTCTTTCTGTGCCTGATGCTTGGTCAAACCCTTCAATTTCAGTCACATTCATAAAACATTGTCACAATCAACGAATACAACACTCCCACCAGGGTGTCCCCTCACCTTATTTTCAGTTCTTTTGCTCTAATAACTGTGACTGTCAGACAGCATAGTTTACTTCAACAGACTGATGCCTCTTTATGACTCACAAAAGCATAGGACAACATGGAATGTTTCCGTGTGGTACTTTTGAATACTTTTAACTGCTCTGAGGGGGTAGGTGTCAGACAAGGTAGTCCATAGAAAGAGCCTTTTCACACTCACCACTGTTAACTTTTCTAGAAAGAGGCACATTTCAAGTTTAAAAGACTAAAAAGTAACATTTTATGACAGACAGACGTGAGGAGGACCCAGACAATAAAGCATGTTCAAAGACATAAAAGTAAGCTCAAGTGCCTCACAGAGGTTTGGAAAGTTATTATCAGCCATCATCACGACGGCATGAATGCAGACAGATCTACAGTCCTCATGGTGTTTAGTTCTCAGGGAACTCACTAGTAAATAGTTTCTCCTCAAAAGCCCCCAGGTCTGAAAACACCTGAGCCTCATATCTAAGATACTATAGTTGTTAGTTTTTGCTCTGATGTCATTAGTGATGTGGCACTGGATTGGTTCATTTCCTATCCAAGAATAAAAATAACAAGAACTTTATTTATCCCTGAAGGGAAATTCAGTTCATTCAATCTGTCAAACAGGTTTTATTCTGTACTACATGGAAATGCCTCCTTTTCTTGCGCCCCTTTCTTATGTGGGGTCCCTCAGGGGTCTATCTTGGATCCCCTGTTATTCACAGTAAACATGCTCCTCCTTGGGGCAAATCCTGTTAAGGCACAATATAGACTTTTACAGCTATACAGATGACACTCAGCTTCATAACCTGTAAATAAACTTAGCACTATGATGTGTTTCACTTTACACCCTGTCTGACTGAGTTCAAGAACTGGATGTCTTAAGAATTCCCACAACTGAATGACTCCAAGTTCTAGCTACATGAATAGTCTTTTATTATGTAATCAGTAATAATTTATTTTATCATTAATACACTCCAGCACTGGGTTATAATGGCTTTGTAACCCTCCACTTAAATGTTTTATCGCACTAACTGCACACGTGTTCCTGCATCCTTGGTGACAACATGTGTATTCATGGGCTCTGAGTGTATAGCTGCTTTCCAGGAAGTTAGTGTGTGGTTCTTTGTGTGCGTGTGTTTCTGTGTGTGATTGTGGTCAGTGAGGTTTAAAAGCTGTAATGTATGAATAATTCAAACCAGGCATCCTGACTTTTAACAGCCGGATGCTTCTGTGAACAGATAAGGGGGAGGAGAGACAGACGGACAAACAGAAGGACAGGAGGGTGGAGATAAGACTTACAGCATCAGATTTTGGAGGTACAGGTGGCGGTGTGGACACTGTTGTTAACACAGTACCAAGAGAGCCGTCTATAGAAGAAGAGGAGTGGAAAGAGATGAGGTTTGGCTCTTTCCCCAGACTCTCTGGGTTCTGATTGGTCCAGAGTTCCTCATAAGGGATTTCCTCACTGGTCCTCATTTCCGCCTCAGTCCACTCAGGAGTCATGTACTCCCGCTCCTCACCTGGTCCCTCCCCTAACCGCTCCCCAAGAGAGTCCCTGCAGCGCTGTGATAGGCTGTCCGAAACCCCTCCCCCATACCCGCACATTGAGAGGCGCTGCAGTGCGGGTGCTAACGAGTCCTGCCCTGAAACACACATGCGGGAGCGCCGTGGGCTCACACACTCCTCAGTCATACACTCCAGCTCAGGTCGAGTTTCTCTCACGGCACGAGAGTAAGCATCTGGGTCAAAGGAATGTCGCAACAAGAGGCTCTCCAGCGCTGCTGTGTGGACAGATGCTTCAGCTACGTTGAAGCGGGGCATGCAGCGCAGCAACAGAAAGTGTGAGGGGGAGACTTCCTGTCGACGCAGCACCATGCAAAGCACCACCGTCTTACTGACGATGTTTAGCAGCTTGTAGCGGTGGCCCTCTCGCACAGCATGGCGGTCGTAGGGGTTCCGCGGCGGTCGTGAAGGCACAGAAACGTTGACTGGAAGGCGAACCCTCTCAATGATGCTGCGTACCGTGTGCTCTCCTCCCAACATGCCTTGCTCAAGTGGGGAGCGTGTGCAAAAGCGTCCACGACAGCCGAAGGGAAGGCTTACGCTCTGATTGGTGCGATGATTCATGCAGACCAGGCAAGGAGTTTTACCTGAGGGGGCGGAGACAGGAAGGTGGAGAGTAATTGTTCAAATATGGCTCTTCTAGTTTAATACTGCGATTCAGAGGCTAAATATTCAAGGCAAACAATACTGTCTCTGTTTAATACAAACAAATGGACATTCAACAGATTCAATCAAAGACAGCAATCTTTGTTAGTCACACAAATACTATGAAAGGTCTATAGACTGGTTTCTGGTATGCAGGTATGGACGCGCAACCAGGGGGCAGAAAGTGGGACATTGCTTATTTGTTTACTAGCGGAGTCAACGGAGAAAGAAAATGACAAGGAGCTGTTGTGCTGTAAACTGCACAAATTGGCAAAACAAACAATCGACAAACTTTATGACCCTGCTCCTGATATTAGAAACATCTAAAACAACGTCACAACCTGGTAAACTCAGTGAAATTCATGGACATTTCAGCAAGTGTTTTTCTGATTTTGATGCAATGAAAGACAAAGCGATTTTTCAATGAAAAGTCATTTTATTGCAATTGTGTCAGGAAGAACTTGCGAACAATATGGCATCTTCATTGATATCAGTTAACTCTGAAGCAGGCTTTTGCCCCCTGGTTGCGCGCACCTAGTATTGTTTGTACACAAAAAAACCCGTCTATTGGGCAAAAAGAGATGTCAAAATTAAAAGCTGTAATTTCACAAGAAAAAAGTCCTTTTGTTACAAGAATATGAGTCTCACGTGAACGCAGTTGTAACGTGAAAATAAAGTTGTGATGTTATGAGAAAAAATGGTTAAGTTACATGACTATGAGACTTTAAGTAGCAAGAATAAAGTGTTATGTTACAAGTAAAAAAAATCAGGTAATGTTACCAGAGTAAGGTTATCATAATAGGATAACATTACAAGACATTACAACATAAAGCTGTAATGTAATGAGAAAAAATGCAAGTGGTTTTATAGGAATAAAATTCAGTTAACAAAAATGACAACAAAAATGTTATGTCACAAGAAAAAAGTTGTAATGCTACCAGAATAAAATAATTATGTTAAAAGAATGAAGATATTATGCCATGGAAAAATGGGGTTTTGCTACAAGACAGTTGGTTGTAATGTTGTGAGATTAAAGTCATGGTGTGATGAAAATAGTGTTGATGTTCTCAGAACAAAGACATATGTTTGTACTTCCTGAAAAGAGTTGTCACGTTAGAAAAAGAAAGCATTCGTGATTGTATGTTACAGAGGTAAAGCTGTGATGGTAAAGAGGGGGTATTATGCATTGATTTCAGACTCTATATTTCCTCTTTGATTCCTCTTCAATAGTTTAACATGATTTTCAGATCACAAAAAGTGTTTCTCACCCTGGTTGTACTATAATATCTTTGTTTTAGCCCCGTCTGAAACGCTGTGTTTTAGCTCGTGTAGGTTTTACAAACAACTGAAGACTCGGTCTAAGGACGCCATTATCTGAATATTGGGATTTTAATATCATAACAATTTGGTTTTATTCTCACAACAACACACTTTCATTTATGTTATATATGACATCAGATCTCATGCAACTATGACTTTATTTTCTTGGAACTTTATTTTGGTCATATTATGACTTTTCTTGTAATGATGGAATTTTATTTTTGTTACCTCAAAACTTTATTATTATAACACGAAAATTTAATTCTGATAACATTAGGGCTTCATTCTCAAATAGGGCTTTAGAAATAGGACTTTATTCCCGTAACCATACAACTTAATAGTTTAATTAGAACCATCTTGTGAATCTATGACTTCATTTTCATGGACTTTTTTCTGGTTATTCACATTTGTTTTTGAAATCCTGATTGTTTTTGGAGTCTTAATCCTCCGTCATTAACTGCCCTATCATAGATAAATTGTTGTGACTGGCTGGACTCAAGTCTATCTGCTTTGGATCAGAACCACATACATCTGCCAAATCAAATAAATACCACTCTCAAATTTGTCTGATTCCCAGACTAATGTCGCTCCTATCGTTTCAAAAATAAGCAAATATCTTTTTCTGTCAGGGATAAACTCTTCACATTGCTGTACTCTTTTGCTTAAGACTCCTCAGGCGCTCGTTCTCTCACTGAAAACAGACAACAAAGAGGTCAGCAGTTTGTCCCACTTACTTCTGGGAGTCTTTCCCAGGCGTCTCAGGAGCGCGCTCAGTCCTGTCTTTTCCTTAGAGGGCGTGGCACAGAGAAGCTCCGCCTTCCCCATGAGTGACAGCTCATCTCCAGCCTGCAGAGTGAAGCTGTAGGGCTCACTGTCCTCACTGAACTCCCCTGAAACCACCTGACAAACACACATATACATATGAGAATAAATATGCCAAATGTAACTACAGGAAGAGAATGTGGGACAGCAGACGTTGAGCTTGAAAATAACCCACACAAATTAACGAAACCAGTGAAGCAACAAAAAACAAACCTTGACGCTAAAAGTGATCGTCTCCATGACAAAGACCCGGTCAGGGAAGACTCCAGCAACTTCCTCCACACTGGCAAAATACTGGACTGGATCCCTGACGTCTCGGTCTTCATCCAACAACTTGAACTTCCCTGCAAAAAGAAAAGAAAAAGGGGGATGAGAAGGGTAAAAAAGGTAGGATATGAAAAAAAAAAACAGAAAAAGAAAAAAATAAGATAAATAAAGAACAGGAATGTAGGAAGGCCAAAAAAGTCATACAGTGAAGTTATGTAGGAGAAAAAAATAAGGAGGGTGAATTGAAATAAAGGAGGAAAAGAAAATGAACAAAAGCAATAAAGAGAGGAAAGGTAAGGGAGGAAAGTAAGGAAATTATAAAGGAAATGTAGAAAGGAAATGAAGCCAAGAAATGAAAGGGAAAAAGAAAATAAGGCAGGTGGGGGAAAAGGAAAAAAAAGAAAAAGAAGGAAAGGAGTTAGACGAAAAAGGAAATAAATAAAGGCAAGAGAAAGAACAAATGTAGGAAAAAAAGAGTAAAGAATAAACAAAGAAAAGGAAAAGCTGAAAAAGAATAAAGCAAAGACAATTAAAAGAAGGAAAGAACATAAAGACAGTAGAGGAAAAGAAGGTAAGCCATGAAGGAAGAAAAGGCAGACGGAAAGGTCAAAAGTAGAAGACAAGGAAAGGAGGAAAGGAATGAAGGGAGAAAAAAGTAGAGAAAGAAAAAAAGAGAAGAAGGAATAAAGGAAAAGTGGAAAAGAGGGAGGAATGAAAGTAGACAAAGAACTTAGGAAGTGAACAGTTGTTGTGGTTTATTTCATTTGACTCCCAACAGCTTAACACACACACACACACACACAGAAGTAGTGCACACTTTCGTGACCAAGAAGAATACAAAGACACCTCCATGACCTATGACCTGGCACCAGCTCTGGGCCAATCATCAGTCGACAGGGTTGGCATGGCAACCAATAAAGAACCCCCATTCTCACACAGAGCAGAGACACATCACCATGGAGACACTCACACACACACTCTCTCTCTCTCTCCTGGTCTTGTCTCACCCCTTCATCCCTCCTGTGTCTGTAAATCTTTACTCTCTGGTGTTGTGCTCCACTGACTCTGTTTGTGGGCTTTAAACTGTAAATGTTTTCGGTTTGTTCCATGTTTGATGTCGTAAAGAGCCACCCTCAGAGTGCACAATAGGCTCAAATCAAACCACATGATCCTTTGATTCTTATTTACCAATTTATGGGATTTAACAACCTCTACCCTCCAAAGAGCCTCTGCTTTTTTTTCTCCCAGAGTCAGGGTGTTTCTGTTTTTCTTTTTTTCAGAGACAGAGATGAGAAAGTTTCTTTGTCTGCGAGGCCGAGCAGAATACCAAACTCCACCGTCCTTCTCGCCAACACCTCCCTCCCTTTCTCCTCCACCCCCCCACCTCCTGATTCAAACAGAGCCCCAGGGATAAGGAGCTTCCAGCACACCCAACGAAACCAGAAAGTGCAACTTTTGCACACAGCCCAGCGACCCCCTTTCAAAATAGGAATGACAGACGGAAAAGTGAACAGGGTAACCAGCAGGCCTGCATGATCGGAGGAAAATATGACTACTGCATTACTTTCTAGTTCAAACAAAATAATTGTTTTTATTCACTGTGATGAATCTGGACTTTTGTGATGTGCTTCTAATGAAAGCTCACATTGGGATAATGATAAAATTGTCATTATTGTGCTGTCCCATCTCCAAGAGTACCAATCATAAAACAAACCCCATCCTGATGTACCTACACTTAAGAGCATTACTTGGCTAAGGCATAAACCAACAGAGCAATGATTTAACAATATCTTACAAAGCAGTAATTACAAAGAAGAGAAACCTTCCCTGACATAAAACTGAATCACCCCAAGCCTCTTCAATCCTTTGGCAGTGAGTTTAACGTTACAAGGATGGCTGTGGCGCCACTTGCTTCCCAGAAAGCTGTTCATTCATTTTTTCTGTCCTCTACCTCTCAGTCATCCTCCCGCTGATGGACAGAGGAGGAGACAGACAGACACGGAGAGAGGATAACAGGAGGAGCATCCTGTTGTCCGGCCCCAGGGGGAAACCTATATTGCTCTCCTGCAGAGCTTATTTAGACTTCCTGTATGAAGTCATCACACAGACGTTAGCTCACCACCGGCGATGGCTTCTGATTCAACAACAGTTTGCCTGTCATGTGCTGCTTAAAGTGTGCATACATTGAGAAGAGCTCTGCTGACTAGTGTTTGTGGGACCACTGGAATGTGTCTTTGAAATGGACCATGGCTGAGAAGGTTATGGGGCTGATGTAATGCTACAGTCAGAGGTCAAGAAACAGCAAACTCATGCATTATCTCAAAGCGAAGAAATCCCAATATGAAAGCAGCATACAAGACTGTTACCAAGGCCCCACTCCTACACACCTTTAGAGTAAATCTCTTAACTCCTCCTCTGGGCACCTTCTCTAAACTTCTATTTGAAACAGACACACTTCTGATCTGGATTGCCTCATTTTTACGCATACAGCCACGTTCTGCACTTCTGGGGTCTTTGCTGCTGCTCTCCCTTCCTTGGCTTTTCCTGCTGCAGTCTCTGGAATTCCACAATGTCTTTTGACTGGTATCATGTATATTGTCCCTGATACCTGTTCTGCACATCCATGGTCTTTGCTGCTTCTCTGTCTTTCTTGGTTTTATGTATACATATGAAACAATATAAAGGTGTGCTCTCCCTGCCCCAAGCTTTTGAATCCCTTGATGACCTACTACTAGTAACATATTGTTGTCCCTGATGCCTGCTCTTTTCTGCACCTCTGGAGTCTTTGCTGCTGCTCTCCCCTATATACAGTATGTCCATTTAACAGTGTGTAGTTGTGCTCTTCCTGCCACAGACCTTTGAAATTCCACAATAACTGTCTTCATCCAATACTCCCTCCTACAATCGTTTTTTTAATTGCTGTGTCTGATATTACAAGTGTCATGTGTGTTGTCAGTGATGAGTATTTTCTTTAACGCCTTGAGGGTCTTTTCCGCTGCTCTCCCTGCCTTGGCTTTTTTATGTAGGTGTTTGAATTCCATGCATGTACATGGAAAGGCAGGGAGTTCTGAAACATATCGTATGAAAATAATTAGTTTTTACTTTGATGAAAGTGATCCAGATGAAATTATTTTTTATAATTGTAGAATAAAAGACCGATTTTTCATTAAAATCTGGTTTACTTTGTTTCCTCACTGCATGTGATCCATCAAGCATCGGTGACAAAATCTGCTTGACACTGTGGTTCTATTGAAGTTCCTTAACTGCCTACAAGCAATGTAGCACTGAGCAACAGGCTGTTTTAATCCTGATGCCCTGATTTTATGTAATTCCCAAGTCTAACATAGATATGAATGAGGAGCTGTTGGCTCTGAAGCTCAAAAGAGGAGTTATTTGTTCAATATTTTCTCATTTCCCTTGAAGTCATTTGAAGTGTTGCGCCTTAATTTATATAAGTGCGTTTTTTTTTTTTTATCACTATAACTCTATTGTTGAAAACGCTGATCCAGGATTACTCCATCCCATCACCTGCTCACAGTGTGCTCATTCTTTGGTCTTGTGGAGTTAAAAGCAGGAACATTGCGTTCATAGTATGTCAATAATGTTTAAATATTTTATTACCTCTGGTCTCTTCACCAATTTGCAAACAAATTCAAAGTTTTTGTTGACACAGAGAACATCTTAGACAAGTGTCTGTTGTAGCTCTGGAGAGATTTTTATACAATTGCCCAAAGTCCACTTGATGCTAAGTTGTTTGACTGCTCAACTTGATAACATTGAGCTAGTTGTTTATTTCTGTTCCCTCGCTGCTAATGTTTCCAGTATTAGCAGCCACATGCTTCCGATTGTGACACACTAGTGCAGTTAAGATTTCAATGATCTCATCAAACCGCCTCCCATTCAAATATTCTCTCATTCTTCTAAAAAGGAGCATGAGAGGAGTCAGTGTGAAGTGACATCAGCGCTCTATCAGCAGAGGAAACAATGAAGAGGAGGCATTAGGATCCAGTTACACAGCCTGTGATGTGGCTGGTCAGACAGTCTGGCCAGTGAGATAGTGGTGATGGAGCCCCGGTGAGGTCATAGTGATCAGACTCATTCAGAATGAGGACAAGCAGTCAATGAACAGGAGGAGTCAGGGAAGGTCATATTTATATCTGACTGGCTGGTCTTGTTAATGTGGGGTTGGAGGTGAAAGTCTGCAGAGCCCAAGACTATTGCCAAGCTGTCGATCTCTGGACAATATAAAATGTGTTCAGGACAATCAGAAATGGCATTTCTGAGACAAAGGCTCTTTTGTATGTGTACAGTATGTATGTTTGAGAAACTACTGCCCTGCAAATTAAACCTAAACTTTGCACTGACTTAAACAGAGCACGCCTGTTCATGCTGCTGGTATGCTCTGCCACTGCCTTGCTACTCAGCACAGGACCAGTGGAGATTCTGAGGTGTTCTCACGCCACCTGATCATAACAAACAGCTTGTTTGCTGTGTTGAGATACCAATACATCTTAATTGATAAAATGCTGTTTTTGACTTTATTAAGTTGTTAATAAGTTTCTTACATTATTTATTATTAATGTTTACAGTAAACTGATTAACAACTGGTTCAGCGTGTCTCAGAAAGTTGCTTGTAAGTGTTCACTTCAAGAAGAAGACACCTGAAAACAGCTGGAAGATTTTATGATTGCAGGACATTGGCAGCCACATAGTAGCTGTCCATGCTCACCACTTCACTGATGACTCTTTTGTAAATAAAGGCCAGTCCAAGCTGTTGTTACTAAAACTTTGAGCTGTCCCATCTATGAGAACCTTGCATGAAGGCTCAGAACAACAAACACTTGGTAACTCTATGATAACAGCTAATGTAACGATAGCTAAAACATGTTAGAGCCCAAAATGTAATTTAAAAAAATGTAATAAAGCCCAACACGTAATAATTTGTCAATAATGTAACAAAATTGTGAGCCCAAAATGTAATAACTGATCCAAAATGTAACAAGTTGCTACATTTTGGGATAAAAGTTTCACATTTTGGGCTTAGCATCTTATTACATTTTTGACAATTGTTGCATTTCAGGCCATTGTTACATATTGGCTCTAACAAGGCCTAACTCACGGATGGTTTCATAGCTACAAAGTTTGGTGAAAAGTAACACCTACAAGCTTCGCCTAATCTTATATCATGGTAAAAGCAGCCAAACTGTATCAGGCACCAGCTGACATGCACTAAAATAGGGTTTTTACAGTACCAGTGTAAGATGCCTTCTGAGCCACTAATCATGTAAAGCTACTCCATAGATGTTCCACTTCCATAACAAAATAGGTCTCCTTTAAAGGATGTAGTATTTAAACATCCTCTCTGGTACATTGTGTACAAATTAAGAAATGAGCTGAATACTAAAAATGTGTTTTGTATCAGGTGATAAACTTGTGTGTTTACGGGGATTCTTTGGCCTTGGAGCCAGCCTCTAGTGGACACTTGAGGAACTGCAGTTTTGGGCTTTTTTTCAGCCAAGGAAGTTTACAACTTTTTTCCCCTTCTTTTTGCCTTCTGTATTGTTGTGAAATTGAATAATGAGACCACGTAGGTTATTTTTAGAAAGCAGCACATTGTGCTACTTCAGTCACAGTACATGTACACAACCTGAACATGACAGCATGAAAGACCAAGCCCCATATCTGAGAATTTCTAGGTACTCGTTGAGTCTTCCACATTTGTTAGTTTTAACATGTTTAACCATGTTAATTAGGAGCCCATGTTTCTCATTTAGTCTTGTCTTTTCCAATTTCTTCAGTTTTCCTCTTCCAGCGTCACTGTTTTCCGCCTTTTCTTTTACTTTCGGCCAAAATAAAGAAGTAGACATCCAGAGTGACGAAAGCAATTATGTGAAAGTCTCTAAACTTCTCCATGAAGAAATCCATTTTGATTCAGGCACTTTACATTTTGTTCAGTGTTACATCAGAGCACAAGAAAAAAAAGCTTGTCAATGTTATCTGCTGTGTTGGAGATTAATAGCTGCACACCAGAAAATCAGGGCCTGTTCCACTTGTATCTTAAATATGTAGTCATGTGTCATCTGAACCAGCCTGAGACGGATCTCATCATCTTAGTTGGCATGGGAATAAAGTGTGAACCTTAACTTGTTGTACTTCTGTGTTTTCTTAAAGTCACAGTGAATAAATGTAATTATCAAACGGATTTCAGGAATTGTTCTGCACATCAGACTTCTACTACTTGAGGGAATTTGTTTAGCTTACTGAGACTTTCCCCCCAAACAAAAATAGAGCGAGTGGAAAATGTTGAACTTGTGATTTTCCTCCAGAGGGAACAAACATCAAGGGAAAAAAATAGTATATTTAGAGTGAGGATGAACTGCAGTGTGTGTGTGTGTGTGTGTGAGTGTGTGTGTACTCTCACCCTGGTACTGCAGAGGGATGTCAATCTTGGGCCCAATGACGTAGTGTCCCTCCTCTAAGCTGTGGGCAGTTACAGTGGTCCACTGACGACACGAGTGTAAGAGCACCACATCCTCCTCTGACAGACCCTCCACACACTCACCTGCAACACACAAGCATACACACACTTTAAAACCTATGTAAAAAAACAAAACAAAAACAAAAGAAAGACGGTGATGTGATGACTCCCCACAAATGAAGCCAAAAGAATGAGAGCTGGACTGTAAAAATGGATCCTGCAAGTGTTTACTGACTGTGAGACCTCTGTTGACTGGCTTTAGTATAGCTCACATTACCTGCAACTCCAATGTTAACAGATAGATCATGGGCCAAGATATGAAATTAGAATTGTCATTTTATTTAGTTCTTATCATGGTGATTTATGTCCAAGAGCTCCTTTTCATGAGAAGTTTAGTTTAAATAAGTAATTTAACTTTTGCAACATAATTTGAACAGCTCTGTTGATCAATACAGGCTCCTGCAGCATTCTGTGCCAGACCAGCAAACTAGACAAGAATTACCTAAAAGGAAGACATTTTAAGAGTCAACACAAGAGTCACTGAACTTCTGCATCTTTCCTGCCTTAAGAAGTGCACCATCCCTGTCTCAATCTTACACATCTCTGCCTAAACCTTGCAGTATCCCTATTGTTTTTTGTGGATTGTTGTTGCCTTGTGATCCCCTGCCTAAGCCTTGCATTTTCCAGCCTCAGTCTTGCTCATCCTTGCACTTTTCCTGCCTTAATCTCGCATGGTCCCTACATCAACCTTACACTGTTCCTGCCTCATCCTTGCCCTTCCCTATCTCATCCTTGCACTGTCCCTGCCTCAACCTTGCACTTCTCTGCCTTATCCAAGTACTTCCCTGCACCAACCTTCCAATTTCCTGCATTAGCCAAGAACTGTCCCTGCTCTAGATTGGAACCTAGAACCATTTCACTCAAAGACAGCAGTATAACACCACATGGCATACCTGCCTGGCAGTACTTGCTTGTTTAGGTCTTTCTTTTTTCTTAAACATTTTGTCACAGTTGTTCAAAAGGACAGCTCAGACTGCAGTGCCAAGGAAAGCATTCATGTCCACCTGACAAGGAAAGCTCTCTTTTAACAGTGCATCCTACACACTGGATTTTAAAGTAGTTACTTGTGTGGTGCTAAAATGGGGCATGACACTGTGATTGACAGCCCTGTTGAATGATGCAGTTCCTGCAGGCCTGTGTGCACCATATTAAAAATGAATAAGAGGAATGGCAACAGAAAACATAAACATTGACATTAGACCCAATGAACTTTTCACAACCGTTAGTCTCTCCTTAAAACTGACACAATAAGGCTGTTATATTGTAGCCTCTGCCAACCTGAGGGATTTTCTTCATTGAAATGTGACTTAAGTGTGTATTTTGGTTAGCAGACGGGGGCCGGGTTCAGTGTTTTTAATGTCACATTAAATTGCACACACAGAGAGCACACACCCACTTAGGTTCAAGATTCAGTGAACATAATTACAACCCTCAGTAACAGTTCATCCCTGCCAACCTACTCATCAGGACCCTGTAAGGCAACTGGCAACCCACCATTACACAGCCCCGTACTGTACACACACACACACACACACACACACACACACACACACACACACACACACACACACACACACACACACACACACACACTGCTCCCCAGCTTAAGCCAGGGTCATCATGTTGCACAACAGCATTGATTTCTGCTGAAAGCTCAACAGCACAACTCGATCACAACACACACACAGCTCACTGTCTCTCATTCACAGGCTCACCCACAGATCACAGGGCTGTTTATGTTCCAGTTGCTGATGAATGGCTGTTACTAAAAGATCTTTTAAGTGATTGTCGCCTAAGGCTTGACACAACACTCTGATATTTGTGTATCTCACATCAGCCTGTGCAACAAATGTTAAATGTCAGTTGACCCATTTATTAAAAGACACAAATGGTGGCTGATGTCTTTTGTTGTACCTAAAGAAAGAGCTCAAATCAATAGCAACACCTTTTACCATCAATAATGATTAGATTTTGATGTCAATAGATTTAATTTTAAGGAATAACTAGCAGAATGCCTCACCTCTTTGCTGACTTTGTCTTGTAACTGTTTAAGCTGTTTTTCAACAAAATAATCATCCTGATGCACATCCTGCTTTCTTTTGACAATAAAATACAAAACTTAAACTGTAAGAGTGGTTTCAAACGTGAAAAATGAGGATATGAAAGATATAAACCCTGGCTCCCCCTCAGAAAAGCCCTGAATTTGATTTGCAAATTGTGTTATGTTTAAACGCTCTTAGAAAGAAATACTCATCTGCAGCGTAAACATCAACAAATGCAGTACAAAGAACAAGTCATCCAACAAAGGGTCTATCTACAGGATACTTGCAGTGAGGATGTACTATGCCTTATCTCATTTCTCTTGAGTTAAATGATATTTAAAAAAAGCTCATGTGCTTTTGGTTATCCAGCATTAATGTATTGACATCAACAGGAATAATTGCTTGCTACACTTCATCTGTGAGCTAAATATTTAATTTAATAGTACGCAGTCTGGGGCATTCATATTACCGCCAATCAGGAAAGCCCCCATCACAGCGAATTACACCCCCACACTTACATACCACTGACACACAAGCTCTCCAACACTGCTTTTGTTTGTTGCTGTTATTATGAATGATGAGGGAAAATCTGCGTAAAGATGCTGACATCAGAGCCTGCTGTAAATTACTAACCACCATCTGTGTTGGCTGGCTGAGCAAACAAACAGACCTCAGTGGACTAACTACGATGCGGTTAATAAACACCAAGGTGATCTAGTTACCTCTCCTTATTAATCGCGCACTGAAGTAAAGGTGCGTAATTGTGGGGGACCATGAAAGGGTCCGGATCGGGGGCGCGCTTTAATGTGTCTGCGCAGGAAAGTTGGAGGTCTCTCCCTCTCGTCGCTGCTCGTTAGTATTCACCACATTTACCGACAGATTACAGCATTTACATATGAAAAGAATTGAGCAGCACTTCAGCAGCACAACAGACACTTTGTGGCTTTCTGGGCCTCGCTGGACTGAAACAATTTTGGCCGTGACACCCAGAGACCGTTCCCAAAGTAAAGACACCAAATCAGGGAAGCATGTTGACGAAACACGGAACAAATAAATGTGAAAACTGGCCTCAAATGTTGCACAGTAAGCCACTTCTGCGAGTCAGTGGGTTTTCAAGTGTGCTGGGAAAGTCAGTGTCCGAGTGTAAATGCTGCAGATGCATCAATCTTTAAGAGTCAAAGACAGTAGAAACGGAAACAAGAGGATGATTGTTTCAAAATAAGAGCACCAAATACTCTTCACTCTTAAGACTGCGCAAAACGTTATTTCCTACTCAGTGTGACTTCTACAATGTTTTGTGAAATTGACCTTTTACTCAAAGCCTTCACTACATTCACCACACGTTAGAAATATCTACGATCATATAACTTTGTTCAACAACTCTACTTTTGAACATGAAAAAGAAAGAAAGATATTTAATAAAGATATTGAATTTCCCTTCAGGGATAAATAAAACTCCTCTTAATCTTACTCTTATTCTTAAAGGTAAAGTGCATTGAAATGGAAATATTTAGTGATATCTTGACTCTGGAGGGAAACCTCCCACTAAGCATTTTTTGGTCTAAAAGAGGTCTAATAGACATCTAAATGTAGCCCAAGACTAAAATCAGGCTGTCACAGGTCTAAAAATGAAATTTTTTTAGATGTCTAAATTTAGACCAAGTTTAGACCAAGTCTAAATATGGGCTAAATCTATACTACACTGTATATTGCTCAACGGTTATCATAATTATTTTGTTAAGTACTTGAAGATCAGTTATGCAACTCACAGTTGCTTTTTGGAATAAATAGTTATTGAATAATGGGTTAAAGTGCAACGTATAAATTCCGTCTAAAAATATACAGAATCTAGACGGTTGAAATTAGGTCTAAAAAAAAGCTAGATGTCTAATAGTGGTCTATTGCTCAGTGGGCTTGTTGTTCACCTCCTCAGTCACTGAAACAATGGTGGCCTTTAACAACATAAAGTAACTGTGCAGCATGGTCAATGTGACCCTCTATCAACTTTTTACCATAAAATTGTCTATAAATACATTTTTTGCACTCTAAAACAACTCGCTCCTACTGCCCTCCAACTTAATGGCAGCTCACTAGATACAGAAGTGAATATGTTACCAGGTTACCTGTCCTGTGCTACCATAGATAAGATTGTGGCCTTGGTGGATGTGGACTTGCTCCTCGCTAGATAAATAAAGCCCATCAAAAGTTAACAAAAACATTATATTTTTTATATTTAGGTGATAGTGTAATAATTCAAACATGACTCTGAACATTTCTATCAAGTCTGTTCTGCTTTATGCCACAAAAACTACATATTGGAGGTGGATTCATTTGGCTGATTAAAAAATAAACAACAAATACCTGGAGACATTGCATGCAGCCTTGTCAATGTTGCCAGTCGTGAGCAGTACAAATATCCCTCTAAATAATGAAATGTTTTACCATCCTTAGTGACACCCAATCAAATCTGACAGTTCCTGGCTAAAGTTTCATATAAATTCTGTTAGAGTAGTACTGTTACTTATCATTTTTGACATAAACATCAAGTATTAAAGTCTAAACTATAACCCCACAATCATTCCAGTTTTATGACATAGCATAAAATCAGTTTTGAACACATCACTGACTTTGGTACCATGCATATTAAATTGTACAGGGAATGAAATAACGGGAGTCATTTCATTTTTTTTTTTTCACAAATTCCAAAAAAATCAGAATCAGCAACATCAACTGTAAGATGTACACTTGCCACCTGCTACCATATTAGTAGCATGCGTATCAGCTGTTAAAAAAATGCTGACAGTCCATCACAACTACATACATCTTCCACTACTACTTTTAAATACTATACAATCTGGTACTGGTCCAAAGAAATAAAAGATTTTTCTTCTTTCAAATATCTAAAGAGAAGCTAATTTCTTCCAAATAGACTTTATTTTGAAAGTTCTAATCGGAAGCAGTACTTACACCTGCTTACCTTGACACCATTAAAATCCTCCACAGATTCTTCGTAAATTTCAACACTTGTTGTAACATGCCAGTATAATTAATCCGATAAACCCCCCTAAAAAACATCAATTTCTAAAAAAAAAAAAAGTCCCCCTTTTTCGTGTTTCTTTCATGAAAATTTGTGTCTAACGTACTTTTTGGAAACTCCTGTCGCGGTTATCTGAACTGTAGTGAATAGAGAGGACAGAGGCGCGTTGAAGTAAGCTAACATATAACAAACAGCATTCAGCAGATCCTCCGAGATTTGACGGTCATCCTGGAGCTCGAAGCACCTGCCGGAGGATGTCTCTTACCGTGTGCGAGGCGGATCAGGGTGGGCAGGCGGAACTTGCTGACCACCGCGTCTAACGGCAGCGCCAACTGGTTCCAAGTGATCTCCGACAGGCTCGCCGACAGCTTCTCCATCCTCCCGGGTCATCACGGTACCGGAGGTAATAGTGTTGATAGCAGCGGAGATAATGATGGGGGTGTAAGCAGTGATGGTAACGATGAGGAGGATGAGGGCGAGGGTGGCGGTATGATGGCAAAGAGTTTCGCCATGTTTGAATGTGGGGAAAGAGAGAGCGCAGTCACAGTTGATGCGCACGAGCGGGAAGGAGGGAGCGCGAGCCCTCTCTCACTCTGCCTCCCTGTCATTCATGACGACCCCCCCCCCCCCCCCCAACACTCACACACACACACACACACACACACACACACACACACACACACACACACACACACATACACACACACACACACACACACACACACACACACACAATAACTGATAGAAAAAGTCAATTAAAATTAGATTACATTTCTAAATCATTTGAGAAATATTTTTAATGTTACTGTTTTTATTTATGTTTAACCACATTACTCACCCGTACACCTGCGGGAAGAAATGCATGGACTACAGACGTGACCAAGCCCTTTCTGGCCCGTAGTGGGCTTATTCCTTGTTTTTGTCTTGGACACATGGTGTCTTGAGCACCTATAGGGTCGAATGCAACAAGGGGTGTCATGAATACAGCACACACTTTTTTTTTATCATAGCACTTTTTTCTTTTTACTGGTCCATATTTTTGTATTGACAGATTCCACACAAGTATAATATTGAACTTATTCAATGTGGTTAACTGCCATAGTACCCAACACTAGTAATAGGACTCCCCCTTCACTCTATATATTTACAAACACTGAGGGCCTGTCAGTGATACACAGGCAAGGATGGAAGCCAGACTATTGATCTGCCAGAAGTCTCACTTTTTTCAGACTTTTCCCCATCTTTGATTTTTTTGGGGAGGAAAAGGGGATTAAGTCGTACTCTTCCTTTGTGAGGTATAAATGTAAGGCAGCACTGTAATAATTCACCTGTAACATTAGTAGCGGACATGCCTTAAACTCCTGTGAGGAACTTTAAGTTTGAGTCTGTTTTGGCACCCTCTTAGGGTAAAGCGGTCTTAACTTGTCTTGACCTTAACATCCTTGATAAGTGTATTCTGACATTAACCTTTTGATAGTCTATTAAAAATGCATGTTGTTTTGAGAATATTGAATGTGGAAAACGTCAAAAGTTTTTTTTTTCTTCAGGAGCTCCACTGAAACCTATTTATCATCAATCTTGTCACTGATAGTTTTGTTTGCTTTTGTACATTAATTTCAATGTATTCCACAAATGTCAAAAATTTCTTTAATCAGTCACCTACCTTATACCAAAACATTTTAATTCTATGGGGAATATATAATGTGTTTTATCTATCCTACCAAAGTCTCAGCTCCATACTGTAGAAAGCAATTATGTCAACTCCCTTTAGATTCCCAGACAAGATCTATGTGGACACGACTTTTTGGTAGAGTACATCATGTAACTCCTCACATCATAGTAGTATTTCATTGCTCCTGTGACAGAGGAATTCTACAAGAGTACTCATGAAGTCCAAAGACATGGCTGCATGAGGTCTACTTTTGGCAGATTAATGAAGTGTCCTGGTTTTCATTTAAGATTTCCGCAAACTATGTATATGTTGCTGAGATATTGTTTTAAACTGGTTTGTGCTTGATAGTATCTGACTAGAGAACTTCCCCAATTGTTTATCACAGCATAATTGAAAAAAAGAGGGAGCACAGCTACTGAAATATAATTAACATTGGTCCAAATTCCACTGTATATACAGTTTTGATGCTGCAGAAGTGGAGCCAGTTTATTCAACTTTTTACTCATCAAACTTTTGGCACCAGGCAGGACTCTGGTCAACCCACCTGGTCCAATGGAGCAAACTACACTGATTCATCTGACTTTGATTTCTGCCAACAGCTTTGAAGCTGAGACAATATGAGTCGTTAGTACTGTATACAATATAAAAATTATATAATTCATCACTTGCTATTCATTCCCCACTTTATAAACTAATTTAATAAATCACCCATATCCTGTTTCTTACTTTTTCACAGCAAATATCTGGAAGCATTTCTGATCTCTCACTAGAAACCCTTAGGAAACCCTGAACCAAAGACCAGGCAGTGCTCCTACATAGGTTTGTTAAAATATAAACTCAAACTGTAACTCATTGGCTCCAAATACTTCACCAGTACAGCCACAACTAAATTTAGCAGACTCCATAATCCATATTACCCGGACTGCGCCAAACTAAAATTTCACATTGGATCTCCAGTTATTGATTACCGATTTAAACAGCGTACAAGTGCTTCATATGAGGTATATGTCTCAACTCTCACCAATGAAAATCCCTGAAAAGTAAAGCCATTGGAAAACCATTCATGCAAGCACATTGGGATGCCCTCCAGAGTCATTCTCATGCTTTTTGTTGGGGACTTTTTCCTTGATGTCCTCTTTGGCCTGTAAACAGTGTTTTAAAAGGTCTAACAGGGTATCACTTTACAGCCAATATAACCAAACAGTTAGAAAAAAAGGCCCAGCAGGAATGATTAAAGGTTTGGATATTAACTTTATTCGTTCCATATTAACAAAAATTCAAAGATGAGGCTGGACTTCTGGACTACAGCTGGCGCATTTTTTACACAGTAGATGAAGGGGTGGTCAGCATGGTGGAGAAGTTAATGGGCAGGCTCTGCAAAAACAGAAAAGAAATCAATAAAAAGTCTGTAATAACCCGAATATGACCCTAACCAAGTTTTGATTCAGTTTTCTTTATCTGGTAGGTTGGATGCAATTTACATATTAACATTATAAATAAAATTACCAAGAGGGTTTCTAGCTTTTGTTCATTTTCATCTCATGTTCCACATTGGGCTTTAGCACATGTGATATTAAGATCATAAAAACATGATATAAAAACTTCAGATTACCACAACCACATGTGCTGTAAGCAGTAACATCCAAAGTAGTGATGCTGGCGACACCTAGAGGATAATTGTTGCACCACATCCGACTCATGAGCCACTGGTCTTTTTATTCATCTAAAATCAACCATCTCATTAATCTAATTAAACTCCTAAGTCTCTTTAACAAGGAACATTATATATAACCGATCGAAAACACAAATTCTCAACTTGCTACGACTGCAAATAGTTATGTCTTAATTCAAAGGGAAATCCTGATGTAGAACTTACTCAAAAGTTAAATTGTTGATCATCATTCTACTGCTAAGTGGTAGGTTACTTGAAAAGGTCAAAAATCAGTTTAGTGGTATACACCCAAGTACGTAAGTATAACTTCATTGTAGCAGCTGGTAAAATCTTAGGTTACTTACTGTCCTTGACAGCCTTCTTGCCTGAAATAGAAAAAACAGACTCTACATTAGTCTCATATCACCACATATACCTTTGGTTACAGTTGTGCATATCTGCAATAACTACGCACACAGACAAGCACATTGCACTTGTGTATTTCATTTAGTTGAAACGTATGCATGTTGTATTTTCACTTATACCAATTCCAACTTTACACTCACCTCCATAGGAAACTTTGTAGTACAGGTATGTCATAATGCCCACACCCACCCACATCTCCTGGTAGGCCTTGGTGTAGTATGGACTCATCAGGGCCCACCAATTTGCAAATGCACGTCCAGCCATCTGAGGGAGAGAAAGCACCGGCACAGTGTCATGCAGAGTCAGAGCAATAATGCAAACTCACACTACATATACTCGGTAAATGCAAACGGAGATCACCTAAAACTTGTGATAAAGCTGACTCTAGACCCACAATGCAACTGTGACCCTCAAATGCATTGTGAGTCCGGCTAAGAACTCTGGACACTTGGGGAAAGGTGTGCTAAAGACAGAGGTTTTCGACACCTCAGCATTTCTACATAGTGCCTTCAATGTCACAAAGACATTCATTTAATCCCTGACTATTCAAAGACTCGCCTGACCTGTAGATACCCAAACGCTTTTACGTAACGCTAATGCTTACAGAAGACCAACTATCTACACTAGGCGGAGTTAACATTGACAACAAAGTATGCAAGGAGGAGTACTCAAAACCACGCATTTAGATTTACAATTTGTGTTGATCAGTGTAAACTGTCTCAACACTTGAATCAATGAATAGCTCCAGACTAGCATGTTAGCACAGTCCCAGAATCACAGAAGAATGCTAACTAGCCTTAACAGGTAGCTAGCTGCGTACACAGCCACCGTAAGAGGAGAAGCTGTCTTTATTTAAAGTTGCTGTTATACGTTTTTAACATTTCATTATTAATGTTTATTTGGGTGCACTTATTTAAAGTTTATTCTTCTCTTACCTTTCAGTTTGTCACGTTGCTGTGAGAAGGTCAGGACAGCTGCTACCGCTAAACGCCAAAGTCGTGGGGAGTCTTCTTCTGCTATAGACCGTGAAATGTTTCTGTTATTGTCCACCATGCAGCGCCCCCTAATGGAGGTACATGACTGACACAATTGAGAAACTCTGAGCTGTCTATTGTCTCCACCTCGAGGACTTCAACGGCAATGCAATTCCTGACCACTGTATTTTCTTCTTGAACTCACTGGACAGATAAACAGTGGAAGTCTGTAACTTGAGTATTAAAACTATGTTTTAAAAACATCTAAAAATATATTATTGTGCTACATTAGATTTATCAAGAAAAAAAATAAATTTTTTGGACTTGCTCAAGATTTCCAGATGTGCAGCTCCAAATAAAAGGAACGATAATAAGTGCATCCAACCCTGGAATAAAAACATATACACACAGATGACTTGGTGAATTTGTGGACTTGGTGTATAGTAAATAGATCTACAAATTCTTCATTTCAAATACTTAATATCTATTTAACAGCTTTGTCAGATAGTCTAGATTTGTTTTTGGAAACCCACCAATTTTAGTGCATAAATTGGAGTAAAATCACACACCTTTTTCCATGTTACTTTCTGTTATCCAAGTTACCTGTTACTCTGATTGTGACCGTATATTTGCATTGGATCCAGACAGAAAACCAGACCGACGACTCTTGATTCTACCACACAAGATCTTTTTATTCTTTCTTAAATATAGACATTTGGTAATGAGTTTTTTGTATTTCTCCAACACGTTCATACAGCTGACATGTGTCAGTACATGCACCCAATTAGTGCATCACCTTTCTGGGCAATAGTCACATCAATGATTACCTTTATAAGCGGTTATCTGCCGACACTGATATCATGTATCCCTAAGATGAAACCACAATGAAATTTTGGAATTTCCCATTGTGGGACTAATAAAGGAATATCTTATCAAAAGATTTCCTTTTATTTTATAGTTAAGAGACATTTTTTAGAAAGATACTCAACTAAATCACTAGGCAAGTTGAAAAGGGTTAATGCTGCACCAAACTGGATTGGTAGGTGGCTCTTTTTAAAACTCCAGTGTGGGGTCAGATTCTGGCAGCCAGCCAACAATGCACAAAGGTAATGCTGTACTTTAGACGGATAGATAGACGGTAACTGACCATCAGGTAGTAGAATGTTCACTCATGCCAGAGGCTCAGGTTATTGTTGTGAATCAACATAGTGAGATTTGACATAATTTTTAATGCAGTTTGACCTAATATCGGTAATGCTTGAGTGGTGAGAGGACACAAAACAACAACCTTACATCATTAAAACCTTCAATTATCACTTCCTGTTACAGTCCCAAAACACCATCACAGTGTTTTTATTCACTTCAGTTTATTGGGGACTTTCCAGTGAACATGCAGCTACCTTATACCTCGCTCTACTTTCACACCTGTGCTGCTGCCATTATAGAACTGGGAATTTGAGGTAAGGGTGCAGCTGCTGTGTGGTACACACACTTTCCACCTGCTTTGTCTGCTCACCATAGTAAGGCAACAAACAAAACAAAACAGTGGCACTGCTTTCAAGGGTAAAGGTGGCATAGAGGGACTGCTGGCTGTTTTCTCTTTCAGTTTAGGTACAACATTACAAAATAGAGGGACACTGGCTCCAGATTTGGGTTTAAGTGTTTTTATTGTGGTCTCTCAGGGGAATATAAGAAAAGGATGAGAAAAAAGTAGATAAAAACTTAGGCATCGGTTAAAATTATCTTTGCAAGCAAACCCGGAAGTCAAACAAATCAACTCTGGGATTTGAGAGGATATGACTTTTTTTCTTCTCCAGAGAGGATTATGTGTATATATCAGCCTGCAGGAGTGATTTGGGCCTGTAGTGAACGTGGGCGGGACTCCCAGCCTTTTTTGTCCTCGGCTCCAATAGGAGGGCAGCACCTTGTTTCATTTATGAGCACCAAAGGGCCAAGTCCTATTTGAAGGGACTCGACCCAGTGAATCCATGTAGACCTGTGCCAAAATGAAAGGACACAGCTGAGGACGTGCACTCTGCACAGTCTACTTGACTTCTCATGGTTAGGCACTGTACGCTGTAGCTGCGCTCTCTGTGACTACAGCACCACAGGTATGTTGAAGATTTGTGACCAGGCCATCTATTTTTGTATCTACATTTGCTCTCTCCAGGCTGCTCAGTTCTTACTCCTCTTTAGGTTCTTTGTTTTAGAGTTTGCATGTGTCTACTTGCATTTGAGTGTGTATGCGTGTGTCTGTGGCAACGTAAGGGTGTGGATGGGCGCGTTCTTACTCTTACATGACTAATCTGGCAGCAGAGGCAGTTAGATTAAATGTTTTGAAGAGAAAAAAACTAAGCTCAGCTGTATTAACCCTGAGTAGTCTGTCCTCAATCTCGAGGGGACACTTTGCTAACCTGTCTCCTGCGCCTCCCTGAGGTCGATCCTGTGCTGCGGTTGGGGGCTACATGGCTTCAGGTGGTGCAGAGGAAGACGATGGAGGCATTCCATTGGACATTGACAATGTGCACATGCTCCTACAAGGTCAGTCTATTTCTGTACTTTTATATGTGCTCTGACATGTGATTGCTGTGATGGGGACCACAGTGGTGATTGAAGGATGCCTCGACACTGTTTCATTTTGTACAAAGTGTCTTGTGCCACAGTGCAGTGGTTACAGTTCTGTATACAGCAGTAATTAAAAAAACCCTCAGCACTTCTTATTGAAAATGATCCAATTTGCACCAAATCTAGGAAAGACAGTGACTTTTTCATGTAATTAAAACATAGTGATATATATATATATATCTGAAAGTATTGCAGTCTCTAAACCACCCAACATCCGAACACTACTGTTTGTATAGTCAGGAACGTCTATTTGCCAGTGAAACAATACAGCCATGTAACTGATTATCAGGAAGAGTACAATGAAAGATTCTTTTTATCAATGCAGTATCAAAAATGGAATACTCATGCATATTGATTTTGGCCTCAGTTGTTATTCAAAGAGGGGGTTTTATGCTTTTTTATACTTCATAGATAAATACTGAGTTAAAATGTTGAAGTCAATGCTAAATATGAAAAATGTATCAGACAGTGCGGTTAACATGTGTTCGAGTAATCCCAAAATGAGACCGCAATCTACTCTGAACATCTTCTAAGAGTTACACGAGAACTGAGTAAGAGCTACATTGGCCCAATTTGTGACATCACTAATTGGCAAACTCCTTAAAGGGACAAAATAAACCAGCTCCTACCAAACAGAGACATCCTCCATTCTTCTTTGTTGTTTAGGATTTTCTTCCCCCTTTCCAGACTTTCTAGTGTAGACCTGAGGCCCAGAACACATGGCCATATTTCAAAATTTGTCATTTTAGTTAGAGAAACATTATTAGCCGAAATGAAGCCTTTCAGACAGAGGCTGTAATTAGGGTTTTCACAGAAACCAATCTGAGAGAGGTAAATTGTTTACTTTATGTATTTAACTTTTTTTGAAATCTCTATTTATTATTCAAGTATGAATCTAATAAAAACTCATACACTGTAAATCACGGGAATGACTCAAAACAGCCACTGTATTAACCAAAGTTGACATAAAATCTGTCTTTTCTATTGTTGTCTTTTAAGATTATAAGCCTCACAATAAAATAAGTGTTGGCATTAAGCCGTGACTCTGCTTTTAATTAGATAAAACATTTAATAGCCTTACCAAACTGGTCTTCAGTCACACCGAAACACATTACACATGATCAATCTTTCTGCATCAGATGCTAAAGCCTCTGCAAACTATGTGGACAGTCACTGATTTGGCGGGAATTCAATCATGAAACACATATAAAGGTGTCCAACAGAGTCTGTTTGACAAAATACTAAACTAAATCTATGGATACAATTGTAAAAGTTCCTCACGTGACATATAAACTAAAACTGAAATGAAAATGTTGTCATTATAAATCTCTACTGCACACTCTCGCAACGTCAAATAACCTAAAGTAGAAGAAGAACTGGGGCTGTCATAAACAAAGAGTTTAATTGGTTTTTGCCGTGAGAAAACATTTGACTGATGCCTTTTATAAAGGCCTAGAGCCAAAAACAAATTATAAATACGCTGAAACCGCCTTCTTCTTTTGTTTTGAGCAAGTCATTGAACTGGGTGGAGTTCAGCGCTTAAGAACCTGAGGAGTTCCCAGCTTTGGCGAGCTCTCAAACCAACAGTTCACCTGAGCACGCATGAGGGCAAAAACCTTAAAGTGACTTATCTGGTTTCTTAAACAAAACATCCAGTTTACTTGTTGATCTATCTAAAGAATATGAAATACTGAACAATCTCAACAGCTTGTTTGTAATATTGGCACTATACAGAATGCCATTGTAGGTTGTATTTAACAGCAACACAAAAATGCCTATTAAGTAAGAGTCTTGAGTTGCCTCATTGCCCACTGAGAATGAAAGTAGTGGTTAGAGTGTTATGAGCTTGACATGGGAAAGGTCCTGTAATTAGGTTTGGTATATTTGTTAATTTTCTTGGAGTGCGTTCAGTTTAAAGCTCCTGTAGAGACTTCTTAATAATTATACCTCTAGATTTAACCCACAAAAGCATTACAGACATAAGAGACAAGACCGCGTGATTGTGTTCTGCCTGTCTTAATGACTGTGAGTACCGTCTTGGTAGTGTCAGACAAGCATGCTGAGGGAACAGTTTTTTTTTTTATTCTTTTTTTTTTGCCACATTTTTCACAGCTTAAATTCACAGTGAGGATGCATTTAACTATGAAAGAAATGAGGATCTGATTTTTGCCAGAAAACTACTTTAACATTTTCAGAGATCAGGGGCCTGTACCATAGAGCAGGATTTGCAGACATTGAGGTAACTTTGGGTTTTCTGTACCACAGGGTAATTAAAGCTCCTGTGAGGGTTCTCTAATAATTAATTCAATTAATTCAATCGTGTAATTATTGATGCCTAAAACTGAAGTGAGGGGGTAGGTGTCAGTGAAGTGGCTTAAAAAAGCCCAGCTTTTCATTTTCCACATAAAATATCAACAATGAGTGATCCACTGGAATGTCAAAGGTCAGAATGACAAGATTGTGAGGGTGCCTTAATTGACAGAAATGAAGAGTTCCCAACAGGAGCTTTAATATCAACGTTTCTTCAGTGTTTGAAATATATGATGATCTGTAGATGGCTTACAGTAACTCCTGATCGACTCATCAAGTTGATAACCAGCTTTGTGTGACTGCTTAGTTTGATCCTCTGCATAAAAGATACTTGGGGTATGATGAACTTGCTTATTCCTCCACAAGGAGGCACCAAAATGTAAACTAAAATTCCTCCAGGGACTTTACAGCAGAAAAATCCTTAATTGGTGAAAACGGGTTGTTTTTTGTGATGAAAACAGACAGCAGACATCAAAATCATCTTTCATATTTCCTCTGTTTGTCCTGAAAGCAAACTCTTCAAGCTTAAGCAGGGACTAAACTACCTCCATATATCTTTAAGCTGTCTGTCACCTTCGATACCAGGAACCAGGAACCCCTTTATAATCTTAAAAATAGCAGAAGGTTGATATTTTGGTAACAGAGGCTTAAAGGTTCTGGTCTAGTACCCTTTAAAGAACCATGTATGACCAAAGACCCTTCACTGTGTGTTCATATGGCTGTCTGAGTTTTCTTTATTGCTGTTGCTATGTGTGTGTATTAGCATGTGTGTGCAAGTATCTATGTCCGTCACTGTCTTGGAAGCCAGCCCGGCTTGAAGCCAGATCCCAGTGGGTAACTTTAGTGTAGCTCCAGGAAGAAGCCTGGAGCTCTGGGTCATCGTGTCAGAGAGAGCACTTAAATTTGTGGTTCTTTTATCACACATGGAGTTAAATGCTGTTTTTAATGAGTATGGAGCGTCCGAGAGTAGGTCATACGGCTGCTGCTGCTGCTGCTGGTAAGTTTATGATCTCCCACCAGCAGCTCAGATGAGAGGGACACTCTTCATATCAGGTTCCAGGATAATTACCGATTTATCTGCAGCACGTTCCAGGCAGAGACTCTCTGAGAAAAACATTTGTCAACATTTGTTTGCATTATCTGCTGGTCTCAGTCTTAGAGGAGTTAAAACACAAGATAGGCTGATGAAAAGAAAAAAAAATCTTTATAGATAAACTGCTCCACCTGTTCTCTAGTGTTTTGTGAGAAGTAAACATCCAAACTATACTTTGATAGAGGTGGACTAAAAGTAAAAAAAGAAAAAAAAGAAAGAAAAATAAACGCTTTTACAAAGAGGACTAAACACAAATTCAAGTTGTTACACGTACAACTGTCACTCCAAATCATCTAACTAAAAAGATTTCATCTTTTTTGCATCAATTCCTTCTGAAAATGTTTGGATTATTACAGTTTTGTCTATTTTCTCAACAGTGGAGCATGAACAGATTCAGAAAAGGACATTTACCAACTGGATAAACGCCCAACTGTCTAAGGTATGTACAGATGTCATTTATGTATGATGGTTATATGATAAAGAAACAAAATTGAACAAGATGGAAAAGAGTTTTAACTTGATTTTGTGGAAAATGATACACACACCGACAAATTTGTAAAAACTCAAAGCTGAAAAGTATTTGAATACTTTAACCAAAAGACAAACTTGTTTTTGGTATCAGCACCAGCATCAGCACCAGAAAACTGATTTCAGGCATCCATTTGTCAATAGATCCAGGTTGTGCTGAGGATAACTAACAATAACAATAACTCAGATAAAAATGATGAATTCTGTCTACAGATCAGTTGCAATACTTGAAAGATTTGATGTGAAGAAAGGGTGAGGCGGTGGTGCAAAGTGAGGAAGGATTAGGAGAAACTGTCGAATGCTTTGTCGATTTTTCTTTTGTTTTTGGCTTTTGCATATAATTCATGTTTTTTAGGAATTCTGATTTTTAAGATTCCAAAACCTCGAGCTAAAGCTTGTGTAAGAAATGTTTTTCTAGTTCTGAAACAGTCTGTAATTAATGCCAATGCCTCCATGTGACCAGAGCATCAATTAGAAGATGAATCATTTCTCTGAGGTAGTTTTGAATGACTCTTTCTGCTGCCACAGGGTCAGTGTCAGGTGAGGAGAAGAAAAGCACAATGCTAAAACTGCCTTTGTTGACTTTTTCCTGGGCAAGGATTCACAGGAAGTGAGTCTATATAACAAATAGACATATTGTCACTCATTTGTTTATAAAGTGGAGTTTTGAAGCCTATTGGTCCTCATATTAGGCATATAGTAGGTGCCATGAAAGCCCAGAGCTATTCAGAACAAAACAATTTTTTGAAACAGGCTGAAAAGTTTTAAATTTTTGCTCTGCTTTTTTGACTATGTGTAGATGATACAAGTGATGTGACAAAAAAGAAAAAAAAACTCAAAAAAGATTACTTTTTTTGATGATTGTAAAAACAGGGCTGTGTCTTCCGCTGACCCCTCTCCTATCGCTCTAATTGCAGACTGTTAAAAAGCATGATATGTAGTGGTCAGTCTTGTTGCCGATGATCTTGCTTGTGTTTAGATATCATGTAAAAGCATCAATATGAATTTAAGTCTATTTCAATAAGGTCAAAAAAATCCTCATAGGAGCTTTAATCTTCTGTTTGTTTGGATGACATTGAGCTCTAAAGATGTTTTGGAGATCTCTGCAAAGGAGCGTTGGAAAACTGACTGATGTCATGTTGTGGTGGATATGTCATGTGTAAGTGATATTAATTAAGGTGTAAACATGCTGACTCACTGCTGAGGTGAAGTGAAGCGGCTCACATGGACCTGAGACACTGAGCAGCTCTCAACTCTCGCCTAAAGTATAAATAGAGCCCTAGTGAAGCAGAACAGCATGTAATCTGAATCCTGCCACCTCGTCATAACCTCATGCCTGCGCTGTAAAACCACTGGTCCATAACCTGCCATCTGCTACAATAATCTCCTGACAACCCCAACATGAGATACTTCCTTTGTGTCTAGGGGACAGTGGTCCCTGCTGTGAAGCTTTGAAAGGAAGTTTTAAAGCGTGGGATAAGAAAATATGGAGGGTATAAGATTTATCTTTGAAGAGACTCTGTTTTGTTTTAGCTCTTTTAGATGGTAGCAGAAAACTCTTGTCAAGTAGCCTGAAGAACTGTCTGTTTTGTCTAAAATAATGCAGTAAACTGAAATAAAGTCAAACAGAGACTCTGGGATACCTGTATCTATTTATTTCTATGTATCTTGCAGGTGGATTGATGAATGAGTCATACCAAATGTTCTTTATTTTTACAGAGATGCCCTCCCACGTTTGTGTCAGACCTCTTCTCAGACCTCAAGGATGGATCCCACCTGCTCGACCTGCTGGAGGTGATGACAGGTCAACCCATGGTGAGATGATAAACAGTTTATTTGATCCCAGTGAGCTTGAATTGATTCAAACCCTGACAAGTTTGACTCTTGGGCTAGTACAGAGCTTAAAAACAAACACACACACATGCTGCTGGTGTCACAAAGGAGCCAATGTTATGATTTATTCCCTCAGAAAAGACAAAGAGGCCGAGGGGTTTTCCAGCAGAGGGCCAACATCGACACAGCGCTCAACTTCCTGAAGAAAAAATCTGTAAGAAAACCAACAAACCAAGCCTGTTTTACAGAAGTCTGCAGTTTGATGCATGAACATAATTTTTATTTTATGTTGTAGGTCAAACTGGTTAATATTAACATCCCAGATATCATCGATGGACGGCCCTCCATCATCCTGGGCCTCATATGGACCATCATCCTCCACTGCCATGTGAGTGAAAGTGAAAGCACAGCCTGTCTATAGAGGATCTGATGATTTCATCGCTCATATGTTCTTCTTTCTGTTTCAGATCGAGGAGCTGGCCAGCACGCTCTCCTACAGCTCTTGTCATTCCTCCCTTGACTCTCTGACCAGCCTAGACTCCTACTCTAGCAGCCCTATCCCAGCTAGTCCAGTCCCAGCAGGCCGGACTTCACCTCTGCACAGACGCTTCCGACTATCTGCCAAGAAGGCCCTGCTCATGTGGGTCAGGGACCAGTGCCAGAGGTGGGGTTATCCACCAAACACAGCACATGTACAACTCCTCCAAGAGCTTTTGGAAGTTTCTGAGTTTCTCTCTCCCTCTAGGGTTGGTTGTTCTCTCAGTGTGAAGGATTTTAAGAAGAGCTGGAGAAGTGGAGAGGCTTTCTTGGCCATCCTGTGCTCTCTCAGACCTCAGCTGGTTGATCTCTCCTTGGTCAAATCTAGAAGCAACATAGAGAACCTGGAAGAGGTGTTTCACCTGGCTGAGAGGGAGCTCCACATTCCCCGCCTGCTGGAGCCCCAGGGTGAGGCTGATTCAACGCCAAACTTTCCTCACCTACTGCCATCTTGATTTTTGCAACCTGCAGCTTCTATGAAAACTGATCAATGAATGCTTCTGCTCCTTACTAAGCCTGTATGTTTATTTAGATGTTGATGTTAAAGACCCTGATGAGAAGTCTATCATGACGTATGTGGCCCAATTTCTACAATACTCCAATGACATGCCATCTCCTGATGACCACCTGCAGGTAGACAACCAAACCAGTATTTGAGTCAGCCTTGTCTTGCATAGACACAACAGCAGTGAAACCCAGGACTGCTCTTTTTGCTTGAGTAACTGTGACTATAATAGAACCACGGTTTTCACCCTCTCTGCCCAACCTACCACCTCTTTTTTCCTCTATTCTATCCGGCGGTTTCGGTGCTGGTGTAGCTGTTTCCTCTGGTCGAGCCCTCCTCTCTTCCACCTCTCAACCTGTCTGCTCACTTTGCTCCAGCATTTGCTGTCTCACCATTACGCCAGGTAGCTTCACAAAAAGTTTAAAGGTCCTTCTTTTGGTTTTGGGCATCAATGCTTCAAAGTTAAATGACTATTTCTGTATTGAGCTCCCTTTAGTTTGAAAAACAAGTATACAATTATCTGATATATCCCTTTCTGGGTGTCATACTTACCTTTTGCATATGTCTACCATATTTAGAGATGTTTTAAAGTTAATGTGCTTTGGTAAAGCGCAGGATGACCTTAAAATGTTGAAATTTAGGTTCCTCCGAGTGAGCGAGCCAAAGAAGTGACCAGCTGGCTGCAGCAAACCCACCAGGAGCTGTTAGAGGCACGAACAGCAACAGAAAATTCGAGCTTCGCTGAAAAGTATCAGGTAAGGCAAAGACCAAGCAAGAAAATGATTTCAAAAACACAGTTTGGACAAAGTTAGTAAGTTGTTTTGAATTATTAGGCATTTCAGAGGCTTGCTGACTCTTTCACTGAGCAACGGAAACCAGTGATGACCCTCCTTGCTGCCATAAAACGCTGCCCTGAGCTGAACCAGGAGCAGCGAGCTCTCAGGGCAGCGTGGGATCATCTGGAGGAGGAGGTAAGGATATCAATCTCCAGATCATTAAGGAACTCTTAAATTAGACTAAAAACTGTGAAGACCAGATCCTGTTTGTGTGTGTCTTTTACAGATGCAGAGATATAAAGCAGACCTGGACTTGGGTCTTCCTCCTCCTCTGGACTCAGTGGTTATGTGGCTGCAGCATGCAGAGGCAGCGCTGACAGAGGAGGGCGGGAAAGGAAAAGATCATGCAGATGCTGCAAAAGATGCAAGGACTGGACAAGATCAATTAAAGGTTGGAAAAACATGAACAAAAAAAAGAAAGTCTACAAAGTTTATGGAGGGGAATGGGGAGGGTCTTCAGAATAAAAGCACTTTAGACTTGTTGTGACACTCAAGCGGATATTGTTGTTTGCAATTATTCTGATGCTGTTTTTCAGACTTTAATGAAAGAGATGAGCCGTCATGTTAATACCCTCGATACCTACAAAAACATGGACAACTCAGGGAACGTAGTCGTGCCTCTTGAGAAGTTCGATGAGGTAAAAAGACGGTAAGTGAAACACTTGTTCAAGATCTTTTTTTAAGAGTCTGAGGCCGGGCTCTTTATTGTGACCGGGATCACAGGCTTATGACTGAGTAAAGCACTTTTATATTTCTTTCATGTAGAACAACTTACTGGTAAGTTCACAATGATCACACACCAGCTTCACACTCTGTACACTTACAACAACGTCTGACAACTGCCAGACATCTGCTGCTCAGAGCTGCGCAGAGGAGTTGATTTACAACAGTTGAAACAAATTTCACAGTTAATATTCTTCTTACTGAAAAGCAGCTGGTTCTAAAATGAATGAATGAATACTTGGTTGTGCACAGCTCTTATGAAGGGGCTTGAGCTGCAGTCGGCCTCGGCCTGATTTAAGGTCATCCAGAGGAGGAATTGTTGTCATGACTGAAGAGTTTGCGAGTGATGATATTTGTAAATACTTTAAGTTCTGTTGTGAATGAGCAGTTTTTGCAATGCGTTCCATTTGCGTTTTTCTCCAAATGAATGCAAAATGGCCCATGCACTGGTGCTTAGTGACACTATTTCTTTGACAGTGCAGTTTTTGAAGCATTGAAACATTTGCATAAACTTTGTGAATTTGAAAATGTCTTTTTGACTCATTTGCACTGTATCTGTGAGCATTAAAGGGATATTCCGGCATAAAATTAATTTAGGGTCAAACACCCCGTAACACCGAGTTGGACACCCTGTCGAGAGATGAATGTTGCCGACTGCTTGCTTCTTTAGTTATACCAACTTTAGTAACGACCGCACAATAACAATACAGAGAGCCATGCACTCAACCAAAAAGCCACTCTATAGCCACAAATAATGCTCAGAACAGCACCTAACTTCATCAACAGTACATATAGGGTCCTAGCCATGGTAATAGCCATCTAAAATGTTTTAACGTTGCCTGGTTTCTTTAGCAAAGAGACTAAACACAACTCACCCACTCTCCTCCAGCAGCCACTCATTTGTGGGGGAGCCCTGACGGGCCAGTCCATTATGGACTGCTACGGGGTGACGCAGCTCAAGGAAGAACAATTATGAATGCAATCAGACTGAAATGCTGAGGCAGAAGAACTACCGTGTCTGCAGTGCAAAATGATTAATATGATGATTAGTACTTCAAGGAAATGATAAAAAAATTATCATATATGTTCTTCCTTGAGCTGCGTCCCCCCCGCTGCAGTCGAAGGACTCGCCCAAGGTCTCGCTACAAACAAGCAGCTGCTGGAAGAGAGTGGGTGAGTCGTGTTTAGTCCCTTTGTTAAAGGAACCAGGCAAAGCTATAAAGATGTTTGATGGCTAGTGCTATGGCTGGGACCCTATATGTACTGTTGATGAAGTTAGGTGCTGTTTTGAGCATTGAGAGTGACTTTTTGGGTGAGAGCGTGGCTCTCTGTATTGCTATTATACGGTCCTTACTAATGTTGGTATAACTGGAGAAGCAAGCGGTCAGCAAAATTCATCTCTCGAGGGGGTGTCTAATTCGGTGTTATGGTGTGTTTGACCCTAACTTCATTTTACACCAGAATATCCCTTTAAAAGCCACACAATCCCTTTGGGAATCAGCTCTTGACTTTGCCCAACAATATGAACAATCCTTAAACAGAGAGACATTGATATAAAGCCCTCCCTCTAATACAAGCCTGTTTCAAATAAAAAACCTGGTACCCTAACCCACAGTATAAACAAAAGACCGGGCTTCCATTGAAAGATTTACAGTGAATTAAAAGTGCATCATGATTCCAACAAATGACTCATACAATGATTTAACGTCTTCTATACAGTCTAACTGATGTCCGAGTCACAGCCAAGTATCAAGGGATCAAGCTAGAATACCAGGAATCTCGTCACACTGTGCTGGATCTCCTGGGTCGACTTCATGACAAAGTCCAGGCCTGGAAAGCCCCCTACAGATCCCAGGAGACAGTGATTCAGCTTCTTCAGGACTGGCATGTAAATATCTGACAGAGCAAGATAAAAAACCTTAACAAACCCATAATTTCACACCGTTGTTGTAAGGAAAATATGTGTGAACAAAGGAACTTGCAAAGAACTCAGGAGAGCAAACTGAGATTTTTGGCCTTGGCTGAGAACAGTTGACCAGTTTTTCAAATAAATAGTTGAAGAGATTGTGAAAACAACAACAAAAACCTACAGGAGTGATGAGTTGTTGATGTGTTTTCCAGGAGACAGTGGAGCGCCAAGGCCTGCTTCTTATTCTAGTGGACGCTCTCCAAAACCTGAAGGAGAAGTTGAGCGTCTACACCAGCAAAGCAGCTCTAAGTATGACATCAAAACAAGCCTGCAACTAGACTTCCCTTGTTTCCCTAAGACTTGACCTTTGTACACATCTCCTTCCTCCAGGTGAGGATTCCCAGCTTGTTACTCGCCAGGTGAAGGAAGCAGAGAGTGAAGCAGCAATGATAAAGCAGGCTGTGACCACTGTGAAAGGGATGATGGAGAGAGTGGTATCTGCGTGGGTGACCTACTACAGCTGCATGACGTCTCTTCAAACGTGGCTGGCCCGGAAAATAGATGAACATGACCAGGTACTTCAGCCTGTTTGACCAAGAACTGGCCAAGAGTGACCTTAAATAATCAAAACTTACTGTTTTAATGAACCCTTTTCTGACAATCACTCTGTAATGTGATTCCTGCAGGATATGAGTGAGAGGGCTTCATGTCAGGCCAAGTTAAATGAGGCGGGAAACCTGCTCATCGAAGTGACCGAGTCTTCAACCAGCCGTGTTTTGGCAGAGCAACTCAGCAAAGTTAACATGCAGTGGGCTGAACGCATGAAGAAAAAGTTTGTGAGTGGAACAGACTTTCTGTGGAATTAACGTATATAAAGTGAAAGATGATTTAAAAAGGTTCATAGTTGAATTTCTACTGAGGCTTTTTTCCTTGGATGTTTAATTTCTACATAATAAAAATTTAAAAATACAACATTAAAGCCTGTTCTTGACTTTGTGTCCCTTTCAGGAAGCACCCTCAGAGTCCACTTCTAGCCTCCTGTGCCCTCAAATGGTGCATTCACTGACCCAGGAGGCCAGCTTGTTGCTAATACAGCCACTGGAGGTGGCTACAGTCCCTGTGAAAGCTACCAGAAAGAAACTACAAGTGAGTAAAGAAAGAGAAATGATTACTGAAGTATACTAAGGTTGAGGTTCTTCCTATACTCATCATACTTTCTTTTTATCAGCTGCTGAGTAAGAAGATGACTGAGTTGGACCCCTCAACTTTAAGCCCATCTAAAGACTCCCAAATTCCTCAGGTGCTGCACGAGTTCTATTACTGTGATAAATTTATATTGATTATATGTCTTTCCCATCACTGTTTTCTGTTCCTCTGCACTTAAACTCAGGAGATGGTTCAGCTCTGATTTTTTTTTTTTTAATTTGTGCTGCAGATGCTGGTAGAGGCAGAGCAGACCTGTGAGGAGCTGCAGAGGGCTGCATCCATAGTGGAGGGCCATCTGGCTGAGCTGGACCGCTGGAGCACAGAGGCCATGGACTGCTACCTAAAACTGAAGGAGAAGGAGCAGAGAGGACGCCCTGCATTGGAGTCTCAAGCCAAAGTCAGTAAAGCTAAACTAATTTAATCAGGCAATTGAATGGATTCTTGATGATCGTATTTTTATGATTGTAGGGAGCTGTAACTGTAGTTGAAATCTTATCAATGGTACAGCTCTGCCTCTGAGGTGTTAAAACCACACCAGTGTTTTATGTTGGGACTTAAAAAGACAAACTACAATGTGGATAACACTGTATGTCATGTGATTTCTTCAAGTTCCTGATCTCTCGAGGTTCACAGCTTGAAAACCAGGTTGTGACTGAAGGACAGGATCTCCAGGATCTTGTGGAACGAGTGCAGACAACCTCTCCTCTGCAGCATCTCAGCACCTCTGCTGTACAGGACAGGATCTCAGAGGCAGTCGCACACTGCCAGGTGAGCTGGTTCTGAAGGTAATCATTGTGTGGTTAACTCTTTTTTAGTAATGATGTATTTGCTTCATATTTTAGGAAATTCTTGAAATGTTCAGCCCCCTTGGGTATCAGCGACCCCGTCAGACACAGGCTGGATCAATTGTTGTCGCCAGAACCAAACATGTTGACCAGGTTGAGAATGTCCTTCTGAAAACCCAGGACCCAAACCAGGTTTCAGCAGAGTTTCCATCCCAGGTGCTTCAACAAAGGACTACAGGACTGCAGAATTCTAACTCAAAGGATCAAGCAACTGTTGTCATGCCTCTGCTGCCAAAGCCTTTAGTTGAGCCTGTACCTGAACTTTACTGTCCTCCCCCTCAAACTGAATATGATACAACGATTCCACCCCAGTCAGTTTCTACATCCCAGGGCCAAGCTACAGGTCCAAGACAAAGTGATCAACCATCTTCAACAAGTCCAGTTCTGCACAAGCCTGAAACAAGTCCGGTCTCATCAGAAAGAGGAAGCCCGTCCCCGTCACAACCAAATATATACAAAGCCAGAATAAGAAGCCAAACAACCACTCCACCCACTGAGAAAAAACCTCCTCTGCCACCGCTCATGGATCATAGCGAGGTTCATTCAAAAGCCCAGTCCATGGCAAAGAGCAGACTGCTGAAGGCCCGGAGTCAGCTACAGGGACGCATCCAGCAAGCCATCCAGTTATTTGGAGGACGAGAACTTTCAGGGTCACAAGTCAAAAAGAAACAGGTATGATTTAAAAACAGGATTACTGTCATCTTTATTTTCTTAATTTGGCCTTTAAGCAAAGAAGAAATAAGAAATAAGTCTGGAGTTTACAACAATGTGCTTTCATTAAAAATGTCCCAAATTTAAGCTCTAAGTTTGAGATGTTTTCAACCCTTGCCTCTTGAAAAGGTTGAATGTCGCCTCATTGTTTGTAAAAGCATAAACTGCTTTTCATGTTGCCGCATCCAGGCCTTTGGGTCCCAAAATCTCTCCTCAGACCTCGAGTCCAGCCTCCAAAGCTTTGTGGTGTTTTGCTTTACACAGCTGCCTGTCTTGTTTGTCCAGTTTTGTCCAGCTTCATACGTCTTCTGTCTGTGCAGAGAGCTTTAAAGGTTCTGCAGCCCACTGTCCTTGAGGAGTTCCTGGGTGCTGTGGAGGGTTTTGGGGCCTTTTGCACAGAGCCTCAACTCCAAGAACTGATGCTCCTGTCTGAATCGGTCAGGAAACAGTGGGAGGTATGCAAGGGATTTGACTCAGTAGACCTACACATCTGCTAAAATGTTTAAGCCAACTCTGTCATGGACAACGGTTTGGTTAGATGTTAGAAGTAGTCTTTAGGCTGAAAAATAACAGTGTATTGAAGTACTCCAAAATAATCCCTTTAAGGTCCCATATTATGCTTCTTTTCAGCAGATTCACATAGGTCTCAAAGGTCCCAGAACAGTCCATTTGAAGTTTGTTGTCTAAAAACCCAGTTTTTTCCTGGACTTCAGCCAGCTTGAAAACTCTCTCGAGTAGTGAGCTCTACCGAGAACACGCTGTTTCTGAGTGCTGTGCCTGTCCACACCTCTATTGTAAACCACGCCCCCCTCTTTCAGAGAAACAGGGAGGGGTGTGGCTTGCACTATGGTACCATGCGCTAATGTTTACACAGAATGCTAGGGCTAGGGCTAGCCATACCAGTTTGATCCAGAGTCTGACCTAGAAGGAGAGGCTCCTGAAGAAATTCTAACTCTGTGGCTGCAGCAGGATGTTTCTGAATAGTTAGTTACAAATATTATGTGTCTCCATATTTTCTTTGTACTTTGTTGGTGTGTTGGTACCATAGACTGAATATACTATGGACAACTTGGTTCCCGCCAGTATACGGATTTGAAGCCAAAAAGCTCTCGATATTTCTGTGATTTTTCTTCATGTCCTGAAACCAGCATTGTGCAGTAGCATTGTACGCATTCAGACGCTCAGCTCAAATGGCGTATCCCCCGGGTGAGCTACGCAATCCCTGAACGCCAATAGGCTGTATCAGATGTCAATCATAGAAAACATGAATCCCCTAATAACTTTAAAAACGGAGCTTCACAGAAAAAAGAGGACTTGAGCACAAACCAGTATTACTGTTACTACAAGTCAACACCGCAAGCAGGGGAAAAAAAAATTGTGTTCTGTGTAATAAATTTCTAAAGTTTGTCCACAGCCCCATAAGCTTTTCTGGTGGAGGCGGGATTCATGATCTATACTGCAGCCCGTCAACAGAGGGTGCTGTCCTCTGAGTGGCTTCACCCAGCAAGGAGGCAGATGCTGTCTATTCTATATACAGTCTATGCTTGGTACACAGTGACTTACATGTAGCTAGGTAACATTAGCTCCTGCTAATGGTTACATCTCCGCTGTCTCCTCGTTACTTGAAGCTCTTTTGCTGAATGTACGATGCTGTGAGAATAGTTATCTCGATAGACGATGTTCTTGCAGTCTACGGAAACAGACTTCTGTGCTGCTTCGTGCAGCCAACAACGGAGCAACTGCTGTGCCTTGCTCGTACCTTCGCCATTTCGAACCAGTGTTTGTGAGGGACAAAAATAGTGTCAGAGTGGAAATTTTCAGGGGGCAGAACAAACATCTTTGGCAGGGTCACCAACCTGGAGGGGAGGAGTTATCGCCATCCATGACGTCATGGAAAGCAATAGTTTCAATCCGCCCGTTTGAGGAGACATTTTCTGAAAGGTTGGAACAAGCAAGAGAGGGAGAGGATAGAATTTTCTCATTTTGGGGAGTTTGTAGACAGGTTGGGAATGCATATTATTGTTAGAAAACCATTCTTAAAGGGAATTTTGCATAATATGGGATCTTTAATGTACCTAATTTGAATGCTTTTTGGAGTGTTTTTAACGTTTTAAATATTCAAAACCAATAACCTGTTAAACTGTTAAATGTGGAGATATTGGTCGCCCTCTTATCAATCCTTATATATTTCCCATTAAGCAAGTCCATCAACCATCAAAACAAACCACCACACTAGCAGCATACCGCAAATACCTGTCCAAGCACTCCAACTACTAGCAGAACTTCTGTCCAAAAAGACAATATTATTAAAATGATCAGGTTCAAGACATTATGCTAAACCATTGTTATTGACTCCTGACTGTTCCTTCATATGATGGACAAAAAGGACAAGAAAAACAAACAAACAAACATGATTTAGTCATGGTAATAGTTTGGTTAAACTTTGGTAAAAGTTTTTAAGAGAAGAATAGAAGAGTCAGTTTAACACACATACTTGTTCTTTTATAATGTTGCATGATGACTCATTAAGTGTCTGCTTATGTGCGTCTTACCCAGGATGTGTGCAGAGACATGTCTGCCTTTGTCCCTGTCTTATGGTCTAAGATCAGAGAAGGAAAACAGCCGGTCTCTGCTATGCAGTGTGAGACTCAAAATGACAATTTGCACGATGCACATGACCGAACTCACCCTGACTGTTTGATGCTGCAGCAGCAGGTATTTGTATTAACATCTGCATTAACATCTGGATGTGTCGTGTTTGATAGTATGAGTGTTAATTTAGCAGGATGGATCAAAAAGCCAAGAAATGAAGATCCTTTTTGATATTGTTAATCTTCCTCTCAGGCTGTCATGGATGAAGCTGCGTCTGTGGCGGAACAGGCTGAATTACTCCAGGAGCTGGGCAACACACTAACTCAAACAGAATCTGCCTGTTTAACAACAGACGAGCTGAGGGAGTCTGATAACGTACAAGAAACAAGATCTAGTGCCAGGCTGCTGCAATCTGACAGGTGAGACCATGCTGTGTACTTCTTTACATCTCTTCTTGTTTTTCTGGTTCAAAATGCACATGTGAGCATTTCTGAGCTTTGAGCAGAAGTTAAACTCCATGTTTTACTAAAGCAGACAGCCTATCTATTAAGGTTAGTCACTCTGTAATCCTTCAGGTCTATTAAACTTAATGAGACGGCTACAGGACTGAGTGGGTCTAACTGACTGACCCCGATTTACCCCCCTGATAACCATTTCTTAACTCAGCAGGGGACTGCAGCTCAGGGTAAACACCCTGCTGAGGGCGACTGGCACACTGGCTGACACACAGCAGAGCGACAGTCTCCCACAGAAGCAATGCACTGATAGCCCACAACAAGAACTGTCACCCATGGGCGGCACGGTGTCAGCGCAGCCCTGCAGTGATACCTGCAGGGTTCAAGCTCATGAAGTGCCAGCAGAGAGTGAAGATGACCTGAGACGGAGTAAAAGCCAAGCCGAATCTGGGAGGGCTCTTAAACCTGCTCTACGAGCCAAAGAGCAGCAGCTGACGGCTCGTCTGCTGCACATCACAGAGAGCAAGCAGCCGACCCAAACTCAGATCCAGGTATGAAGAGCACGCTCACTTTAATCAGGTTCATGTCTTCATATTATCAACCTTGTATCAGCAGAGTCAAAGCTCCATCTTTCAAATGGAAATAATTAAAGTATGGGTGTTTAAAAGTTTAAAGAATATGAATCCACTTTTAATGTTGCACATGCTGAGAAAGATTAAGAAGAATTTTAAATTGTACTTGAAGGCAAAATCTTAAAATTTAAGTGAAAAAAGATAAACATATAAAAAATACCATAGGCTAATACCAAACTTACACAATCAAAGAGTAATCTTACAAGATTAATGTGATAAATTGATAAGAATTCCTGCACTAAATTAATTCAAGTGGATCTTGTTGTGAAGTTAAACTCAATAGGTGAGGGCAAACATGGATTGAAGAAGCATAAAACAGCTGCCCGTTCACCTGCCTGTCACTATAACAAGCTCAGTATCTTCACAGTGAAGTCAGAATCCTGATTCTTTTGCTGATTTGGTGCCGATGTGCTAAAGCAGTTGAAGAATAACTTCACAAGATGCTCTAAATTCCTCATCTTAGTTCAAGCTGCTGTGGGCGGCTTCTCTGCCCTGTCCCTTCAAAACAAAATAAAGACAAACCAGCCGATAAAGTCTTTAAATTCATAATTTGAAGGTGGGGTAGGCAAGAATCCGTTAAAGAAGCATCTTTTTTGTGGTGTATATACAAAAAGCTTTTAATATCAGTCAATAGCTATTAGTTATTGATGACATTTGGTAATATAACGATATTGCTGTGTCTTGTCATATCTGTGTAGTCATCATTTTAAAGTTTTTGAGCGGCCCGCTCTCTCTGACTGTAAACAAAGCTGTTCTCTACTTCCCCAACCTGATTGATTTTGAGGTAGACGCTGCTCCCTCGTGTTGTGAGGCACTCTCCACGTCCTCGAATAATGTGCATGAGCCTAAACAAAGCTAGCATGCTACAATATCAGACAGTAGAAACCAACCACAAATAAGTCTGAATCCTCCTTTGGCCACGACTGCCAACACAAGCAAGTGTTGGCAGAGACTCTGGCGAAATAACGGGCACTTAAAAAGGAGGTAGACCACCCAAACAAGAGCTAAAAAGCTGGGTCAACATCAGTGAAGCATAAACAATGGGGGACGCTTATGTCTTACAGACCCTGTAACCTTTCTGCTGGACAGGTAAACCATTCTAACAAAGTAAGCCAAGAGTCTGTAACAGAAGAGTTTTATGTCAAACAGGACCTGCTGTGTGTCATAGCGCTGCTAAACAATCAATCTCGGGTCCTGGAGTATGTCACTTTATCCTTGTTGTAAAAGTCCTGCAAACGTTGTTTGCTGGTAGTCTGTTGGCGTCTACAGTAACACCAATACTGTTTACTTTCACATTGACTGGGCCCCATTTGTAATTATATGAAGTATTTATCTGCAGAATATCTGAATTTAATTGAAACGATACAAGCAAGTAGGAGCATCTGTTTGTAGGCGGGGCTTGCTGGAGCAGAGAGGGAGGAGAGAGGAGGAGCTGAAGGGAAAACTGGTTAGGAGGGGTAGTGTTTACATTCAAGATTTGTCCCAAAAACTGGCACTAACTAGAAATCATTAAAGTTCAAGTTATGACTCTTGAAAACTCTTCACAAGACCTCCCTAGAAACCAACAGGAGGCATCGCTGAGACTGTGTAGCTAAAGAGGGCATTTCCTCCTATGCTCAAGGTTTAGATTGAACTCATGCTGTCATGTAAGCTCATGTGGGCTGGGCATATAAATACATATATGACAAAAATACAGAAGCTCTCTGCAGAGCATCTCTGTGTAAAAATGTAATCATTGAAGATATGTCTTCTAGTATAACGTAAATAAATAGGAGATAAATCTCCCTGACTGCATACATTGCATTAGCCTTAGTGCTGCAAGCTAGATTAAACCTCAGCAGTCTCTTTTCTGGTGACCTGTGGAAGACACAGCAGCAGCTGCAGGGTGCTAATCCTCGGTAATTGGATAGGCTCCCCGCTCGATCTTTCCCTCTTCTCTGCACTGGACAGTTACTATGTGAGTCTCCCATCTCCCAGACTGTTGTCAGGGGCAACACTGTGGAGACCAAGCAGGAGCCAGAGTGGACTGTCATCCCGGAATCAGCAGCACAGCCACAGGAAGAGGACTCTGTTGAACAGGAAGCTCTAGAGAGGTGAGGTCTGTTTGTGTTGGTGAGCACAGAAACGTGATCCTGAACAGAAATGCATAAATTATAGGCTTTATCTGAATCAGCAGAGTCCTTTTAGCATGACTGTTACAGACATTTTGACCTGTTTGATCTCATCCAAACAGCAACACTGCTCTAAACAGTTGGTTTTGTATGTTGTTTAATACAGAAAAATATGAATGAAAGTCACTTTTGAGTTATACCTCCTGCCACAGAGCTTACACCTGGCTCTGACTCCTGCTGCTGAGAAACTCCTCTGTCACAAAAACATGTAAATCTTTGACTTCAGGTACAGAAAGAGCTGCTCTGAATTTGAGACCAAGCTGCAGAAGAACAAACAACTTTTCGAGGATTTTATCCCAGAACCAGTGAACGTCTCCAACCTGCAGAACCACAAGAAGCAACTAGAGGCAAGCTGCAGCTCCATGTTATCACTTTGCACTCATACATTTATGTGATGAAAATAATGTCACACTTTGACCTAAAACTGTTCAAATCCTGCTGTTAGAGCTCTGTATCTCCTGTACTTTGCTGCCTCTCAGTGCAGGTTGACATGATAAGTCATATTTCATATCAGCATGCAGAGTCAAACTTCCCCACACACCTGATAAAAGTTGTGATTGCTCTCTAATCCCCCCTCCTCCACAGACTTTAAAACAGGAAACGGCTGCACTGTGGTTGGAGTGTGAGTTCCAGCATGCCCGGCTGTCCCGGAGCTCCCAGCTGATTACTCGCAGAGATAAAGGTGAAGCGGTGAGAGGCTGGGAGCAGCTGACTCAGCAGTGGAGAGATCAACAAATGTGCTTACAGAGCAGGTAGGGTTCAGCTCTTTTAAAGGGATAGTTCTATTTTTTTTTCTTTTGAAGAGGAGTTGTATGAGATAGTGCGCTGCCAGAAACCAGGAAGACAACTGGCATGGGAGCCAGACTAAACAGTAAATACTGCTGCATTGGGGGTCAGTTTTGCTACATAGTTGTGCTAATTAGAAGAATTCCACAACCAGGCACTAATGTGAGTGTTAATAAGAGCCCCATACAACCTAAAAAAAACAAACAAACAAACATAGAAATAGCCCTTTAAGTCTTAAAAACACGCAAGGTTGGTTTGGGGGATTATTTCTTAACCTTGTTCTTGGGATGTCCTTCTGAGAGGGTCCCCAGAGATCTCAACATAGAGCGTCTGTTGTTTTGTGCATTTTTGTCATATTTCAGAGTTTTACCTACAGTTGGAGTTGATTAAAAATCATATTTAAGTTTTAAACTAAAAAAGAAAAAACTTATTCCAATAATCAAAGAGAGTTTTTCCTTGGCTTCTTTCAGGATGACGTCTCTGGAGAACACTGCTGATCTTCTGGAGTCTGCAGACGCTCAGATAGATCTGATGACAGAAAAACTGGACCGCCTCATCAGAAAGCCTGTGGACATCTCCTTGACCCTGACTGAGCCTGGATTTGTTTCAGATTTACAGGTGCATCTTTGCTTTTTTCAGACTTCTAGTTTTCTATTTTTTATGCACTCACATTAAGATAATTTACTTTTTCTTTCTTTTTTCTCTAATAATGTTTTAGAGAAAAAAGCTCATCTGAAGAGTTTAAACTTGCTCTGAAATGGGCTGAAATTTACATAGATACCTCTTAAAGAAGTACATCAGTGTTATTAACAACATCATCCACTTCTAAAAAGGGATTTTTAATGTCTGAAACTGCTGCTGCTGGGAAGGTGTGAGGAAAAGTGATTCGATTTAGGCTTCAGAAACAGCTTTTGCTTAATAATTCCTGATAATTAATATATAGACTGTTAAAAAACAAAGATGAAGAAGTAAGAAGAAACACTTTGTCCACAGTTACATACAGGAACTTTAATATGGCTGTAACTTTGATTTTGTGTTTTTTAAGTAGGATAACTATTATAACTTCCAATACGTTCGGACAGATAAAAATGCAAACATCATTATTGATCCCTCTTTTGTGACCCAGGAGATAGATGACAGCCTGCAGTCTGAGCTGAAAAAGCTCTCTGATGAGGAAAGATGGAGGCTGGAAGCCACATTCCCATCGTCCCTCTACCAGGCTTTCCAAAACAACGTCCATCATCTTAAGCAGCTACGACAGCGACTGGAGAAGGTTCAGACAGCTGCCCGGGCCTTGGACCACTTCCTGATCTCAGTGAGGGAAGTCAATGCTGAGATCCCAAAGCAGGACCCAGACAGGCAGCAAAACGAGGCAGACCGGGAGAAGGAGAGACGGTCTTGGCAGCAGAAGTTGCAGACAGCTGCAGAACAAGCTGACGGCACTCTGAAGGCAGCAGGGATGACTCTGAACATGGATGGTTCGACAGTGAAGTGCCAGGATGTGGTGACATCATTGTCCTCACAAGCTGTGGAGCAAGATCTGATAAAAGCCAAGATAAAGGAGATATTACTGATTGGACTGAAAGACAAACAGGAATCTGAGGATCTTAATACTATGGAAATACATCAGATGAAGATTTGGGATGATTCACACCAACAGGAGGAGGAGCGAGCAAAGGAGCAGGAGCATTCATCCCCAAGTGTAACAGAAGAGGAGTCTGAGTTAGAGGACAAAAAGAGCAGACTGGAAGGAGAGAATGAAACAAATGTGCAGAAAGAGAAAGAGCAAAAGACTCAGACAGTGAAACCTAACGGGGAAGCAACAAAAGTGAAGAACGGAAAAAGAAGAAGAGGAAGAAGCAGCCAGATTAAGAGAGAGGAGGAGGAGAGGGAGAGTTTGGACCAGAGGAGAGCTGCACTGTTAGGAGCACTGAAGGAGATCAAGGGAGCAGCTGAGCAGCTGGGGTTACAGGAGGCAACACTGCCGGCTCTGCAACAAAGGTAATCTTTTTGAATTTAACAGGAAGAGGCAGAAGGATATATGAAGAGACTGACATCCGAATTCCTCTACTGACTATTCCACTAAACTGCTTTAAAGGGATAAAAAGGGATAAAGGAATTTGGTCAAACACACTGTAACACCGAGTTAGACACCCCCTCGAGAGATGAACGTTGCCGACTGCTTGCTTCTCTAGTTATACCAACTTTAGTAACGACCGCACGATAGCAATACATAGTAGTCCACATCTCCCTGTGCAAACCTTAATCAAAAAGCCACTCTATAGCCACAAATAATGCTCAGAACAGCACCTAACTTCATCAACAGTACATATAGGGTCCCAGCTATAGTACTTGCTGCCAAACATCTTTTATCCTTTGCCTGATTTCTTTAGCAAGGAGACCAAACACGACTCACCCACTCTCCTCCAGCAGCCGCTTGTTTGTGGGGGAGCCCTGACGAGTCGATCACCGAGTGCAGCAGAGTTTCTCAGAGTTTGCAGCTCAAGGAATAACTTTTCTGATCATTACTTCACCGAAATGCAATCAGACCGAGACGCTAAGGCAGAAGAACTTCTGTGTTGCAGTGTAAAATGATTAATATGATGATTATTACTTCAAGGAAATGATTGCTTGAGAAGCAAGCAGTCTGCAACATTCATTTCTCGAGGGGGTGACTAACTCAGTGCTACTGTGTTTGAGCATGATTTAAATTTACACCAGAATATCCCTTTAAATGGTTAAATCTCAAAAACAAAACAAACAGGGGATGTAGATTTAAAGTATTCTCTGTGATTGATGTTTGCTAACAATCAATTAATGATGATTCATGACAAAGAAACTCATCTGCACCTGCATGTTTCACTTCCCTTGCTCAAAGTCTTGCTGCTGTATTGTGCAGTATTTGGTTTGTTGGTGTTGTAGAACTCCAGGACAACAATTACTCCTTGCCATGAATACAAACAATTGTCTCATGCAGGAAACGTGCCTTGAAAGAGCTGCAGAGCCGACTTTCTGACCACCTTTCTGAGCTGCAGAAGATTCAAGCAGCATCCCTGCAGTCAGGAGTCACAGGTGGAAGTCAAACCAGAGAGGAGGAGGAGGTCATGAAGGAGACGATGAAGGCTGCCAATGAACGGTAACAACATGAGTTTCTGTTTTGTTATTTATTTATTTATTTTTTTTGTTAAACTGCTTCATCAAGTCATTTTGGAGAGTCTGATGCATGTGCTTGTTATATAATGTGTCACATCCAGGCTGGAGCAGTGTAACGTCTCAGCTGAGCTGCTGAAGAGGTTCCAGATCATCCGCGGTGAGCTAAGCGGGACTCTACAGAGAGCAGAAGGCACCATCAGCGAACAGGCCTCCTACATGGGGAAGGACAACCTGCAGAGACTGCACACTAAGGTATGGTTTCAACCCACTCTTTCTGAAGATGGTGAAAGAATCAACTGAAAGACTGTTTTTGTGTCAGGTCCAGGACTCGAAAGCAGAGCTGAACGGGCTCGGGGACAGAATCGAAGAGGTCCGGAGTGTCTGCAGGCAGCTTCACACTCACCTCCGTCAGATCCCAGGGTGCACCATCATCCCCTTTGACGCTGAAGCAGATGCTCTCATGGATCGCTGGCTGGATGTGAGTCGACTTACTTTAAAGTTTGAAATCACTCATCATTCTTCTCATTTTGTTGTTTTTGTGTATTTTTTACTCTCTTGACTTTACAATAAGCAAACACGATATTTCTGTTATTATCATTTAATGCAGTCAAACCAGTTTTCAAAGCTCTCAGTATGTTCCATCAAGTCTTGTGTTGATTTATGTGAATGAGTCTCATTTACTTACAGATATCTGAGAGAACAGACTCTCACCTGGAAAACCTCCACCTCGGCCTGACTCTGTGGGAGGGGGTCCTCCACCTGGGAGCAGAGGTGGAGCTCTGGACCTCCAATAAACTGTCAGTGTTTGCTGAGTCCCCGTCCTTTCAGACAGAGGAAGATATCACAGCTTTGCAGGTAAAAACTTTTCTCACTCTGTAATTTGTTTCTCAGATTTGGGTCTGTCTGAGCCCCTTGATTACTACAGCTGCTTTAAACGATGATCATCTCCCCTAAACGTGTCCAGAATGAGATTTCGACTCAAGAGGAGAACATGGAGCGTTTCCACAGGAAAGCGGCTGAGATTCAGGTGCTGCTTCAGAACGCAGAGGCCCCTCTTGAGCTCCAGGTACAGCGTGGGGCTTTGACTTGGTTTTCTGTTTGGAGTTCAGGTGTTTTGGGTTTACAAAGAGCTGCTTTGACAGACAATTACAACACAAATACAGTCTGCTGCTGTGATTTAATGATTTTTCGGTTTGTTAGCATTTCATTTTTACTGATAAAAGGGATATTCTGGCGTAAATTTAAGTTATGGTCAAACACACTGTAACACTGAGTTAGACACCCCCTCAAGAGATGAATGTTGCCGACTGCTTGCTTCTCTAGTTATACCAATTTTAGTAATGACCACACAATAGCAATACACAGCAGTCCACATCTCCCTGTGCAAACCTTAATCAAAAAGCCACTCTATAGCCACAAATAATGCTCAGAACAGCACCTAACTTCATTAACAGTACATATAGGGTCCCAGCTATAGTACTTGCCGCCACACATCTTTTATCCTTTGCCTAATTTCTTTAGCAAGGAGACCAAACACGACTCACCCACTATCCCCCAGCAAGTCACTTGTTTGTGGGGGAGCCCTGACGAGTCGATCACCAAGTGCAGTGGAAAATTTAGGATTATTACTTAATGGAAATGCAACCAGACCGAGACACTAAGGCAGAAGAACAACTGCATCTGCAGTGCAAAATGATAATTATGATGATTACTAATTCAAGGAAATGTGTGTTTGACCATAACTTAAATTTACACCGGAATATCCCTGCAGCATATTATAACTGAATGTGATTTTGAGACTGTTGGGCAGCACTTTGCTTGTGCACATGCCAACAATCTAAACACAACTTTGCAATAAATGAGTGAATCTTGATGCAGTTTTATGTGTTATTTAAAGAGCATTTATAAAACAGGGATGCAATGATCAGCTGGAGAGACAACAATCCTTTTCACTGATTTCATCTTGTCTAGGTTGTGGAGACCCAGATGAGAAAGAAGATTGAGCAGCTGAAAGAGCTTGCCTCTGAAGCTGAGGATGTGTACAGGCAGACGGTGGCTGCTAAGGGACAAATTAGTGCTAGAATGGCTGACTGCAGCAACTCCCTTCAGAAGATCCAGGACTCACTCCTTACTCTGAGTGGTTCAGATGTTACAACAGTGCTTGCAAAACTGAAGGTGAGGTTACTTTGTGCAGAACACGTGTTCTTTGTGAATTTTATCCCCATTGTTTCAAATGTGAAGGAAACTGACAAGAACATTGAGGTGAAGAAAAAAAAAAATCCCACAAATATGCAAACTTGCTGTCTTGTCTGCAGCAGAATCAGAATAAAACATCTACATAATTGACCAGAACTCAACCACAACACAGGAGAGATGATCCATAAACCAAATATTCAAGATATCCACACAAAGTCAAAACTGCAATTTCAAAAACAGGAGTCCCCAGTGGACAAATGTGTATGAATTCTTCATCTATATCAATACACACTGTGAAGTACTGGATATAACAATCTTCAAAAAAGGGTTTATGCAACTCAACAAATATTACTGAAATGCAAGTAAACACATGTATTTCCCTACACTTAAGCAAATACCAATGGTTAAGAGATCAATTGAACAAACTTATTAACGCAGCAGCTCAAAAGTTTGACAACTAAGTATGTGGTAATGTAAAAGTCTGAGGTAACTTATTCTTTTGAGTTTCGACAGCTGATGCTATAAAAGGCGATCCATTTAATCAGCTTGTATTCTTGCACAGGATTTTCTGTTTGAGCTGCAGACCCAGGACGAGCAGGCAGAGAGTGTCCTAGAGGACCTGCGTGTCATTTCCTCCATAGCCAGTTCAGTCAGTCTGCAGGGTCTGTCTACAGAAGGGGTCCAGCTGCAGGAGAAAGTCCGAGACACTCACCAGCTCTTCTCTCAGGTGGAGGAACAGACTGAGAGGAGCATCCAGGTTTATGACAGGTAACTGACACCAGCTTCACATCTCTCATGGGCAAGCTTTAGTGCATTCATTTAATGCATGATTGTAGTGTAGTGTTGACTGACGGCTCCTTTCATCATGCGCTATAATTACACAATCACTCCACATACCGTACAACATTTAGAGTAAACATTAAAGCCATTAGAGAGCTGCTGGGCAGGTATTTCTGCAGCAGCTCCTCCTCTGACCTGAGTTTGAAAGATTGGCATCAGGACATCAATGCAAAGAGAAGAAGTATGGGCAAAAGCTTAAAGATAAATGACTAACATCACCAAATAAATGCAGTCTGATCTGCAGTGACTGAAAATAATTTCTGCTGTTTGGGTTGATGTTGTTTCTGTGCAATAAAAGGTTTAAGGTGCTCCTGTTGAATTAGTTAAAATGTTCCTAATACATTGATTTAGCCTGACTTTGAGCTCCATTTTCAGACTCTAACCACAAATACAAACTCATTGGCTCTGTTTCCTTTTACATGAACTCAATCTGTCTGAGTATAAAGTAGAGCCACACAGACTCTTACAGTTCACACTCTGAAGATTGAAAAGTCAAGAGCAGGACGAGTTTAACTTGTTCTCCACAGCCGTTCTTTGTAAGCTCATATCCTGAAGCAGAACCATTTCTCCTCTACGATCCATTTTTAATACACAGAGTGTTTTGCATAGTGTACGTTTGTTTGTGTCATGCCTGACCTGAATTCATGCTCCATGTGCTTCAGGCTGAAGAGAGAGAGTGAACAGCTGGAACGATGGTTGCAAACATTTGAGGAAAAAGCAGCAAATGCAGAAGATCTGAGAGTCCTGCAGGAGGAAGAACTTCGACAAAGGTGAACTGCTTTTTTACTAAACATATATATATATTTATATATAAATGTACATACAGTATATATGGATATGGATAGATTGATAGATATTTATACACAGACAAACAGCTATAGATTTATAAACATATATTATAATAGAGACAAATATATATTTATCTATATATATTTATCTTGTGGCTGTCAGCAGCTATGCATTGTGATTTAGTTTAAGTGAGTCAGCAATCATGGAGGTTGTTTAACCTGTTGAACTCCAGAGATGACTGACACATCCTCTATACCATGATCTGGTATTTATCAGCTTTTAAAGTGACAAGAAGTAGTCACTGGATCATTAATAGCACTTATGATCATTATCATACCCCCTAGTTTATTTTCTGATGATTGAAATAAAGCTGGCACTCTTTATTTTCAAATCCATGACCTTGATCTTGTTTTGTAACCTTCATTAAGCACATTTAATCACTGTGTAGTATTTCTTCTTCATTATCACTTTACTTTTGCTCCAAAACAAAGTTCAGTTTTTGTCTTAAGTGTCAGAGTAATTGGTCATTAACCCTGCCCTTTTTTCTCCCTTCAGAGTGAGGACAGACGACGTACACCAACTTGTCTTATCTCTTCAAAACAGCTCCCTCCGGCAGTGCGCTCTGGTGGGAGAGGGCAGCAAACTGATGGAGAGATATAACAATTTTCTAACCAGGTCCTTGAAAAATCAGTGTCCTCTGAGCAAAGATCTCCAAACATCTCAGACCCTTTCACAGCCGACTGTAACCTCAGCTGGAGATCTGAGACAAACTGTCGACTCTTCACCTGCTGGAAATGTGAGTTTACAGAGTCCTGAGGAGGAGAAACTGCAGCCTGCTCCAGAAAGAAAATCTTGATTCATACAGCTTTGAAATGGCAGTTGTTAGAGTGGAGTGTGTGAAGTCACAGGAGGGTGTGGTCACACAGATTTGTTGTTTCTTCTCATCTGCATTTGTTACTACTTGTCCTTCAATAAGGCGTGTCTAATTGTTGGTGAAAAGGCAGATTTGTATGCAGAGATTATGAGACAGACGACACACTCCTCTTTTTGTCTGTGCAGTGATACTTTGCTGTGTGTTTCTGTGTGAAATTTATCAATGCTGGGGATATTTTTCAGACTGTGCCGAGTGCCATGGCAGAAGAGGAAGCTCACCTGGGGAAGGTCAGTGTCAGTAGTGAAGATAGAGAAGTACAGCAAATATGTGAGGTTAATCAAATGGAGTTCTGTGCGTTAGCTGCAGTCATAGGAATGGAAACATTAATTGAAGGACCTGCAGGTAAGTAACTCAGTTCTAATGAAGCACATTTGTAAAGCCTTATAAATTCATTCAAAAGGCTTATTGCAGTTTGAATGTGTTAAAAACCCAAAATTCAGAAGTTGCTGTTGTTAGTTTTGCATTAAGGTACGATACATTACAAATCAAACCTTCGTAAGACGTTATGCTCAGTGTTGGTAACACATTATAAACACTTTAATAAGTGCTTATGATCAGTTAAAGTGATTGTAATAAAGCTTCAGTATAACAGAAAACAACAACACAGAAAGTTAGAACACATTTTAAGAAATATGAGGCCTTCCTGTAGCGTTTAAACTTTAAAGTAGCCCTCCTTTAAAGACTCACTCCGATGAAAATCATGTTTTTCTTGTTGTCCACATATTCATATGGCATTTTCTAATGCTGCAGGATATATGAGAAAAATAAGAGTGAAATCGCATTTCTGAGTATTTTTGCATTCAAGTTGTTGTAAATCTCTGGCAGACCCAAACGGAAGGCTCAGATACAGTGAGATTTCCTATGTCACATTTACAAGCTCCACCCCCGGAGCCCCTCTATGTAAGCCAGACTCTAAGAAGTGGAGAGGACAATTGCGGGACAAGCATGTGCATTAACTGATTGAAATGCTCTTAAGATAGCTTATTATGATATTAGCTTTCATCATGTCCCCAAAGACATGAGTGTCCGAGAGCTGAATAGCTCCTATGTCACCTGCTATTTCTACTACACCGGCAATGTTAGGCTGTAAGCTAGTGTGAAGAGGAGTGTGCAGAGCAACTCTGTCTCCACCCACGACTCAGAGGTGAATTGCTAATGAGCTACTGGAGCTCTGCCGAAGAAAAGACCTTGAAAATGACACAGGTAATGTGATTTGGCTAAAAACTTCATCATCACAATTTAAAGACCAGTGAGAACACTTTAAATGGTAAAAAAAACGATCGGAGTGGGACATTAAAGCTCCTCTAAGGGTTTTATTTTGGCATTAATGAAATGGCGTAACGTTCATATTAGTATCTTTAAATGATGTATCTAAGAGAGAGCAAAACCATCAGGAACAAGATGGAGGATTTATGTTTCATAATTCTTAACTCAGGAAGCTGAAGAAACCATCTGTTTTTATGATTTCCACATAAAGTTTTCACAATCAAAGATCAATTTGACCATCAGGTTTGAGAATAAAGACATTTTCAGTCAAAGGCCTCTATTGAAGCATGTCGAGAACAAGATAACCAAACACTGGGGATGCAAAAGTGGACACACACACACACACACACACACACACACACACACACACACACACACACACACACACACACACACACACACACACACACACACACACACACACACACACACACACACTATAAGTTCCTCACTGGAGCTTGTATGCGGCCCTTAGCCAGTCTGAGTTTGAGATGCCTGTTTTAGCTGTTTGACTAAGACTGGATGTGCCCTGACTGTCCACAGTATAACAACCTGGAGGATGGTGTTAGTAATGAGGAACATTTGGGCTCATTAATGCAGGACTTCCAACAAAAACTGACATCCATGCAGAAAAGACTTTCAGAGTGTCAGCTTGGCTTGGCTGCACAGATCACTGATGCACCGACTCTGCTGGTAAGCTCCTTCAAGTTAAGTGAGCCCAACTAAAAGCTTTTCATGACCTTTAATTTCCTCTTGTTTACGACTATGACATGATCAGAGCACTAACGTGTTCTTCTGTCCCTCTCCTCACTCTTTCAGGCTTTGTTACAAGAAATAACAGACATGGAAGAAGAGCTTTTACACATCGCAACACTCAAGGATTCTATCATCGCCACTCCCACAGCCGAGGCCCAGGCAAGCCTCTCCCAGCAGGTCAGCAACCTCCAAGACCACAAGAGGGGGCTGGAGGACAGCATCAGACAGAATTTGGCTCAGCTCACCGAAAACAGAAACCAGAGAGTTGAACAAGCAGAGAAACTGGAGGAAAATCCTGCACTTGCTCTCAATGAAAGTCCACCTATGCTTGAAGGATTGCATCCTCCTGCATCTCTTTCCCATCCCGCAGCAGACCACAAAGAAAACTGTACAAGTGATCAAAATGACAACAAAATCAAAGCTGGAGATATTTTGGAAACAGACAATCAAATCCCAGACTTGGATGTCATCTTATCAGAAAACCAGAAGCAATCACAGCAAACAAAAACAAACCTTCTGACTCACCCAGGAACTAAGGACAATGATGGAACTTCTCTAGGAAGTGGATGTAGGATACTTCCTGGAAGCAAAGCAGAGAAGGCTCAACTTTTACACAAAGACACCACCTTTACTCAGGACCCTAAATTATCAGCCACAGTCGCGGACACATCCACAGAATTCAATCCAGAACCAAGTATCACGGCTTTTGTTGAATCTACAGCCACAAAGTCTGAAACTGCTCACCCTTTAACCCTTAAAAACCTGCCTGAACCTCCAGCAGCACAATCAGAGACATTTAAAGCAGCTGCAGACTCTCCAAAGAAAGTCATAACTATAGTGTTGGAGATGGAGCCCCGGGACATACAAGTTAAAGTAAATACGGATCTAGATAGACCTGGATGTTCCCGGGCAGTTACTAGTACAGGGGCGGCTTCGAGTGCTGGAATTCCTGAGGACATTTCTGGACTTTCTCCTGTACTAATCAGTCCCAAATCTAATGAAATAGATTGGAAAATATATCACAGTCTTGCACTAACTGAGTCTCAAGTGGCAGAATCAATTTCAGGAAACTCTCTACAGGTAGTCACTGCAGAGCAGGGGGTTGTGAAACCTGCAAGTGCCTGTTCATCATTCCAGGACACCCATGAGGTCATGTATGATGACGTCTTAAATTCCTCCAAACCATGTGGCATTGCTGCTGAACGTCAGCTCATTGGTGCATGTGCAGCAGGAACGACACTTCCGGACGTCAGATCAGAGGAGATGACAGATTTCTGTCTGACTGAAGAGCAAACAATGAGCTCAGTCTTGTGCAGGGTGGAGGGAGATACTTCAGCAGAAACCCAAATACCTGCCAGTGACACTAAACAGCAAAGTGTTGCACAGAGCGCAGGGACAGGACTTCTGGAGAGAGACAAGGGGGAAGACACAAGTGACCTTCCAGATGGTAAAGTTTCAAAAATACCTGAAGATGATGTCACACTGCAATTTGAAGGAAGTGAATGGACAGGACCTGCTTCACTGGAGGACACAAAGGACACACAGGTAGATATTATTTTCAAAATATACAGATGCATCAGTCCTGTAGACACATATTTATAGAATAGAATCAAACAAATAGATAGAAAGTTGTAACACTGAAAAATCTGAGAAAAACTGATAACAATTGTTTTCATATCATTCAATTCCCACTTTTTAACATCCTATAAGGAGTTTTTGGACATTTACTTAACAGACTAAAATTCATACCCATGCTTTTTTACGATAAACAAAAGCAAACAAGACCACCAGCGACATGATTGATCATTTTATATAATGCCTGCAACTTGTGCAGGAGGGTAGGTGTCAGCCAAGCAGATCCATTCATTCATAAGAAATCCGAAAGTCTGACTGATGAGATTTGATGTCTGAAGACACCACATAAGCATATAGAGGACAAGATAAGCAGAGCTGGCTTTGGAGCTTTAATATTAAATCGTCCAATCACAGCACTTAGAATAGAATATGAGGATTTCATTAAAAACAGTCAATATCAGGAAAGTGTATTAAAAACAGACATGGCTCTGTAGTGGAAGTCGCTGCATGAACTCAAAATCCCTCCTAAAGTTCATCTCTGCATACACATATTGCTGCTGTTGGGTAGAAACCTCTTATCTCAAAATACAGAACATGTTGGAAGATGAAAGACCCTGTATTTTTCAGATTACCAACATGATGTGGAATTCAGCCATTAGATTTTTATCTCATCAGATGACTGATATCACTGAGTGATGTAAAAAAAATAACTAGGTGATGAAGTGTGGAGATAAGAGGTTTCTGCTGATAAGTAGCAAAGTGCAGGTTTAAACTGTACAAAGGAAAAAGGAAACCACTTATAAATGCTAACTACGTCTCTGGACCTGAAGCTGATAAAGATGGACTGAAATGATGTGATGATGTCAAATGTGACACTCCTCTTAGAAATGATGGATACCTCAACCTCCACTCTGGAGAAACGAGGGTTCAAAACGAGTTCATTAGTGATGGTTAAGTGACAGAGGGTTCAATAAAGGTAATTTTATGTATTTGTATGACTGAATTTGTGCTCAGTGATGTCATTTCTGAAGACTTGACATTGATCGACCATTACTGAGCACTTTAAGCCATTCCTTTTAGAATATTTTGGATAAAAATAACTGATATATTTCAGAGAGAGGGGTTGAGATGACAGGAAATGAGTAAGAGGAAGTACAGTGAAAGAAAAGGGTCCAGAAGACCAAAGCTATAACAAACAACCCAATATTAACCCTCTAAAGTCTGGGGTATAATTGGCCGTTTTTGACTACTTTTGATTTTACCTTTATATTTCCTCTTAAAGGTAAATCTATATCTTATATTTACTATTCTTTCTAAAACCACTAAAGCCAAAAAACCTCTAAAAGAGTTGATAAAGATGTTTACAACTTTTCTCTGAATGGTTTGAATAAATTTAAATGTTTTTTTTTCCTCTCTGCTATAAGAAGACACACACACAGCTCTGCGTAATCTAAGACTCCTGCTGTTTTTAATAAGACTGATCTCGGTCTCCTCTGACATTTACAAACCATTCCTCTGTCCTTAACTTACTCCAAGTCTGAGGAGGGGGTGTACCCTGTGAAACTTTGGTATTTTTGACATTTAAAAAGTGTCATTTTATTCTAGATTCAGCCCTGGAACTTGCTTCCTTATATTCTTTTTATTCCTCCCACCATTTGGCATTTGAATGTCATAACTTTTGACAGATATTTATATTTCTGAGGGACATCATTCAACCAGGAAAAAACAAAAAAGAGGAAATCCACATCATACACAGGCTTGTTTGTTGTACAGAATGAGTGATAAATTGCTGAAACATTTATTTGATGTGACAAAAACATTAGAGAGGATCCTGCACCGGCTTCACCTGCAGAGGCATTTATGATGAGAAGGATTCAAAGAGGGAAAAATAAAAACATTTGTTGACTGTAAAGTAACAGGACCTTATCGTGACCCATACCATCATCTCTGACATTATCCACTAAAAGCCACACTAAGTGCTGCTGATGCTTCCTTTGCTGTATGAAGGATTTCAACTGAGTATTTTCTGCAAAAGGCTTTCATGCACAACTTTCAAAAACTTGGGAGAGTCAGAGGAATTTCTCACAAACCACCTGTAATTACCTGGAGTAATAGCAGCCCTCCCCTCTCTCTGAAGAGGCTGACAGAGGTGTTTTCTGAGGTGATTGCTAAGTTTCCAAACATGTTCCTACAAATACTTAAATATTTGTATCTAAAAACCTGATTCAAGCTCCAGTGAGGTGGTTATGAAATAGGGCAGAGTTGATACGGATGCTTTTTAATGAGCAACAAGAGCATACAAACCAACAGAGATATGATCAAATATTTCCTGCTGGGGCTTGCAGAAGGGATCATTGTGATTTGCATGTTTGATGAATGGCATGAAGGTTGTCACTGTCCCTTTTTTCATGGCGAAAAGATAATGGAATGACAGATAATTAAACTCTGACCACAACAGTTTAATTTTTGTTGAACAGCTGATGAACTGTCACACATTCAAAACCACAAAAGTGTTGCTGTTTTCCCCAATGCATATTTAATCCGTTACGCAAAACACAATCAATAGGTTCTTGTAACAGGCTGGGTCAGCTGAAGGCTGAACGGCTGAAGGCTTTTGATTGATTAATGAAGTAGTTTAAAGACAGAAAACATGCTGATGAAAAGTGCAAAATGAATCAAATGGGACTACGATTGAGACTAAAAGACTGAATCTAAAGCAGCTGCTGCTGTTTAAAGTTGCTGTTCAATCATGTGCGCCTTTTCAGTGTGAAAAATTTCAAGTCCAACTTGTCTTGTGAGTGTAAAATAATCCTTTTAAATCTGCCTTTACCCTCAGCCACTCAGAGGGCTGCTTTTTGTTTGAAACTGTCCTCCCGCTCTACCTGCTCCCTGCTCTAAGTCCCGCCCTCATCTTACCAAAAATATTTCAGGAGGCACCTCCCCTGCATGAGATCCAGTCACCAAACAGCTCAAGTCATGTTTTGGTGCTCACCCTGTCTTACCAAGTTATAACAGATCAATTATTTCTTTGATGAAAACAGGGAGGCAACTGTTTGTGGCTGAAAGGACGTCTCCCCCGGGGCAGACTGCTCCCTACTCAGGCACATTCTTTAGCTAACTGTACTGACTCGCCGAGCCACCGTCAGTGTGGTATTATTTGCTACTGCAGAGCAGGGAGAGAGCAGGAAGATATGTTATTATCTGTGAACAAACACAGGAGAGCAGGAGGCTTAAATGTGTCACCACCCTTGTCCTGCGTGCGTGTGTGTGTGTGTGTGTGTGTGTGTGTGTGTGTGTAGCTGCACATCCAGGAAGGCATGGAGCCTGAGAAGACAGCTCCAGGTTTGAGAGCTGATCTGCAAGCCACGAAGATGACAGGTGGATCAGAAGAGTCCTGCAAACCCAAGTCCACCATGCAGGATATTTTGACTGAGATCCAGAGCCTGGTGGAGAGAAGTAACATCATAAATGTGAGTATGAGACATCTTTTACATGATAATCAGCCTCTTTCTACAGAAACAGGCTTTAAAAACAGGCTGCAGTGGGTTTATAAACTCATTTCTGAAAGCCTGAACTTTAAAATATCAACATAAAAGGTTAAATCTGAGTTTTTGAGTCATATAAAAAGGTTTTTATTTACTTTGTCTCTAGAGTTGCGCAAATTCTGTTTTATGGAAATAGAAATGAAAACTCCTCTTTAATGCATTTTAATTTCCCTATTTTTTGCACATATTTGCAAAGCTCCCAATGTCCAAAAAAGCCCAAGAGGTCAGTCACGCTCAGATTAAACATAGCACAGATAAGAGCAGCAGTGTTTTGATTGATGTTTGTGTATTCCCATGATGCTGCAAACGGGACGGTTCACAGGAAGGACATTTGAGATACAGAGATTTCCTACAGAGTCATTAGTGGGCACATAATTACTTGGAGTAAAGTACATTAAGTGATCTGATCTGAGACAGTGTGGCTCGTTTCTGATGTCAGCTGTGATGTGGTTTTATTTGGGAGGGGCTATCTGTCCTGGACCTTTAAGACACTTAAAAAAGGAAACATTAATGAAATAATTCAAGGAAAATAAGGCTAAAAGACAGGGATGAGACTGAGTCATTTTAAGTACTCATGATAACTAGAGAGTAAACAAGCTCTTTTAAGCCTGCTGTAGATAAATCTGTTTAAACAAGAACACAACAAACCACAACCTAATTACCTTGTTTGCAACCGGCGCCAGTAAAAATAAAGACATGCATTGATCAAACTTAAGTTAAGTGTTATATTATTTTAAAGAAATGATTCCAAGTATTTTCATTTTCCTATTTCTAACCACTAAATAAAGGAATTGGACTGTTTTGATTTGTCTTTTGTTCCAGTGAAATGTTTTTGGATTTGGATTTTAAATGTTGAAAACAGGGCTGCCGCTGATGGGCCAGCACTTTAAGTGCCCTAAATTAAGAAGCTAAAATTCCAAACCAGGTGGCTGTTTCTTCGATCCTTCGCTGCTTGTCTTCCCTGCTCTTTGCTCCGCACATTTCCTACCTCTCTTCAGCTATTCTGTCTAACCCTAAACAAGGCAAAAATTCCACCTTTTTTCTGTTGCACCACACTGGGTCACTAAACTGTGTTCTCAGGGTCTATGTCAGTGTAACCACTTACCCAACAACATTTAATGCAAAGAAATCCAATCTCAGTGGAAAATTTAGGATTATTACTTCATTGAAATGCAATCAGACTGAGACACTAAGGCAGAAGCACTACCGCGTCTGTAATGCAAAATGATTATTATGATGATTATTACTTCAAGGAAATGATCCGTGGGTGTGGGTGAGTTGTATTTGGTCTCCTTGCTAAAGAAACCAGACAAAGTTAAAAAGATGTTTGGTGTCTAGTACTATGGCTGGGACCCTATATGTACTGTTGATGAAGTTAGGTGCTGTTCTAAGCATTATTTGTGGCTATGGAGTGGCTCTTTGGTCAAGGTTTTTGCGTTGAGCCACAGATCGCTGTGTATTGCTATCATGTGGTCGTTACTAAAGTTGGTATAACTAGAGAAGCAAGCAGTCGGCAACATTCATCTCTTAAAGGGGTGTCTAACTTGGTGTTACAGTGTGTTTGACCATAACTTAAATTTACACAGGAATATCCCTTTGAACATGAAATCTGTTTGCAGATCAACAGATACATAGGACTGTGACAAGTTTCAGCTCTATTTCGATGATTCCTAACCTGCTACATTGATATGATTTTAATTTTGTTATAGCGGACACCACACATCGATTTGAATTGGTACCTAAAGTCCTCTCCTGGTGAGTCTGAAATTCGACTGATAAGAACTGTGCAGAAAGTTCTGGCATGTCGCTACCAACCAGCTCAACTGGACATCTCTGCAATGGTCAAACAGCTGCAGGAGGCGGAGGTAGGTCCATATATTTAAAAACTATTATAAGTTTTTAAAAGTAAATTCATTATCTGACCTTGTATTGAAAGGTTAGTGTAGGTTATGAGAAGAGGACGCAAACTTCATTTGATTTTTTCATGTGATCGCTCTTTTGTCTGCAGGACTTCAGGCGTTGTGTGCAGGATCAAGTGGCTGCATTAAAAAGCGTGAATGACTCCAGGACCTGCTCTCCAGACACCCTGAAAAGCGTTGAAGGACAGTGCAGCGCTGCACTCTTGGATGCCTCGGCCACAGTTCAAGTCAAAGCGGCCCAGCTGGATCAGGTCAAACAGTATCAAAAACAGATGAAGATCATCAGAGCTTTCTTGGCCGTTGTTGCGGTTGAGAAGGAAAAAATGAACCTGTGAGTAAATCTTTGAGTTGATTAAGACGGTTTAAGTCTGCCAGATTACTGATGTTCTTCTTCTGGGCTTTTTTAGGGATACTGTGGGAAGCAGTGCCCTCCAGGCTGGCAAACTTCATGGTCTTCTGCAGACCATGCTGCTGAAGAAGGGCTTGATGGAAGAGCTCCTCCACAGAAGCAGCCAGTTATCCGTCCACCTGAGCGACGCTGAAAGTTCAGGTGCTCTCCTCGCCCAGCTTGGAGATATCCAGGAGGAGTGGCGGCTTTTAGAGGGAAGTATTAAAAGAGGCCTTCAGCACGCCTCAAGCTCCACCTCTCAGTCGTCTCTTCTTATTAAAGACACCAAACAGCTGAAAGCCAAACTCGAAGCTCTTCAGACGTCTGACTGTGAAAGCAGCGACAACAAAAGTGCTTTAGAGGTTGTTTGTCTGACCACGGACCTCAAACTGTACAACCAGCTCTACCTGCACCTCCAGTCTGAGTCGGAAGCTCTAGTTCACTTCTCTTTGGGTCAGAAGGAGAAGGACGAGATCAAACGTAACCTTCAGGAAGTGGGGTCTTTGCTAAACCTCACCAAAAGCAAGCTCGACATTTCCACACACAGCTCTCCTGCGAGGATCAACAAACAGCTACGAGACTTGATCACATGGGCCAAGCAGGCAGAAAACCACATCTCCATCGGGAAGAAGTTAGCCCTGTTCCCAGAGGAGGCTCGGATCCAGATTATGGAGATGAAGAAGTTTCAAACGGATATTTGGTCTCGAAGGTCCAAGTTACAGGCGGAAGTAGAGCAGATGAAAGATATTGCCTCTGGCATGGAGAAGGAGGAGAGCGACCAAGTATTCAGGACCGTTGAGGATCTTTATGAAGCCATCGCTGACAGCTTGGATCATGTTCTCGCCACCATGAAGAAGAGCCTGATAGAGAGGGAGAAAATGTTGTGCCAGCTCTCCAGCATGGATGCCTGGCTTGCAGAAACCCATGCAAAAAGAGACCCCTGTGTGCATATGGATAATGTTTCAAAAGCTGACATCAGAGAGCTGGAGAGTGAGCTGAAAAGCCACAAATTTGCCAAGGTGAAGATTGAGAGCACAATAAAACTGGTGGAAGAAATGGCAGAGAGATGCAAAGAAATAGCCGCCGGGTTGAGTCCAGGAGAGAGCCGCTACATCGTCAACAGACTGTCAGGACTATGGACTGAATTGGATGGTTTGCTTGCTTTTGAGAAAGCAACCAGCTGGGAGTTGGAGGAGCTGATTCACGAGAGAAGATCTTCAGATGAGGAGCTGTCGACAGTCCAGGCAAGTTTAAATCAAATCTCCTCTGATCTGGCACAGCAGAAGTTCCCTCTGACTCAGGAAACCCTTTCAAAGATTGCACTTTTGAAGCACATGCTGATGGAGCACCAGTGTCAAGTACAAGAGCTGCAGCACTGCCAGGAGGCCAAGAGAAGCTCCCTGTTGTGCACCATTGGTGAGCTGCAAGACCAATGCAAAGCTTTCAGTATTAACACCTTCGAACAGGAGAAGTACCTGCACCTGAGGAGCCAGATGGAAGAATCTAGAGACATAGCTGCAGAGCAGATCCAGCGTGCCAAAGATAAAGGTATAAGTTTGGGTCAGCGGTTTAGACAATGCCAAATACTCCTAGTGGAGCTTCCTTTGGTGAAGACACAGTGTCAGGAAGCAGCCGACCAGCTGGAGGCTATCGCTCAGGAGCTGAACCCAACTGAGCTCAACGCAGAGAGGCAGAGAATTCATCAAACTGTGGAAACTTTAGTCTCCAGGGAGGATTCTGTCACAGAGGACATCAAGAATCTAGAGGCCAAGCTCCTGCTGGGTCTGCGCTTTTCCTCTGAGCTTCCTGCCTTAGTTCAGTTTTTCCGGAGAGCAGAGGAGGAGCTGCAGGGAGCCAAACCCGTCAACCCAGAGGAAAGAGCCATCGATGTTGCACTGCGAAGGTGTTGGGTTATTTGGAGGAATATGGAGTCCGGGATCAGGGTCTTAGAAGGCCTAGGACGCAGAGAGAAGGTCAACTTGAATAGCTGCAAGGAGCTGTACTCTCTCAGAGATGTAACCATGCAAGAATGCCACGAAAGAATGGTTTGTCTCCAGAGTTCATGATTACAACTTTCCATTTTCTGACTTTGCCATTTATTAAGTTTTTTGTTTTTTGTTTTTTTTTTCCACAACAGGCGAGTCTAGCCCAAGCTCGAGAGTCCTTAAAGGATTACCAGTGGGCCGCTCAGGGAGCAATAGGGTTCCTCCACAACGCCGAAGCCACCTTCCTCTCAGCTCCTGGAGGGTTTTTGGACTGTACTGAGGAACAGAAACAGACTCAACAGGCTCTCGAGGCTCTAGAAGACGGATTTCAGGCTCACATCTCCCACCTTTTGGAACTGGTACCACAACAACCCTGCCTCTCCCAACCAGAGACAGAGAAGCTCCACATCAGCATCTTCAGTCAGCTGTTGGTAGGAAGAGCCGTACTGGAGGCTCAGGCCCAGCTCAGGCTAGAGTCTTTACAGAGGTACAGGACCTCTTTAAAGAGGGTCTGAGTGGTTTTATGTTTTACATGTGGTGATAATATCTCTGTCCATAATTTTGTTCTTGAAATTTATCTACAAATGAATTTCTTCCAGGTGTGAAGAACGGCAGCAAAGTCACAGGATGTGTCATGAGGACATATGTCAGCGTCTCTCTGGACTCGAGGCTCAGCTTTCCGAGTGTGCTGCAGAACAAGTGACCTCATACGATAAATGTGTTGCCCAACAAAAAAGAGCCAAGGTGGGTCTTCAAAAGCAGAGTAGTCCGACAACAGAAATACATCAGGTCTTTTACAGCCACCTTTATATAAGTTAACTGAGGGATAGAGTGGCTACACCACAAGGTTGAATGATGAAGCAATGATCAGCTAACAAAGCATCATGTGGTGAGCCACAGTGACTCTTCAGCAAATCCTCTGATAGAGTTCCCTCTGAGATCACAGTGGCAGAAACACGTCTCTTTCAGGACAAGGTAGAAAATAACTTTCACAATAAAGGTCTTTTGATATACGTAGATGATACTGTTCATACTGACATAGCTGTCAACTCAAAATGTTTTTATACATGTCTTTGCATGCCAGGGTAACAAAAGGTTGCACACTGCATTTTATTGGCTCATCTTAAAGAGATATTATGGCGTAAATTTAAGATATGGTCAAACACACTGTAGCTCCAAGTTAGACACCCCCTCGAAAGAGTTAGACTCATCCACTCTCCTCCAGCAGCCGCTTGTTTGTGGGGGAGCCCTAACAAGTCGATCACCAAGTGCAGCCGAGTTCTGCAGCTCAAGAAAGAACATTTATAATTATCACTTCATGGAAATGCAATCAGAGTTCTTGTATATCTTGTATGTGCACTTCAGACGCAGTAGTTCTTCTGCCTCAGCATCTTGGTCTGATTGCATTTCTATGAGGTAATAATCATAAATTTTCCGCTGCACTCAGTGATCAACTCGTCAAGGCTCCCCCACGAACAAACAGCTGCTGGAGGACAGTGGGTGAGGTGTGTTTAGTCTCTTTGCTAAAGAAATCAGGTAAAGCTAAAAAGATGTTTGATGGCTAGTACTATGGCCGGGACCCTATATGTACTGTTGATGAAGTTAGGTGCTGTTCTGAGCATTATTTGTGGCTATAGAGTGGCTTTTTGGTTTAGGTGCGCTTGGAGATGATTTCTGCTGTGTATTGCTGTAGTGTGGTTGTTACTAAAGTGACTCCGTGTTACGGTATGTTTGACCATGACTTAAACATCCCTTTAAAGGAAAATATTTCCTGACTAACTCTTAAATTTAATCTCTACTTCATCTTTTTATGCAGCTTCTGATGGATGATCTTCGCAGCCTCGCTGTTAAAATTGAAGACCTCCGAGCTGGGTGTCCGATGCAGGGATGTGGGGTTGGAAAGGACGGGGAGCTGGGCGCCCTCTGGAGGCGCTGGGTGTCATTACGGCGTGGTATAGGTCTTCTGATGGCACATACAGAGCAGAGGGGAGAGGAGTGGAAGGACATCACTACCAGTGTGAGTTTTTTTTTTTTTTTTTTGGCAGGATCGTTTATAAATTTGTGTAAAAACAGATAAATAAACGAGAATTAGCGGAATAGCATCTGTATTTTTCTTATTACTGTATTTTCTGAATGTGTTTGAAAAAAAGTCCAGGACAGCTGGTAAATAAAAACAAGCTTGTTTTGATTGCCTTTGAAGACTGAACTGTGTTATTCAAGTGCTGATCTCTGCTTCCTCAGATGGAGCAGTGTTGCAGCTTCTTGGCCAGCCTTCAGGCTGAGGTCCCTGATTCCTCTGCTGTGAGCTTCACTCAGGAGAAACCACAGGAGCTTCTGGCTCAGGCTGAGATGCACCAAGCTGGGCTGGAGCAGGAACAGCAGGCACTGGCATCCCTGGAGCACCGACTGGAGCATGCCTTGAGTTTATCCAGCTCTCAGGATCCAATCAGCCCTGGACCTGTTGGGAAAACGCTTGTGAAGATCCAAGAGAATGTCAGGAGGTGAGATACGACAGATGTGGAAAAGGATTGCTCATAAATGTGAGAAATGCTGACAAGTTTTTTTCTTCTGCAGCTTAAAAGAGAGAAACCTGCAGGTGGTGGCTGCAGCCCAGGCGGAGGAGAAAGAGAGGCAGCAAATCCAGGAGGATATAGAAGAGGTGGAGCAACACGTGATGGCCATTCTCACGTCTCTGGAGGCCTGTTCAAACCGAAGCAAACAACAGGTCAGGCTTGTATTTTATGCTTTATAGTCCAAACTCAAATACTGGTGTTACAGGAAAAGAGCTCCTAGGATATATTGTTCCTATAGGATTTTTTTTTTTTTTTTACTTTTGGCCACGGTTTTAAAAATATAGCATATGAAACTTACTCGAGGTTGATTTAAGATGACTGTCAACCATAAACTAGACAATAAGTTCTGCAAATTAGGGAAAAAAAAGGGTCCTAAGCTGGACTTTTGAACTCGTGCTGTGATCTCTCTAATTTCCAGTTCAGTCTTTCCATTTTGATCTTTTTCCATGTTTATTTCCAAACTGCCAGGAGCTCAGAAAGGATTTACTGATCCAAAAGACCAAACTAAAGTGTATCGTGGACAGTGTGCAGAGGCGATACGGGGGGATACCAGCTGATATCAGTCGAATGCTACAAGGAGTCCAGCTTTCTCTAAGGAGAGATGAGGAGAAGGTACCTTTCACCCAGTTACATGGCAACAGTGCACGAGGCTTTTGACGAGCTTTAAGAATGGGGTAGCTAAAATCAAGTGTTTCAGACAGAAGGTGAAATTGTGGTTTTCAAAGACACTAATCTAAGACTGGTGTCTCCTTCAAAGCCAACAGAAAGGCTAGATAAGGCCTGAAAACCAGCATCATCCCCTTTCTTTATTAATAATAATAATAATAATAATAATAATAATAATAATAATGAAAACAACAACAACAACAATAATAATAATAATAATAATAATAATAATAATGCATCAGATTTTATAGCACTTTAACTTTAATGCCTGGTTAACTCATTGTCGACTAATTTATGCTTAATCATGATTCTTTCTTCTGTCTGCTCACTCTTCAGCTCATAGCGAGGAGCATCCCACTTCAAAAGCTAAACAGACGAGTAGTGGAGCTGGGTTCAGGTCTGGAGAAAGTCAAGATGTTACTGGACCAGAAAAGTCCAACTGTCCCTGAAGCTCAGCATGTACTCAAGGTGTGTGTATTTCTTACTGTTTGCTTCAGTGTGTGTGCAGTTTCAAGTTTTGTGCACAGGCTTAAAAGCTTGAATCTGTCTCCACATTTGTCTTTTTTTGGCCAGCGTGTTTGGGATGAGCTGGACGCTTGGCACAGCCGTCTCATGATCCTGGAGAGTGAAGTTCAAGATCTTGCAGAGGAGCATCCAGACCAGGCCCACATCCTCATGGACCAGCTGACCCAGCCGCTGCAGCTCTACCAAAACACAGCACAGCAGGTGGAGCAGCGCACCGCCTTCCTCAGCAAGGTCAGCACTTCAATATTCACGCTGTAAAAAAAGTAAATGCACCTCAACGTAGGCTTTTAATATGAGTTTGTCAAACTTGTATTCTTCAGATCCCCAGCTGCCTGCAGGAATTTGAGGACACTGTGCACAGCGCCACCTGCTGGTTGGATGAGGCTCAGTCGTGGCTTAGTGCTCCCTGCTCATTTACAACTGCCAGAAGTCTCCAGAATCACGCAAACTCGCTGCAGGTTGGTCTGTGCAACATTTGTGCCTGTATTTGCTGTGCATTTTATCATCCTTAAACTGCAGTGTAGTTTGCTGTAGTTTATCTCATCATTGGGCTTTGTTGGCTGCTAAAACACGTGAACTTCCATGTACAGTCGTATCAACAAGCATTTTCAGTAGCACGTTTATTTTTTGATCCTGAACTACAGCTGGTCCTTGATGACTCTGAAAGGATCAGAAGCGCCTTGCAGGACTTCAGACCGGTCTTGGATGAGATCTCTGCTGTGTGTGACATGAGAGCCCAGGTGGAGAAGCTGGACCAGAATGACCAAAAGGTCCACAAGACACAAAGCAAGGTCCTTGAACCACTGGAGCAGCTTCTGGAGGCTGTGGATGTGAGATCTTTTTTTTCTTTGGTTAAATGATCCCACAATTCAAAGAAAGTCAGTCCACTGGGAGAGGCACTGATCATGTATTTTTCAGGCGGTGGAGGATACTGAGACAGAGCTGAAGACGATGGAGAAGAATGTGCAGAAGATCAGAGCCATCCTATCCTCCATGGACAACTCAAACATCACTCTGACCGAGCATCTGCAAAACCGACAGGTAATTCGCAGAGCATTCATGACCGCTAACTACAAGTTCAATGCAAATCCTCATCAGGAGTTCAGAGCATGCAATTGTTGATATTGTCTTACTAATGCCCTCTAAATGTCAGGAAAACACTGTGCTTTCGCTCAACCAAAATACATCTTTGTACTATTTTATGCTTCAGATTCGAAGAATTTATGGATAAAAAGAAAGTAGAAACCAAACAGGAGGAGTTTCTCGATAATTCTACTTTTAAGTTTGAAGGCAACTTTTCAACTACATATTTGTCTCACGCCCACTGCTACTGTTCTGACCACAGTTTAAACACTTTTTTAACCCCTTAGGTGATCCTGGCCAATGTTCAGTCCATGCAGAGGACTCTGGAGGAGATGGAGAAGTGCAAAGGAGATCTTAAGCTCCCTCGAGGAGCAGAGGAGAGCTTGCTGGTCTTCTCCAGGGCCAAACTGCTCTTACAACAGTTGAAGGAGCTGGAGCAGCTCACCCAGCAACAAACCACACTGCTAGAGGTACAAATAACTGACTTGATGTATAAATACAGAGAAGAAAAAGCAGTTTTAGTTTTTCTCTAAAGCTTGCTGTGGCATCCTTTGTTAAACAGACTAAGCTCAGTGCTGTGAGGGTATTGAGGATGTTCCTCTTTAGCAACAGAAAAAGAGAAATCTGGTTCTTTTGTTGCATTTCTATGCAGGACACGCTCAAGGCTGTTCTTTATCTTTGCTGGTGGCCTCAACCTGACAATCATCTCAGCTTTATTTTCTGTCTTTTCTCATAACACAGCAGCTCAAAGAAATACAATGTTCTGCACTGCAACCTTGAGAAGTGTCTTGTAATCAGTGTTTTTCACACTGTTTGAGTCTCTGTTTTCTGTTTTTTTGTCCCTTTGACAAACAGGAAAAGATTAAAGAAGAGGATCTGGACATCAATGAAGTCTCTAAAACTCCAAACAGATCTGCACAAATGAGCCTGGTTCAGGTAATAATAATAATTATCATAAAAATCACAATCATAATATGGCATAAATCAGCTAACACAATAACACCAGCGAGACATTTTGATTTTAGACTTTGAACAAGCTGTGAATTAAACCAATGAAACACTTTCTCACTAATCATCCCTGAAGAAAATAACAGTTTGAAGCAGTCGTGTGCTTGTTAGTTCATCCGTAGCGGGACATTGAAAAGAGCAGCATTCTCTAGTCTGGAGGAACAAGCTGCAGATAGAAAGTGTCAAAAAAAACTGCAGTTTCTTAAGTGTCCTCTTGGGACTGCCTCCAAAAGCAACAGAAGCCGCATATGCACCTTTTAAAAAAGTATATGTTGTATTAAAGGGATATTGCAGCATAAAATTAAGTTAGGGTCAAACACAACGTAAAACTCCAAACAGATCTGCACAAATGAGCCTGGTTAAGGTAATAATATTACCTTAGACACCCCCTCAAGAGAAAAACGTTGCCGACTGCTTGCCTCTCTAGTCATACCAACTTTATTAATGACTGCACGGTAACAATACACAGCGGTCTACATCTCCATGCACAAACCTCAACCAAAAAGCCACTCTGTAGCCACAAATAATGCTCAGAACAGCACCTAACTTCATAACCTCAGCCATAGTACTAGCCATCAAACATCTTTTTAGCTTTGCCTGATTTCTTTAGCAAATAGACTAAACACAACTCATCCACTCTTCTCCAGCAGCTGCTTGTTTGTGGGGGAGCCCTAACAAGTCGATCACCAAGTGCAGCCGAGTTCTGCAGCTCAAGAAAGAACATTTGTATGATCATCACCTCATGGAAATACAATCAGACCGAGATGCTAAGGCAGGAGAACTACCACGTCTGCAGGGCAAAATGATTAATTTGATAATTGTTACTAAATGGAAATGATCCGCTGCACTCGGTGATGGAGTCGTCAGGGCTTCCCCACAAACGAGCAGCTGCCGGAGGGGAGTAGGTAAGGGTGTTTGGTCTCTATGCTAAAGAAATCAGGCAAAGCAAAAAGGATGTTTGATGGCTAGTACTATGGCTGGGACCCTATATGTACTGTTGATGAAGTTAGGTGCTGTTCTGAGCATTATTTGTGGCTATAGAGTGGCTTTTTGGTTGAGGTTCGCGCGATGAGGCGTACACCACTGTGCATTGCTGTAGTGCGGTTGTTACTAAAGTTAGTATAACTAGAGAAACAAACAGTCGGCAACATTTATCTCTTGAGGAGGTGTCTCACTCTGTGTTACTGTGTGTTTGACCATGACTTAATTTTACACAGGAATATCCCTGTAAACATGTTCATCATGCAGATATGTTCCTGTTCTTTGTGAAGCCTCATTTTATCTGTATTAGCAGCTTTATCAACAAAACCAAAGGCACTTTGCATCAAACTAATGATGTCCCACAGAAAGAGAGTGGAGACAGTAAAAACAGATCATATTACTGGAACATTACATCAAGAAAGTCACATTTAAGATGATCAAGAAACTAGCAAGACAATTTATCACTCAGTTTATCTTTGAGTCAGACTTTTGATACACCGTTCACCCTTATCACTAAAAGCAGGAGGCTTTTGAGCTGTCTAACTCAGAGGAAGAGGAGGATGAGGAGAAAGAGGGTTGTCACTCGTCGTCATCCTCTGACACACTAACATGCAGTATCCCAGAGGTAAATGTCAAAAACAGTCACAGCTCAGGAGAGCATGATTCTGGGCTCCTCTTTGTTTTGGGTTTCCTTCCAAATACCAACCTTAACAGCTTATTTCAAACACAGTAAATGGAAATAACCTGTTAAAACGGATTTAAAGTTTTATGTATGACATATAAAACTGATATTTTGGAGTGGAACTCAAAGTACTTAAGGCTTCATCATCTCATCTTTTCCTCCTCTTTTTATATGAAATTCACTAAATGATTTTCAACACTAAGAGTTTTGCCTTTTCCCTGTGGTGTGAATGAGCTCTGCAGAGTTGTGCATGTTTGAATGAAGCTGTTTCACACAGGCTGTCCTGTCCTGTTGATGAATCCTCTCTCTGTCACTGTCAGATGCAGCTGCTAGAAATATGTTCCTCCTTGGAAACCTGAAGAGAAACACACAGACACACATATGACCACACACTGGCATTAATGTATGTTTGTGTGTGTGTGTGCAGAGATTTGATTTGCATTTGTATCTTAATTGATTGATGTGTTAGGATCCTGAGGAGACATTCAGTGCTACAGAGGTGCAAAGTGAGGAGAATGAAGAAGCTGAGCCACTGTCAGAAGTTAAGGTGAACTATGATCTTTGTCTTTTTTGCGCTGGCTAGTCTATGAACTGATGGTTCTACTTCAAATATGATCATCTTTTCTGCTCTATTTCTTTTTGCTCTCTAGAAACTGGGGAGTTTAACCAATCAGACTCCTCCTAACGAAGAGATGTGCTCCAAAGCTGCTGACACAAGTCTTCTATTCTCGAAGTCTGACCTCAACTCAAGAGACAAAGCTGATTCTGGATTAATAACTTTGGATTCCCAAGCTGTTTCAAGAGCTCTTCCTCCTGAAAATGCGGCAGCTGAGTCACTCGTCAGCGCAGCCGAAGACGAGGATACTGCTCCCTGCTCCATTACAGTGGACAGACCAAAACATGAAACCACGAACACAGACCATCAAACAAAGCCCCCTCAGGAAGCAGCTGCAGTGGAAGACACAAGACTGATTCCTGCAAGACCTGTAACTCCATTCACTGCCAGCAGGACAGAATCTGAGGACTTGACAAATGAGGGAGACAAAGATCAATCCATGGATTCCCTTCAAGATCAGGTATGTGTCTAGGAAAGTGAAGAGACTATCTGCAGAGAGTTATCTAACTTTAAGAACTAATTCCAGCTTCTATTAATAAGAGGAAATATTAGCCTATCAGTGGCATCCAGCTTTGAGTGAAAAAGGATGGTAGAGACTTGATTAAGTTCCTATGTCTGTTAAATGGACGCTGATTAAAGCTACAGTAAGAAATTTTTAGCAGGTAATATGACACAAATCAATACTAATGCCTTATTATGACCTAAAACAGGTAATATCCTCTGTTACAAGACTCATTATTCCCAAACAGTTATTTTTTATGTCTGTCATGCTGTAGCAGAAATTGGCAAAACAAGTTGCAAAGAGCAATAAACATAAAAATAATAAATAAAGAATAATCAAAATAAGGCAGATAAGACAGGCAGTAACAGTGCTAGAGGACCTGAGGCAGAGGTCAGGCTCAGAGAGAGTTGGTGATTCGCAGATAGAGGCTGGAGCCTGTTCATTTGAAAAAACATGCAGAAAATCTTAAAACTATTCTGAAACTGAAACTATTTTGAAAGGAGCTTGCAAAAAGCTGTGAGGACTGGTGATGTGGTACGATCACTTCTCTGGCTTTGTGCTGAAAGCTTGACCAAAGTACGTTTAATCAGTTGCAGTCTTTGGATGGCATACTTGCTCATACTGTGCCTAAATAGGGTTTGCCCTGGGCCAAGCATGTAAACAGTTAATAGGAAGAGACGTGAAATAGAGCCTTGGGGAACACCACAAAAGACAGGCATACGGGAGGAGCTTCCAAGCATTAAAGAAAAAGACCTGTTTAACACATAGGCAAATGAATCAGTCCAGGACTAAGTCAAGTAGATCATCAGTACTAGCTACTACAGTATTACAGACCACCAAATAATACAAAGTAGTGTCTTGTACATTAGCCACATAGAATTGCACTGTCAGACCAGCCTTTTACAAATAGTTACATGTTTAATGCCTGGCGGCAGCATCTTGTATGAATTATAGTCTTTGGATGTTATACTTGCTGGTACTGTGTTTTGCTCTGGGGCAAGCACAAAAACTGTAAATAAGAGGGAACCTAGAACAGCGCCTTTGAGAACACCACAAAAGTGAGAAATACAGAAGGTGTTTCCAAGCATTACATGGAAAGACCTGTTTGACAGATAGACACTGGTCCAACAAAATGTCACCAATGTGCAGGACAGATTGACAAAGAGATAAATCCTCTCTTTGTCCACAAGGGGGCGCCACAACCTCAAACTCCCTTGTCATAGTCTTAAATTTGCATAAATGATATTTGATCTACCGTTCAAATCTACTGATCTACTTGTTTTAAAAATTCGAGTTATGTCTAATAAACACGTAAAAAAAGATGTAATTGTTTTTTTGGCACTTCCCTCTTGCCTCTCTGGGATTCTCTGAAGTTGCTCAAGGAGCAAAGTGAAGGTGACACTGCTCAGAGTGAGACAGTGGAGGAATCCAAACCATCTGAGGAGTCTCCTGAGATGCCAATCAGGTAAAAGACTGAATAAAATCTTTAAGAATAAAGCTCTAACTGACCTCCACAGTACATCCTGTAGACATTGTGTGTTTTCTCTGGTCCTTAGCTCAGCTGGAAAAGAAGAAGAGGACACCGAGCAGCTTAAGTGGAGTCGACTCTACAACCAGATCTCTCAAAAACTGACCACTCTGAAAAAAGTAAAGGAAGAGCATGAAGCCCAGCTCTCCTCGAAGGATGGAGTGACTCATGAAAAGGTAAAAACACAGAAAAATAACTCCATCTTAGTCTGGATGATTCAGTTGTTTTTTGGAAGCTGAGCACGGTAGGAAAAATTATGTGGATGACGAAGGATGCGGGACCGAAATAGACAGAAGCAAAATTATTTCTTAGAAGTGGATATAAGAGAGCAAATTCAATTGATAGGCCTGTTTCCATGGCAACAGTTAGCTAAATCTTCAGTAATCAGGTGGAATGATAAAAAAGACAAAGAAAGGGATGATTGTGTTGCAGATTTTCTTCATTTTCTGGTTTATAAATTTAATGTTTGAAATGGAAAGAATGAAGAAACTTTATAACATTATTGACCTCAGCTGCCATTCATATCTTTATGAACACATGAGCACATCACCCCCATCCTGGCATCCCTACACTGGCTCCCTGTTCAGTACAGAATTCATTTTAAGCTTTTAGTATTTGTTTTTAAGGGCCTGAACAACCTTGCTCCACCCTATATTTCGGAGATGCTCCAGCCTTATTGCTCACCCCGACCCCTAAGATCAGCTGATCAGCTGTTACTGACGGTCCCCAGTACAAGGCTGAAGCTCAGAGGGGACAGAGCGTTTACCGCTGCTGCCCCTAAGCTCTGGAATGAGTTGCCCTTGAAAATTAGACAGGCCTCCTCATTTCCTGTTTTTAAATCCCTTTTAAAAATGCACTTTTACTCATTGGCTTTTAGTACATTGTAGTGTTAATTTGTTTTTTATCATCTAAGCACTTGCCGTGAGCCTCCTTATTTATACACTTATTTATTCTTTTGCATTACTGTATTTCTGCTTGCGTTATCTTGTTTTTTGATCGTTTTATTTGTTTTTATGTCACTGTACAGCACTTTGGCTACCCTTGTGGTTATTTTAAATGTGCTATAGAAATAAAGTTGATTGATTGATTGATTGATTGATTGATTGATTGATTGATTTAATCTTTAATGCAAAAAACTGCTTATATGTCAAAAAAATATGTACCAGGAATATTAATTAAGCAATAGTCGCCATGTATTCACATGGAGTAATTTTTTTACTTTGTTTTGAGCTTAAACTCTTTCTTAGTAAGTCTTATTAAATGTTTTTCAGTATCTAGACAGAGAAATGTCATCAGGATCTGCATCTGCTGTCCTTCATCGTACACATGAGTCCGTTGCCACATTGAGACAAATGGTAGGGATCCTTTTATCAGTGGGTCCTATTTTGCAGGTTAAATGAAGTAAAGACATTTCTTAATCAGGGCAAACTCTACACTTCCCAGGTGAGCTCTGCAGCAGGATCAAATCCAGGGGTAAACAAGGAATTGTATGAGGCTGCACGAAAGGTCCTCCTCAGTTTGGACGCTTTGACTGACCTTTTGTTGACTTCTGGTGTCTCTGGAGAAGACGATCCAAAGCTAAAGCTGATACAACATGAGGTGACACTCTAAAACAGCTGAACGTTTGATGTATTTGAAGACTGTTAAACACTTTTCAAGTCTCAAAGCTTCACCTTTAGATCCTCAGTCTCTGTTTTTTCTCATTAATCTGTTTTCAGTGTGTATCCGCTGAGTTGAACACTGTGTCTGAGCTGTTAACTAAAGTGGAGTCGGACATCAAACCAGCGCTCTCCAGTGAAGAACCAGAAGCTCTTGGCTGTATGACCTCTCTGCAGGAGTGTCTTCAGATAGTCCAGCTGGTCTGTGCCTCGTCCAAAAATCAGATCATCGAACATCTGGGCATCACCGCCCCGCATCAGGTTTGGATTAGAAACCATTTAATCTACAGGTCTGTGAACCACCTCAGACCTGCAGATAAAACACTCTAAAGCTGCTTCCTATATCTAAATTATAGTTTTGAACTACTCTGGTAAAGCAGCGTAAATGACATTTCATCACATTCATTTTATTCCCTAATCAAAACATTGGAAAGTAATTCTTTATATTGTGAATATGGACTGAAAAACTGTTCTTAAATGCAAAATTGTGGAGTTGCAGTTGAATAATGTTATCAATCACTGTCACCTATTAAATCCAACAATTGATTGTCATTCAGTCTAAATGCATCAGTAACTAAGATCTAATAATAAATACTAGACAAGCATTTGATTGGAGGACATTTATTTGTAATAGATTTAATGTTTGTATAGCAGTCTTGATACTTTTATTAAAGTTTAGCATCTAAATGTTCTTGTCCTCTGCTTTTTGAAACACATTGATACTTTTTGTCTCACAGGAGCTTCCCTCTGACCAGCTGTGTATTCTGGACGAGTGTGAGCCTGGAGAAAGGGAGATTTTCCCAAGCACTAAAGACACTCCCAGTCTGGAGGTAAAAAGAAAAAAAAGTGCCCAGTCATTTATTTGCATGTTGATAATTGTTCATTTACTCTGAAAAAAGTCCAGATTAAAGATTATTTGATTAACTTTCAGAGCAATATTGAGCTAAAAAGAAAAGTTTTATTGGGAAACAGGTTGCTGCACTTTTGTTTAAAGTTTTTTTACTGGAAAAAGACAAAAGATAGATTTTTGAAGCCAACAGAAAATAAAAAACAGGGATATGATGACAATGAAAGAGAGTGAACAAAAAAGTGTGTAACACTAAAACCGCAGATCGCAGCATCTCAAATGAATTAAAGAAAACTGAAATGCTGAAGGGAACGACTGATGAAAAAAACAGGAGAAAGAAGTTCGGAGATGGAGAGCTACTGATGAAACAATAACTTTTAGTCCTCCTGGGAAAAATAAAAATGAAAGCCTCCTGTGCTCTTCTCTTTTGTGGTGTTCCCCAAGGTTCTATTTTGGGTCCCCTTGTATTTATTACTGTTTACATGCTTACCCTGGAGCAAAACTGCAACTGATTCAAAACACTGTGGCACAATATTCTTACCAACAACCAGTACTTATTTGAGACTAATGCTGAACTGAGAATCATATCAAAGTTTTATGGTTGCCTCTCACAGCAGTGTGTGCTGGGCAGACATCTGAGGGAGGGTCCAGGGGAAAAAGACAAGCTACAGCAGGCTTCCCGGTCCTTGCTTCAGGGGACGATTCACCTCCTGGAGCTGGGAGAAGAATGTATCAGAGAGAGGCAGATGAACCAGGTCCATAACCGTGGCCAGCTTCAAGCTGTTCTCTGCAGACACAAGGTAACTCACTGAGCTTTCAACAAGTTGTTTACCAAGCAGAGGAAAGTCAGAATTATGATTTTCACTTTCCCAAGAGTTTGAAGAAGTCTCATGATGATTTCCAGAGAGATCCTCAGCAATATAAAAACCTTAAATTACATTTGAATGAACTTTTTTTTTTGATTAACACAGTGGATTTTTGTATTAACTTTTGGGTGTACTTCGCAATACTTTCCCCTCTCTTCTGTCATTCATCTCGTCTCTGGTTGACCCAGAAGCTACTGCAGGTCCTCAGATCTCAGTCAGCCTTTGTGCAGCAGCTGTTCCAGCGTGAACCAGCAGTGCTCCAGTGTCAGGAGGATGAGTGCGTCCAGCTGGAAGTCAGAACTGAAGCTCTGCAGCAACAGGCTCTGGAACATGAAGTGGCTTTTCAAAGGAGGCTCCAGGTTTGTGCACATTAGCTGAGGGTCAAATGAGCCCATCCATAAACAGAAGTGGGTTTGTCTTGTGGAATAATTTCTGGTATTGGTGCTTGTGTTTACAAATCAAATGTCATTTACCAAAATGTTGGTTTGTGGCTGCAGGAGTGGACACAGTGGGAGGATAATTGTGGTGAACTTGGCAGGCTGTTGGATGATGTTGAAGCCCTCATCAGCGGTGAAGAGCCAGAGGGAGACGATGAGAAGTCAGTGCTGGATCGACTCGCCCTCTGCCAGGTAAACTTGATCAGAATGCCCTGTGTTTATTTTTCTTTGACATTTAATAAGCTCACACTCCCTAACCCACATTTTTTTTCACTTTTCATCACATTGTTTATCCAGTCTCTGCTAAACTCTGCAGTAGAATCTGCTAATAAATGTAACTTAATATAAAAGTAGCATCAGCACTGTCTCTTTCCCTCTCTCTCAGCAAACACTGGTCCAGCTGGAGGAGAGCAGAGCCACTGTAGGACTGCTGCTGGATCAGAGGAAGATGCTGCAGACAGACCCAGCACTCGCTGCCACTGTTTGTCACAAAGGGGGCGCCCTGGAGCTGCGATGGCGGAGCGCCTACAGGTGGATGGAGCAAGAGATTCAGCGCTGCAGGGACATCCAGGACAGCCAGACCAGGTAGGCTGGAGTTAAAAACAAGCCAGACTATGGCTGGCTATATACATTAGGGCTGTCGCAATATACCAGTATGGACAGTGACTGTTTTTGTGAACATACTCTACATTTACATCATGTTAAATATAGGCATATACAGGCAATACCACAATAGTTGAGGCACTTCACACATCATAAAACAGAGGACAGATGAAGATGATGCAGCAAACTGCCTGTGAACTAGCTTAAGTAGCTCTGTAAGAGATGATTAGACACTTTTAAACTGAAGTTTCAAAGATTTATGGGGAAATCAAATGTAACTTTACAACTTTGTCTCTTTTGGTTACTGTCATAACCCTGCTCTATGGCCATGACTAAAGGACGGGAGCAGTGCGTATGGACAAAAGTAAACTAATTTATTTACAATTTAAAGTAAAGCAAGCAAACAAAAACTAAATGTATGGGGTGTGTTAGTCTGTAATATCAGTAGTGTGTATGTGGTTGTGTGAGAATGATGTGGTGCAAGGTGTTGAGAAGTGCACTAACAAAGGTAACTAAATGAAATGTGCATGGGGATCTGCAGGCAGCCGAGCAGAGAAGAATGGCGAGCGGCAGGGCAGACAGAGCCAAGCAGGAAGAGCAAGAGAGCGGACAGGCCACAGGAAGCCAGTATATGTAGAAGGTGGAGCAGCAGGCCCAGGTGTTCCTTATCAGAGCAGATTTCAATCAGCCAATCCAGGCACGTCAAAAGAGAACAGATAGATATGTCACATCTCCAGTTTAGACATCCACACAGGGGCCATCACAGTTACTAATCAATTGAACATTTGTACTTTATAATAGTTTTTTAAGCTGTTTTCATTTATTTCTGTTACTTACCAGAAGTAGCTCACACTTCAAAATAAAATCATAGTTTTACAATGTCAGATATTATGTCTGTCAACAGTGCAGACATCGGCCCATACTGATGGTTATCCGATGCATTGGTGCATCCCTAGTTAGTTCTCAGCATCATGTCAACATCATGCAGATTAAAGTATAAGATACCTTTTTTTTTTACGATTTGAAACTTTAATAAAGGGTGTAACGCCATGATTGACAGCTCTGTTAACAAATCCAGCTCCTGCAGAGGATTTGCAGAATATAGAGGTAGAAAACCGAACAAACATGATCACAAGTCTTTAATGTTTCCAAAACCATGTGGCTGCTCAACATTTTCACAAGAATCAACTCTGCTGTCGAGCATAAGAAACCTGTTCAATCTTTGCTCTGTTAAAATAAGGTTGAATTGATATTTTGGTTAGCTGAGGAGACAGCATGTCAACAGGGGCTTCACCAGCTGATTCCCACTGTGCAGACTGATGCTGTGTCCGAATTGCCCGCTCGGATACTACATGCTACTGCTACGTGCTACTGCTAGATCCTACTCCTACATACTAAACACGTTGGCCCAATTCGGACACACTAGATGAGCGGTGGGGAAAGACTGCCCCCGCAGGCGGAGAGTAGGTACTGCGCCCGTGCAGACAGTGGTAACTGAAGCCCCTCATCTGCGGGCCTGGCTGTAGTACTGCAGCTGTGCAGTTTAATGATGGAATAAGTGATCTTTACCTCCATGATGTCGCCACATATTTGCTCATAAAATGATTACTTGGGCAAATATGACACCATGACATGACAAAGAGATACAACCGCACATTTTTTAGGACAGTGTGTGAAGTTACATGAAACTTACATCTGTACTGCTGCGGTCCCACCTGCTGCGGCTCCGACATGGTGCGCGCTGCTGTGGCCAGCCGGCGATCGCAACGCATCTATGCTGGTGGCGCTAGCATCACATGCCCTTCTACAACTTTTAAGAGGACGAAGAAGAAGCCCGCGGTGCATTTTGGGTCAGTAGCATGCCCGTAGGATGCACCGCGACCAACCTACAATGTGGGCGTGTCTGGTATCTGAAGTAGTATCTGAAGTAGCATGCTACTCGCTCCGGTGGCCAATTCGGACATGCTAGATACTACTTCGACTACTACTTCGACTACTACTTGGCAATTCGGACGCAGCTAGTCTCTCAAAACGCCTGACTTTACAGGAGGCATTTTGGCTTCACTCTTGAATAAAAGGGAGAGTCGTCCACCGTTATGTACAGTCTGTGGTCTTATTTGGAGTTGGAAATGTGAATATGTGCCATTTTTGTCTGACTTAATAACCAATGAACATAAGTATTCAGCCCTAGAATTACCTGGAAATTTTTGCAGAATATGTGACAGGAAGGAGAGAGAGATGCTGTGAAAACTTTTCTCCTCCAGTATTCCTTCATCTTTTTCTCACCTTTCTTTAGAGAACAATGGAGGCTGTAGTGTAAAAAAAGAAGTGTAAGAGCACAAAGGATTTTTATTCAGTGTTTCAAACATTACATTAAGTTTTTGTAAAAGCTTGATTTAAGCTTTAAATCCCACTGAAAGTGAAAGGTGCCTCCAGGAAACAGCAGTGTTGGACCCCTGCCTGCCTGCCTGAATCTGCTTCTCCAGTTTAGTTGTCTGATCCTCTCATCCTCTCCACAGATTCCAGACTAACTTTGCCTCAGTCTGTGATTGGCTGGTCGGTGCCAACAAACGCCTGAAGAACTGGTCCAATCTGGCCAACACTTCTGACCCAAACTCGAACAGTGTTAACAACAGTCTGATGGAGCTGCTGGTAAGACTCCTAATCTGAGAGTGACCCCTCTGAACCACAGTTTGGCCTTTTCACTGATAATATATATTTTTTTAAATTGAAAATAAAACAGGCATTTTTCAAACGAATTTCACTCACAGTCTAGATCTTCAAAGTTGGAAACTTATTTTATCAAATTTGTTCTTGACTTTGTTGTTCTGTACCATAAAACCACTTCAGATGCATCATCATCCACAAATGACCGACATGTTTTGTCCGTGTAGATTCTCATTCATCCAGGTCATGGTCATCTTGAAGACTTAAAAAAAAAAAAAGAAGCTTCTTCAGTGCTAAATTGCTAGTGTGAGGAGCAGATATTTATCTTACTGGAGAAGGGGACAGAGGTCTGTTTAGAGCTGAAGAAGCTTCTTGGATAAGAGGCGAAACGTCTTCTCAACTCTACACAGTCCAGTTGCCTGTTTTTTTTTTGTTTTTTTTTAAGTCTTCAAGACCGATATGTTTTCTGACTCTGGTTCTTCCCTGGTCCTCCAGGACTTCTCCATGGAGGTTGGATCTATGTCAGTGAAGAAGGCGTCTGTGTCCCGGGAAGCCTCTCAGCTGTTCCACCTGAGGGAAACTGACTGTCCCAGGCTGAGGGCCCAGCTCAGTCAGATGGGTGTCACCTGGAGCCAGCTGACCTCTGACCTATCCAAGATACAAGACAAACTGCAGCAGGTACCATGTTTTCAGGGACTTTCTACCCTCACCCAGTGAATGGAACCAGCTCTTAATGCGAATTGAAATAGTCCTGCTCTTGCAGAGGGTCCAATACTTTGACATTCACAGAGGATGAGGATGTTGTCAACCAAAAAGGGATGGATTGATTTTGACTGAAACAAATGTCACAATTTAATAGAACTGATGCTTACAGACAGTTTTCTGTCTGAATAAATAAAAAAAAAGTTTTAAAAACAATCCAAATATCGATACTGAGCTGCATTTTCCTTTATCGTTTGTCTTACAGTGTCTCCTGTCAGCGTGGCCACCTCTGAAGCTGCTGTGTGACCTGGATGACTGGCTGCAGAAGCAAGAAGCTCGACTGAACCAAAAGAAAGAAGCTGTCCTCAAGGCTGAAGATGCAGCTCAGATCACTGAAGTCCTGCAGCAGTACCAGGCACCTAATCCTCTGCACTTTGTCTATTTTCATACCTAAAGGTTACATTAGAGCACCTGTAAAGAGTATTTTTTAATGTTACTTGCCTCACAGGAATTAAAAGCAGGCATGGTCAACGGGCAACACCTTCTTGACTTCCTGTGCCAGTCTGGGCCTCAGATGATGGGAGCAGACGTCCTGGCTCACCGCTCTGAGCGCACAATGTTTGCAGAGACTCTCGGCACCCTCGGGATGAAGTGGCTGCTTGTTCAGAGAGAGCTTGAGAACCAGGTGTGTTCAATAGTATCAGCCCAAAACCTGCAATAAAACAACACAGATGCAGCTTTTCCCTTAAAAGGATATTCCAGGGTAAATTTAAGTAAGGGTCAAACACACCATAACACCGAGTTAGACACCCCCTCAAGAGATGAATGTTGCCGACTGCTTGCTTCTCTAGTTATACCAACTTTAGTAACGACCGCACGATAGCAATACACAGCGGACTGTGTCTCTTTGTGGGGGAGCCCTGACGAGTCGATCACCATGTGCCGTGGAGTTTCACAGCTCAAGAAAGAACATTTATGATCATTACTTCATGAAGATACAATCACACCAAGACGCTGAGGCAGAAGAAGTACCCATCTGCAGTCAACCATGATTAATATGATGATTATCACTTCATGGAGATGATCCGCTGCACTCAGTGATCGACTCTTCATGGCTCCTCCACAAACAAGTGGCTGCTGGAGAAGAGTGGGTTAGTTGTATTTGGTCTCTTTGCTAAAGAAACCAGTCAAAGCCAAAAAGATGTTTGATGGCTAGTACTATGGCTGGGAACCTATATGTACTTTTGATGAAGTTAGGTGCTGTTCTGAGCATTACTTGTGGCTACAGAGTGGCTTTTTGGTTGAGGTTTGCACATGGAGACATAGACCGCTGTGTATCGCTATTGTGTGGTCATTACTAAAGTTGGTGTAACAAGAGAAGCAAGCAGTCGGCAAGTTTCATCTCTCGAGGGGGGGTGTCTAACTTAGTGTTACAGTGTGTTTGACCATAACTTAATTTTACACAGGAATATACCTTTAACTTTGTGGGATGAAAGTAGATCAAAGCAGATGTGGCAAATTTGGGCAATACTGACCAGAATGTGTGCAAAAGGCTTGTGTGGGATGTTATTAAAAAGAGCTGATCAAGCAAAAAAAATGAGTTATTCTAAGTCTTGAAGCATTTGACCAAATTACAACAAACCAAATCTTTTTTTTTTATATACCTTATTCTATTTTCTATACATGCTTTAATGTCTGGTTGTCTTTGTACCTACAGCTTCGTGAAGCTGAACAGCTGCATCAAACCTGTGCAGACAGAGAGAGGCGGCTGCAGCGTCTTCATGGCTTCATAACACAGCAGCAAAAGCAGATGGATCAGTGGAAACAGCCGACAAGTCAAACTGTGACGCGTAAAGCTCTGCTGGAGTTTGAGGTACGGTGGAAGGATGTGAACAGGGTGATTTTCGGAGTGTCTCTTTTGCTGCTGTTCTCTGATCTCAGGTGTCTCTACTTTACTCTCAGGCTGTAGAGGGTAGAGTAAAGGAGGTGGCTGCTGCTTTGCAGAAATTGAAACTGACACGAGTGAGTGTTGAAAAGAAGGATGAAGACCACCCTTGTGACGCCTCCTTTTCTGAACAGACAGAGCGAGTTTGTCAAGCATGTGAGGATCTCAGTCAACAGGTACAGATTTTCCCCTCGATGTTCTTATGTTTAATTGAAGCTACAGCTATGTACATGAGCTGTTTTGAAAGGACAGAGTAAATCCATCATCAAACACCATCCTGACTTCCCCTGTGCTGATTTGCAGGTTGAGGTTCTCAAACCAGCTCTGCAGCAGACTGTTGAGGACTGGGGCTGCTTGGACAGAAATCTAAAAGAGGTTTCTCTGCACGCCACTAGGGCGCACTGTACTCTGCATCAGAGAGCTCCTCTGTTCTCACTGAGGCAGGCAGAAAGAGACAGGGACCTCCTCCAGGTAAGTGAAAGCTCAGACTGTCACATTTCAAAAAGGCCACTTTTTATGATAACAATCAGGACAATAACTCCATTTTGCTGCTTTAAGCTTCAGGCAAGTTGACATTGATGTAAAAGACTTGACAGCTTGAAGTGTGAATTTAGAGAAAGGTTTTTTTTTCTTCTATGAAACAGGCAGTTGGGATTGTTGTAATGTTAAAAGCCTGTCCATCTGGCTTTGAGGACTCAGTGAAGCTGTGGACTTAGGGCCCACATTACTTGACAGTTACCACACTTAGGATGTATTAAGACCTCTGAAGTGAGTGTGTAAAATGTTTTTGTGTGTGTGTATTTGTGTGTTCAAAGCAACTCCAAGAAAAGACTGGAAAAGCTGGAGAGATCTGGGCTTCTTTGGAAAAATCCCATCAGGGTCTTGTGAAGAATCTCCATCATGGAACGGCGCAGGCTTTGGGAGACCAGATGGAAGCAGAGAAGAAACGGTCAGTCACCTGAAAGCCAAGTTTAAGTAATTAAGAGTTAAAGGTTTGAAAATTCCCCTTGGTTTAAACACAAAGAAAAAGTAAGCCACAGGAGTTTTAAACTCAAATTAAAGATGATTTCAAGAAGGCTTTCTCCCATAAAAAAGGGTTGAGCTCATTAAGAGTGAAGTCTTAAAGATACAAAGTGGCATTAAAAAACATTTTTTTGTGTTTTGAAGTCTTTATACAGTGCGGGGATGATGCAGTTTCCCAGTATTGACAAGAACTGTCCCTTAAAAAGTAAAATATTGATATTGTGCTCAAAAAAATCAGTATACAGTAATACAGTAAGTTCACAGTTGTGGTCCTCCATGCTGGTTGTAACCTGCTGTAACACTGAGGTGACTTGAACAGAAGCAACAGCTGCTAGCAAGCTAGCTGTAGCAGCCCTCGTACACGACTCAGTACTTTTCAAAACTGACATTTAAAGATATGATGTTTGAGGTGTTGGGCATGAATTTTTGTCTTTGTTTCAGGTGGAAGGAGGTGTTACAGGAGCTAAAGGATGAAGACATGAAGACTGCAGAGACTCTTTCCCTCTGGCAGCAGTACTCTCAGCTCTCTGACCAGTGCTCCTTGAACCTGCAGACACTGAGGCGTCGGTGGGAGGACCTGATAACATCCTCCCCTCAAGAGGACACAGAGGCTGTGGTTCACTCTGTGGAGGTGAGCTCAGGGATTGTTAGCTTGAGTTCATTGTTATTAGGACAACCTAAAACATACCTTTTTAAACAGGCCTTTCTGTCATAGGCCTGTGGCCTTAAATGTACATGCTCTTGCACTTTGAGCGTTAGTGCCTTCTCGCATAGCGATGGTAGCTACTATGTTGGTTTTTATTGATTTTATACTGATTTCAATTTTTCTGATCTATGCTTTATGATGTTTTATACCGACTTTATACTGAATGACTCTGTTTTATGATGTTTTTATGTTTTATACTGTGAAGCACCTTGTGTACCTGTACTGCAAAAAGTGCTATACAAATAAACCTTTACTTACTTACTTACTTGATTTAAGATGACCTTTTACAGTCTATCACTATATCCTTCAGCCAAATAACAGCAGAGATCATCACATCAAAGCTGTCTTTTGTTTTTATCCAGGTCATCTTTCTCTGATATGCAAATTTGTTTAATGAACTGAAACATGTTAGCAAGAACAGAAGAAACCTGTGAGAGGGAAATACTTTTTCACAGAACTGAAGCTACTTAAAAATCTGTCTCAAAAGAAAAATCCTGACTCACTCGTGATATTAATATCCGAGTCCATTCATGGACTCAGCAACACTGATTCTGTCCTCTGTGGTTTCATATAATCTGAGTATTTGATTTGTCTTCATTAACTTCCATCCAGCATTACTGAGGAGCACAGAGAGCAGACCAAACCAGCATAACGTCCTGGTTATTTTTGTGCTTTTATGATCAGTGTTCCCTGCTCGGCTCATCTTGTTCTACGCTGATTCAGAGTCTTTCTGCGCTGCACTCACAGTTTAATTTTCCGGTGCCTTATCTCTTATTCCTGGAAGGAAACAAACAGTGTGCTCTCATGAGCAGAAATATGAACTAGGATCTCAAACTATTCAGGATTTCATGTGCACCACTTGTACCTGCAGTCCAGATGCTGCTTCATGCTTTTTTGACATTTGTGCTGAAAAACAAGTTGAAGGGCATGAATTCATACATTTGTTTTTCATTTTCATCAATCAGAAAGGTACACTGAGGAGTCATTGTAGGACTTCTTGGCCAAAACCAACAGGGGACCACAAAAACAGCCTGAACATCAGGGTCTTTAGTTAGTCTGTGTTTTAAAGGAAGAAAACAGGGAACAGCAATCACAAAGTATTTAGAATCAGTTTAAGTAGTTTAAGACGAATGAAAGCGCATCAGGAGCTAAATACCTGATCTGCTGATTATTGTGTCTAACTCAGTGTTTGCTCTCCATTCTGTAATGTAAGAGGTTGCAGGGCGCTGCTGAAGATTTGGAAAGCAACATGGGAGATGTTCTCTCAGCTTCAAAGCCTTTAATTGGACGACTACAACCTCTGGCTGCAAATTTAATCCAATCAGAGACCAGGCTGCTATCACGTGACATCCTGCTGCTGAGCCGGGCTGTTTCAAGTAGACAGAAAAGTCTCCAGGTGAGAAAATTTGATCAAATTTCCCCAAGTGTCCATCTTGAGCTCATCTCATCTCTCAAAATACAAAATTTAAGACCTGATCCTTTGAGTTCATGCTTTTCAAATATAGGTGATTATTTTTCTTTTCTGCTTCTGTGATTTCACAGAAGGGTTTGGGGCAGCAGAAACTATTTCATGCTCATCTGGAGGCTTTCGAAGAGCAGACACAGAATGTTCAGAATAAACTAAAGGCCAGCTCGAATGACACAGACTCAGTCAAGGTTTGTCCAGATTCTTTTGATTTATTCCACCGAGTTTACTGCATATGCAGATGTGCAAACTTCAAAGGGAGTCGAACAGTGCTGTGATGGACAGAAGTGAAGCCTGAGCTGTTATAGTTGAAATGTAACAAATTCTGATTGTAGATCCAGCACAAGTATGTAAGATCCTACCTTTACTATCTTGGATATTATTACAACAGTTCTTATAGAGTCAAAGTATACAAGCCTCTGCAGAGTCTTTATCTAACATCAACTCAAAAAGTGATTTCTCAAATATGAAACAGGTTCTCTCTGAGCTCAGTGACCTGTATTCGTCACTCGTCCACATCAGAGAGATGGCTGGCTGCATGACCCTCAACAACACAGAGACAGACAGGCTGAGCTCAGTCAGCAGGCAATGGGCTGAAACTATGACTCATGCCTCCAACAGGAACAGGTGAGAAAGTTCAGCCTGTTAACATAAAGCTGTAGTAAGTGATTTGATTGTTTTGAGCTGTTTTTGCTGTTTGAATTTGTTTATGATAAAAACAGATGTTAACAATATTCCTGAATCCAACAGTCTCTTATTTTGTTTTGACTTTTTAATCTTTGGGGTTGATCTATCTAAACAGCTGAAATCCAAACAGTGTGAGCTGTGACCCATGAAAGCAACATACACTTTGGTTTGTGGTTCTCAAAACTGAGCATGGTGCTAGTTCAGGCAGGCAACAAAGTCAAGCCAATCCTTTCACCAGCTCATATCAGCAGACAGCCCAGCTGATTACCTTTAATACATCCAACTGGAAGATGACAGAATGGGCTTTGTATCTAACCACTGTGGCCAGCATTGTTTGTATTTTTATCAGTAGCCATGTTTACATGTGCAAAATTTCTTGATCCGATTAAAAATTTGAGGGATCGGAAAATCTGAATCCACTGTTTATATGGGCGCACAATCAAATGATTCGATCATGACGTGTGTATACATGCACTAAGATTTATAGAAGCATTTGTACATGTGCAGAGTTGTCTTATATCGCTAAAACAACTGCAGAAGAAGAAGAGTTGTACTGACGCCTGTCTATAAACCATTAAACACGATAGTGGTTCACTTCATCCAATTCAGGATATTCCCCCTGTTAAATGTTGTCAATAGATGGCACCCTTGCTTATTTATTTTACTGTTATGTCAAAGGTTGCACTGTGCATGCAGATGTGACATCATTACCCTGTATGTACACTTTGTTATGTTCTCAGAGGAGCAGACACGGCACCTGCGGTTGTGTTTTATGCAATGTAATCTGCTGTACTGGCCTCAATAAATAAAGAGTGAAGATCGAGTAAGGTTAGAGAGTCACGATCGGAATAAGCATTTACATGGATGCGTTTCGGAATAATGATCGGCATAATTTACCCCTCTTAAATGGAATACAATTTCTTTCTGATTGAGCCAAATTGGATCAGAATCTTTCAATCGACATGTTTACATGACACATTTTAATTCCGATCGGGCATTTATTCTCATTATTTGTGCCCATATAAACGCAGCTATTGCCTGCTGTGCTGTATACTGCAGTCTTTGCTGCTGCTCCTCCCGCCTTACATTTCCATGAAAATAAACTGTGATCCTGCCTGAAGTAAAGAAGAGCTCTAATAGTGAAAGATGTTGTCATTGTGTTTCAGAGAGCTGCAGACTGAGCATCAGCGCTCTCTGAGTTTTCAGGAAAAGTTTGAGAGCCTGACGACTTTACAGAAGACGCTTGAGGAGGAGCTGATGTCCAAGAAACCTCACAGTTCCTCCAGCGTCCAAGAGATGGTCACTGCCCATCAGGTATTGGAAACTAATTTTGAAAGACACTGATGGGTGAAAACGACAATAATGTATCAGTGCATTTGGTCTTTATTTCATGATACTTCAAGGATTTAAATCTGAGTTTTCTGCAGCTTGGCAAACAGAAATCGCAAAACTTAAATAAATCCAACTTTTCCAGCTCTTCTTACTTGATTTTGTGTTCATTTCTGTGCTGATAACTCCTGCCAGTATATTACCAGACTACAAGCATGTAGACAAATATTTAGTAATCAGTGGATCCCGTCTCTAAAAGATCGGCCTCATCAGCACAATCACATGTTTAATATATCACTGTGATTGTAGCTGGACTTCAGGAGGCGTAGGTGCTATTTGTTCTGAGGAGTAAATGTGTTGTGAAGGAAAAAAGTTTGACGTCATTACTCTCCAAATGTTTTGACACAAAGTTTATGTTCAAAGATTTAAACTCTTATTCTCTCTCCCTGAAGAAGCTTGAAGCTGAGATGAATGTTGGACACCAGCTCCTGCAGGCTCTTCTCCGTCACACCGTCGAGTCTATGGAAAAAGAATCAGGAGAAAAAAGGTGAGTAATGGAAAAGTCCAGAGGGATTTCAGTCTGATGCTTTTCCAAAAATCCTTGAAATGTGTTTCTTTAATGAGCTTTCAGTTTGAGAGACCAGAATACTCCATCCAGCTCTGGAACCGCTACATCCTCTGAGCTTGGGTTTTCCTGTTTCTCCCATCTGTCTGAGTTTCTTTTCAAGCCTTGAATCAAGTTAATAAATTCACAAAGGATCAGAGCATTCCTGAGTTTTAGGGGTTTGCTCAGCTCAGCACACTCCCAGGTTTGATTCCTCTGTTTAATTTGCAAGAACCACAAAATAATCTTTCCAAATAAGCACTTAAATGTCACCCATAAATCTTAGTTATTAAATGTTTATCTGCAAATTAAAATGCTCAAAGGCTCAGAGGTAATAATTTATCTGCAGTTTTATCTCTGCACAGGTTGTGCTGGAGACATAGCATTCAGTGCGGTAACTTCCACAAAGTCTGAAGCTAAAGCTGTATTCACCTTCAGGTTTCATCCTGGTGCACTGCTGCCAACTGCTCACAGCTTTGTGTTGGAGTCAGAGGATTTAGATAAACATTCAAACACATTAAAAGAATAAAAGTAAGATAGTTTTTTGTCCTTCTTCCTTGACCTTTTTTTGACAAGATTCAAAATTTTCTCTCATCTGAAAAAGACAGACACTGTTATGAGCTAATCAGGACAGATTCCCTCAGGTTTAAAGCTTTTGTGATTTTAACCAACTTTTTATGGTTTGTTTCTTTGCTCCCACACTTTTTTACAAGTTGTGAAATCATCTCACTCATGTTGTGTATTTTGAGTCAGATTTTCCTCTTGTATGTCAGTGTTTGAGTTAAAATGTCAAGCCAAACAAATTGTTGTATGTGTTACCGACTGCTTGGTTCTCTAGTTATACCAACTTTAGTAACGACCGCACAATAGCAATACACAGCGGTCTACGTCTCCATATGCAAACTTCAACCAAAAAGCCACTCTATAGCCACAAATAATGCTCAGAACAGCACCTAACTTCATCAACAGTACATATAGGGTCCCAGCTATAGTACTAGCCATCAAACAACTTTTTAGCTTTGCCTGATTTCTTTAGCAAAGAGACCAAACACAACTCACTCACTTGTTTGTGGGGGAGCCCTGACGAGTAGATCACAGAGTGCAGCGGATCATTTCCTTGAAGTAGTAATCATCTTAATAATCATTTTGCACTGTAGATGCAGAAGTTCTTCTGCCTTAGCGTCTCGGTCTGATTGCATTTCCATTAAGTAATAATTATAAGTTTTCCACTGCACTCCATGAACTTTGTTTAAAATTGTCAAGTCTGAACGTGATCTGGTTCATTTTAATCAGTGTGAACTGAGCTTGGAGTTGGCTTCATGAACTTATACAACGCTGTTGGGCACAATCAACATGAAAGGAATTAACCTCACAGGCAGAAACAATGTTTGAGGAGTAAGTATTTAATGTGCATTTTGAGTTCGAAGTTAGACCCATGTTCCATCTGTTTACATGGAGAAGACAGGAAGCTCCAAATGTTTTGGCTTCAATCACAGGGAAGTGTCATGTCATGTCAAGTATAAAGGGGTTTCAATCTGTATCTTGACATGCATAAGGATTTGAAAATATTTAATCATGTGTTATGATCATTGTAAGGTAAAAAATGTGTTTCTTTTGAGCTCATTTCTTATATTTGGACCAAAACTATTTAGTTTTCAGCCTCAGTTATTGGATCAAGTCGATTTGTATTCGTCCTGTATTCTTCACAGATGCTGTCGCCTGATAAAGTCATACTCTCCACGTATTGGTACCTCTCTGAATATACAGATGTTTCCTGTCCTGGAACAGTCGGAAACTTCTTTTTTACTGCTCCTTTCACTCTCTGTGGAAAACTTGGATAGCTCTTAGAGAATTTGAAGGAAGATTTCTTTTCGAACCCCTGCTGGAGCTGCTACTACAAACTTTATGATGGTCTTAAAATCCTGCTGACTTTGAGACAGCCTGTGAATAAATTATAATGGACTTTTTGGTCATTTTCTCTTTCTGTTTTATTGTCTGTTATATTTTACAGCTTGGTATCTTTTATTTTTTTAAGAAAAATTTATTACAAATCTTTAAAGCCCATTGAGGCTGTTATAAACCTCAAATGCCCACAGAGATCACAAAAGCTTTTCTTTTGTCTTTGTATATTTTATCCTAGTGTGAGTAATTGTAAAGCAGTTCATAAACATACAGTGGTTTTTAAATAGTCACTATGTGATCAGCTGAGTTTTAAGTGTTTGACATGAGTATTAAGACCTGAATACTGAGCATCTTTAAATAGAAGGAATTTTCCCTCTGCATTATATCAGAGTTTAACATTTACTGTGGTGACTTAAGTCTTACACAGTGTATAAGACTGATCATTTGGCTTTATTAAGTCTGTGGTTGGTATGTGTGATCGCAACTAAGGTAGCTTAGCAAATACCAATGAGACCATGTAAACATACACGCCAGTAGATGTCTTTTAATCATGACTTTGCTGTATTTCCTTACAGATCTGAGCTCATCGATCAGGTGACCCATCTGAGGGAGACTTGGCTCAACACTGTGGCTCTGGCTGGTCAGCGCAGGTCCATGATTAAAGACAAAGTGGGCAAGTGGAGAGTCTGCAACCATGGTTTGAGACTTCTGCAGAGACTGTTGAGGGACATTGACCCCTTGCTGCCCCCCGCTGGACTATCTCTGTGCACACTACATCAGCTACAGAGCTATGCAGATGACATACAGGTTAGTCTGCTGCTTCTCCTATGACTATTCAGCTATATTGCAAAGGTAGAAATGCAAAGTCTTGAACTGAATTGAATGAAATGTTAACCTGAATCACTCTTATTTTCAAGTGTGTTGAAAAGGCTCTGGGCTCGCACTCTATCGTATACACACAGACGATGGAGGCTTGGAAACATTTATGTGACACCATAACAGAATCAGAGAGTCAGAGTGGACTGCGGTCAGAGCTGCAAGCTGTGCAGGAGGCCTGGGAGCGAACCACCTCACTGCTAGAGGAGAGAAGAGACCTGGTCAACACAACAGTGCAGGTACAGATTCCTAAGTCTTTGTCTTCATAAATTAGGGTGATTTTTTACTCACTGCATGGCCATAAAAAGCCCATCCAGCTGTGAATGGGGTTCAACAGTCCACAAACTGCATGTTTTTCAAATAAATTTGTGCCTGTTGAAGACTGACAAAATCCAAAAGATCATGTGCATGTGTGAGAGTACTAATGAGAGCAGGGGGGTCAGCTTTGTCCACCATATCCCATATCCAGGACCTTCTCAACGATACCATATCAAACTTTTAACCTTTTATACAGCAATTTTTTTAAAGAATAACTTTTGAAATTTACAAGCTACATTCTATCAGGATTCAAGATCAATTACAACTCACAAAATCTGCATTTGATAGTATCGAATGCATCTTTTAAGTGACAGAGTCTGACACTGTGTTAAAGCAGAACGGAAAATAACAGTATCATCTGCATACAAATGAAAATTTGCACTGGATACATTTTGGGCAGTTCTACTGATATCAGTGTAAACAACAGAGGCCCCAAAACAGAGCCCTGGGACACGCCAGTTATTATTTCAAGAGATCTAGAGGTGATGCCAGCTGCATGAACTTATTGTGTTTCAAACCTGCAGACAGAGTGTGTATATATGTGAGTGTCTGTGGCCTTAAATCATTATTATTATTGGAGTATTTTATCTTACTTATTTATTGTTTGCTGTAATTAGTTATTCGTTTGAATGTTTATTAAACTTAATTGTTAAATCATGGCTTTCTGTATCTACACTTTGTAACTTGTTATTGAAAGTTCTATTTCAAAACTATAAAAACTTCAAAAAACTCTAAGGAGTCTTTTTCATAACTGCATGGTCCACTGTATTAAAAGCTGTTGATAATTCACTAAAAAGTGCTGTACAGTGATTTTCATTGTCTAACGCTCGATAAAAGTCTGTCATTCTATAAAGAAATAAAATGTGAGATAAAGGTGCAGCAATAAAATCAGCATCTAGTTTTAGGAAACATGGTTCCAAATTAGACAGTGTGGGGGCTTTGTGCTTCTCAGAGACGGTTACTGACCCCAAAATAAATCACAAACACTTAGATGCTGTGCAGAAATAATTGAGGATTATGTGCTTCATTGTAATTCAATTCTCTTGACAAATGGTGGAAACTGCAGTTTTCACTCCATGAGTCAGTCACCAGACTTATTTTTGCTTTACTTCCCCAGAGTGTGCTTTGAAATGAGTTTTTGGTGTGCTGCTCCTGTGCCTGGAGTTTACTGCAGGAGAGTTTGGGTCTGAGAGAGGTGGTCTCCTTGAATGTTGTTTAAGTAGAGTGAAGCTGTTAAAGAGAGATGCATCGAGCTGTAGACGCTTTGACTGAGATGTAAACCAGGATTTGTCGATTTCAGAATAATGTGATGTGTGTCTACAACTTTATTTGGACATGCTGCTGCTGACCCTGCCAGGAAAATCTTGTAAAAGGGATTCTTAATCTCAGTACGGCTTTCCTGTAAATAAAATAAGATATATTATGTATAACTCTCCACGAATAAAGCAAAATGAGAACTCTTATTGTTCAAACAGACAAAATGTGCACCGTGTACAAGATTAGACATCTCAGAGCTTTTTCATGACCCTCATCCTAGCAGGAATGTCATATAAGGACAGATTTCTCAGTGATTAGACATAGCTACTATTAATAACAGTTGGGTTACAGTATCTGTATGTCTTTACACAGGCCCAGAAAGGTCAGGGAAAGTTGTGTTAACCCCTTTAAGCTGAACAGGATCCACCCAGTGGAGGGAAATCCCTCTGAGCTCCATGTCAAAGATCACACAGAGAGAGTAGCATTACTACACAGAATAGAGCTGACAGCAAGACGACGACACCATCATCTAACAGTAAATAAGACTAGGTTTTACTCTGTATGTACACTAGGTTGTTGTTCCTGTGGTTCTGTTTCACTTAAATCTGGTTTTCTAAGCTTTCAGCCAGACTCAATCCTGAGATACTCCTCTATGAATGATTTAGTGTCACAAAACATTCTCCCAGAGTCTGAAAGATTAATGTTTCTGGGAATTTTTAAAAAGGAAAAACAGAGATTGTATTGCACAAGCTTGCTCTCTACATGGCATACAAACATTTTTAAAATCAAGAAACAGTTTCTTTTGTCTTTGTTTTCAGGCACAAAAGCCAGTCATTTTTATCGCCCAGATATTACAAAGAGATAAAATGTGGTAGCAGGAGCCAATGGTCTCTGTTTTATTTCATAAGATTCATTGATTTTAATTACCCTAAATGTACTGCAGAGGTTTTTATAGCAGCTCAGGTCTTTGTAGTTACTGTTGTGTCTCTAATGTTTGTCAGACTCACCCCCGTGACCCTGTTTATGTGTTTTCTGTAATTTATTTAGAAGTGGTCTCAGTGCCAGGAAGGGATAACAGGCATCATTGCTGATCTGAACACAATGAAAAACAGGATCCAGCAGCCCAGAAGACCACAAGACTATGAGGAGGAGAAACAAATTCAGGTGATTATGCTACTATAGCTCCACAGTGTTTTATTTCTAAACAAATCCCTGGAAAAGAAATAAAATTAAAACACGAAGAAGACTGAGGTCTGCCAAGCGAAAGTGTCCGTAGTGCAGATACCCTTTAGGAGAAGTGGCCCAATTTTTTTTTTTTTTTTTTTTTTTTTTTTTTTTTTTGTTCTACTCTAGCCCACGACAGTCTCAGAAATAAAAAAAACGCATTTTTAAAAAGTGAGTAACTTTCAGTTTGTGCCAACTTTGGTGCCCCCTGTGAACAAAGCAGTCTCTGCTTATCTTGTCCTCTACATGCGTAAGAAGTGGCTTTTGGAAAAACAATTGTATTGTCCTGACTTTTAACAGTTTAATGTGTCATTTATCATAAATATTTATCTGAAAATGGTAGAAACAGAGCTGTTTTTTCAGCTGCTCTTCATCTACCCTCTCACACCAGTTTCAGGCATAAAAAAGGCAAGATACAAGCTGCCAGTCTTGTTGCTGATTGTCATGTTTGCTTTTTGATGTCATAAAAACCCACCAATATCAATTTCAGTCTAATTCATAAATGTCAAAAACTTATCACAGGAGCTTTAAAATATGATTTTTCTTTTACCACTAAAATATATATATATATATTTTTTTTGTAATTTAAAGTTCTTGTGAAAAGTTTGTTTTTATATTAGTGAAATGGACTGAAATGCATATAAATGCCTTTAGATGATATCCAAAAGCACACAAGACCATCAGCAACAAGACTTGCAAATGTTCAAATTAAATGATACATTTGACTGGTAAAGGCAATGGAATTCATTTTTGGTCAAAAGATATCATATATAAGCATGTACAGGAAGCAGAGACTGATCAGTGTTGCCAACTTAGCAACTTTGTCGCTAGATTTAGTGACTTTTCAGACCCCCCTAGCAAGCAAAAAATGTGCAAATTAGGGGATGACTTCATCTAGCAACTTCTATGACAGCCACTAGCAACTTTCCTTTGTGAGGAATTGACAACACTCAGAGTGATTTGTCCACAGGGGTTGCAAAAATGGACACAAACTAAAAGTTCTTTTAACGTAAGATAAAATGATGTCTTTTTCTGGAAGGAAATCAAGCCCCAGAATCTTATTTTCTTACTTTCCGTCGTGTTTCAGGATATTCTTTTCCAAATTTCATACTTGTAAACTTGTACACCAAGTCTACGCCAGGCTGGAGGACTAGAACCTTTTTACATGTGGTACACACTTGTGGCCAGCAGCACCACAACAACATGATGATCCTCAAAAAGCTCCTCTTAGGAGTTTTACCAGACTGTGAATCAGACTGAGGTGAATTTGGATCCTGTTGAGACTTTGTGTTACTCCTGCCCCTTATTGAGTATACACACCAGGTCAAGCGAGAATCTCCTCAATGTACAAAAGCCGGTATAAATTTTAAAAGTTGCTTAAAGTGAAATGACTTCTGGAGCTTGATTCAGCAGAAAAACAGAGGATGCCTCATGTTTATTATCATGACCTGTTTTCATTGTAGACTGCATGGTTGAATCTGCAGAAGAGAAATGCAAAATAATGGATTTGTTACAGTCATCACTCTGAACATGAGTTCGTATATATGGCAATCAGCAGCATGAAACTACAGCAAGAAAGCCAAACTCTGGTCTCTGTGCTGACCAGAGTTCCCCACCCCATCACTTCATCAAAGGTCGACCCCCATCCACTAGCACCAGCACCAGAGCCCCTCCGTGTTTACCCCCCTTTCTCTTGTTTAATACCCCCATGCTTTCACTCCCCTCCCCCCTTTCCCCCCTCTACCCTCCCCCTGTCCTGTCCCCAGCCCTTTAATCGGGACGGTCAGAGCGAGAAAGAGTCACAGAAGCGAGTTCCTGCAGCTCGTACATGGCTGTCTGACCGCATGTTCAAGTCTCTGTGTATGTGTGTGTGTTTGGTGTGTGTGTGTGTGTTATGCAGGAAGCAGAGCTCTCTCTGCAGCGTTTGTCCGGCGGGTTGCGGGATTTGTCCACCATGAAGACGGACCTGTCCCAGTACGTGGCGGCTTGTGACTCGGCTCTGCTGGAGCAGCAGCTGGAGCAACTCCACAGTCAATGGGAAGAGCTGTGCACGAAGGTAAGAGCTGGAGAAATACTTACAAAAACAAAAAAAGGAGGCTAGAAAACTTTAATGGAAGCAGAGAAAGTGAGGTTGAAGGAGGTGCAGGTGCAGAGGAGGGATATTTAGGGGGAGGAAAGGAGAGAGGGAGGGAGGGAGAAGGAGGGAAAAGTTGCTGCAGTGGAGTCTTGGCGGTGACCAGCAGCACAAAGCCTCTGCACCACTTGGGCTGAGCACACACACACACACACACACACACACACACACACACACACACACACACACACACACACACACACACACACACACACACACACAATGCAGAGGCACAAATACACACTCATTTGTTTGAGAAAAGAGCACAATGTGCTGATGCATTAAAGGGAAATTACAACATTTTTACCATTCGATTGATACATAAGCAGCCTGCATCTAAATAGCTGACTTTGTGTATGTGTTTTTCTGCAAAATGAGCAAAAACTGATGCGTTCTGGGGATTTTTGGTTCATGCTGCATGGACTGTGCCTGGATGATTTTTTTCTGGCTTAAACCTCTAAAAAACAGTGGATGGCTTCTGTAGTTGCTCAGATCTTTTGAAACCACTTGACAACTTGGAATGAGTTCCTCCTGACTCTGACTCAGACTCAGTGAAACTCTCAGTCTGAAGCAGCCTGCTAATTCTTTCACCTCATGAATGCTAAAAGCAGTTCCACTGTACAGGGACAGGCTCAGATTTCTACTGTTAAGTCTCCTGGCTTTAACACAAATGCACTTTTGTTCAGGAGGATAAACAGTTATGACATGCTTTGGATGTTTTTGTCAGTCATTGGAGTTATGAGATAATTTGCACCCATGCTAATTGGGTCCCCTGTTGCAGTGTTTGCCCCCACCTGCTACAAAGAGTCACATGTGCAGCATCAGCAGCTGCTGTAGCCAGTCTTCAGGTTTTCTGTCAGTTGAGTTGCTTATCAAACTGCTTTATTTCTCATGTGTTTGTCCTGAAACAAACCTGAAACATGAAGCGTATTATTTCTTTGAATCCGGAGGATTTCCTCAAGGAAATGGAAGAATAAAACAAATCAAAACCTCCATGAATCCTCCTTATTTTCAGCTGTTTCTGGTTATAAAGTTCATCTTACACAGCAAAAAAAAAATCTTTGGTTTGGTAGTTTGAGAAAGAGCAGACTTTTTTCAGCTGTTGAATGGCATCAGACCCTCTGTCCCCATCATTAATTCCTGACGTGGCCGCAGGGCGGTTTTGCTCTGCGTAGCTAACAGGTTGTAGGTGGGGGGAAGCCACTGGAATGGGTCCGATGAGCAGATGGCCTGGCTGGGCTAAAGGGGTTCAGGGGACAGTCGCTATTGTTCCTGGAGGGAGCACAAAGTCCTCTCAGGGTGACAGCAGCTCACAAAGAACCCCTAAATTCTGCAGAGTTCAACAGAGACTGAGCAGTGTTAGTACATTAAAACCAAAGCAAGACTCATTTACATCAAATAAATGCCAGTGAGTGCTAAAATATAGCCGCCCGAGGGGTTCGCTAAGCCCTCTAACCTCAAAAAGATCATCAGGCGACCCCCCCTCCTTGACAGGCATGTAATAGGGTGTTTTCATGGCATTAAGCTGTCATTAGGAAAATGGACCTTGTTAATTTGATCAAACTGCCTCCTGGGGGATTTCTCTCATTCCAGTTTATTGCTGAGCTTGCTGCAGATTGAATGTGTAATGAAAGTAAAGACTTCATATTCAGGCCATTCTTCTGCTTTTCATCCTCTTATCTGTTTTTCCTCTGTGCATCACAGATTTAACTTTTCTTCAGTGTCGTCCCGGCTATTTCTTCTATGCTGAAAATTTAAATCCACTAAGTGCTCTCTGGTGCTGTAGAATTGGGTCACAGTTGCCTGGATGCATACCAGGGCGTATTATTGTAATAATAAAGCCTTATACAGTCTGGACAGGCATTTGCAGCACATGTGAAACAGGGGGGAACTTTTTCCTGGTTGTTGTCTGTAATAAATTTGTCAAAAAGGATTAATAATTTGATTATGAACATGATCAGTTTCATGTGACTCAAACCTATTTTTTACCTCTTTTTAACATGTAAAAAAAAGGCCTAACTTACTCTGACTCTCTTCCAGGTGTCCTTACGCCGTCAGGAAATCGCAGACCGCCTCAATGCCTGGACCATCTTCAACGACAAGAACAAAGAGTTCTGCGATTGGCTGACTCAGATGGAGAACAAGGTGTGCCACAGTGGAGAGCTGAGTATTGAAGAAATGGTGGAGAAGCTGAAAAAGGTATGAAAATCAATCTCAGATTAAAATCTTCTTCGTAAATTATAGAGTGAAAAACTATTTCTGTGACAAACTGCAAAACAGGATTTCCAGTATTTGAAGTGGATCATAGTTTCCACCGCAGGTCTCTGTATGCAGGCTGATATTGAAACATCGTCTTGATACATACATACTGGATTATGTTGTTTATAACAGATGGTGGCCTGGAATGGAAAGGGTGCATGCCCTTTGTTCTTACACAACAGTTGTCCTTTCAGAGCATGAAAGCCTTTTGTACCTTCCTGTCCCATCATAGCGAGCATGCTTGCTTCATCAACCAAATAATAATTGGTCTGAATGTTGCAGAATGAGCGTTTTGGGCTCTTAGAGGAGAAGAGAAAACTAGAGACAATTGATGATCTGTGTTTGTCATGTGCATGACGGTACTCTCTGGTGATGCTGGGCTGCTTCAGGCCAAGAAAACAGGTTTCAGACAGGTTAATAAATGGGACACTGAAAGTCAAGACAGTTTGAAAGTTGAAACCACTGACATCTGCATTGTCTCTAATTTGCTCGCTGTTAAACCGTAGCTGAAAAAAAATGCTCTGTGGACAATGAGACAGATGAAGGTGATTAAAGTCACTAAACAGGAAAGACAGTCTGACCTGACAGTACAGGAAAATGAGGATTTGAAGTGTTATTGTCATTGTTAAACTGGTTAATTAATTTCATCTTGTAAAATATAAGAAAATAGAAGTTGGAAATGTAAAAAACAAGTTTCTGAGCAGTTTCTGAGTGAAACAAAGAAAGAAGAGCAGGGTGCCGGTTTGGCCTCATGCACAGAGGCTAGAGTTCTCTTTGCAATGGTCCAAGGCTGAACCTCTGGCCTACATAACCCTAAACCTCTTCAATGACTATGATTCCTCCTTGTCATCACTTTTAAGCACTTTTTATCAACACTTTTTGTTAAACTCTGAAATGATGATGATGATTAGGGTTGCTTTTGATCAGCTGTTGTTTTTTTGCCACCACAAAGCCCCACATTACTGCGTATTGTGTATTTTTGACAAGAAGCAAGAAGACACTGCGGTGGCTTAAATACGGCATGCCAAAAGGGACAAAATAGCACAGGATTAATGATGACACTCCAAAAATCTAATCAGACTCTTCCCTATCACATTGTCACAGGACTGCATGGAGGAAATTAACCTCTTCAGTGAGAATAAAAGCCACCTGAAGCAGCTAGGTGAGCAGCTGCTGCTAGCCAGCGACGAGGCCAAGCAGTCACAGGTCCTCGGATCGCTGCAGGAGGTGAACCAGCGCTGGCACCACCTCTTCCACCACATCGAAGCCAGGTGAGAATCGCCACCGCTGTAACAGAAGCTGTAGACTTGGAGTTAAAGCATTTATGTGTCAGTTAAGTGCTTTACAGAGGACCAAAAAGACGAAGCAAAGAGTATCAAATTGAGTTTTGTTGTGCCAACAATAGTAAATAGAAAAAAAAAGTGCAGGTTCATTTTAGAACAAACTGAGTGTGTGATTTTTCAGTCCAGCTGTGATTTGCACTCTTAATTTCAGCTCATAATTAGCCTTTCACATTAGAAAGCATCATTATGAACTAAAAGGCTTTAACTGGGCGCCTGTAATTATACAACAGAGCTCAAATGAGAACCCATCCACCTGCTGTTGTGTAAGCCATGCTCTGCAGCTGTCAGGAATACATGCCGTCTAATGTACAGGCTGTAGGTTAAGCCACTGTGATTGTGAACTGTTACTGCCCCCTGTCCCCCCCCTCAGACAGATGGACAGTCCTGAGAGGAGAAGAAGATCCAGACTTCACTTGATGTGCTTAAGTCTCAGACAGTACCATATGCCCTCATGTCAACCATGACCTCACACCCCCTTTTTTTTTTTACCCTGTCACATTGTAGTGTGACATGAAGGAGTGAAGGGGGAGGGTCTGTCGGCATGTATTAGTCACTGGTTCTTAAAGTGAGGCCCTCTCAGATATTACATAAGCCCCATAAGTATACAGCACAGCTCTTCTATTCTCAACAATATGGATGCAGATTGATGGATTAGTCGGTAGTAAAGAGAGTTTGCTGTGATTTGCAGTGTGCAAAGATTTCATTTGACCAAAGCAGGGCATGAAAAACTTCAAAACACACTCAGTTAGACTTAAACATGCAGTGGAATGAAGTTCTGGTTGAGTCAAGCCATTAAAACTGGCATTTTTGAAATTATTCGCTTTTTAGTTTAGTCTGGTTTGAGTCAATTTCTTTTTCTCCTGCAAAGCTTGTTAAAAAGTCTGATTTTTTTCCATTTCTTTAAGAGTATCATTCACCTAACTATCCTTAGCAAAAAGTAGTATACTTAAAAGTTATTTTTTTTCATGCTTGAGTATAAGTATATCGAGTATACTACTGACCATTCACTTCAGTGTTTTAGTTTAGAAAAGTATACTTGAAAGAAAACTTTTTGGTATACTATTAGATTACCAGTAAAAAAAGCCCTATGGAGCTAACAACTATCCTCACCTTTTGACCCATTAAATTAACAAAACACCTTCAAATGTTTAACAAGTGATTTATTGTGACCAAATAATAGGCCTGTCACGATAACAAATTTTGCTGGACGATAATTGTGCTACAAATTATCGCCGATAAACGATATTATTGACACCATTTTTTAAATTATAGATAATGATATTATATGGCATAATAATGCGAGTACACCATGTCAAAAGTGATAAACTTTAATTTCCACACGAGAACAACACTGGTTGTTTTCGTTGACTAAAATATTTCCCTTTTCTCCCACGACGAAGACGTAACGTTGACGAGCTAAACATAAGTCGGAGATGACTAAAATGTGACGAGACGAAAGTGCGTTTATGTTGATGGGACGAGACGAAAATGACGAACAGAGTTGCAAAGCTCAGTCAGTTAAACGCTAAACATATAGGAGCAGCTTCAGTCCGCTCTGACAGCTCTCATCAGCCTGCTGTGCTCCTCCAACACACAGACTCACACGCGCGCGCGCGCGTACACACACGTGGAGTTTTATGGTTGACGAAAACAAAACTGGTTTAAAGCCGAAATATTCCCACCCTTGGACTGTTGCGTTCGGTTTAGACACCAAAGCTGTCGTGTTCATTCTGCTAGCTTGCTTTTCACTCACGACGCTCACTTGTAGCACTGTATCCAAAAAGTCTGTGTCTGTGTGCCTGTGCGCGCCAGCCCCCTCGTGACAAAGACACTGAATGACTGACAGGAGGGTTCACTAACTCCGTTCATTCCGCTATAGAGCCAACGCCCCCAGGTGCCGAGAACAATGCGCAGAGTGAGACCTCTTCTCTCATCCAGCGTGTTTGGTAGCGAGAGAGGAGGAAAACAAACGCACGTCAATTATCGAGGCTGGCAAAGTTATCGACCTCGTTTTTATTTATCGAGCGATAAGGCGATTTATTGATTATCGCGACAGGCCTACCAAATAACAAAATTACAAACTAAGCACAAAAGAACCCACAACACAACATGAGAGGCAGCAGGGCAGCAGTTCCCCCACCAATTGCCTCTCCAGACTGCAGGCAGCTTTCGGTCTTAAAGGCCCAGTACCAGGTGAGTCTGATTGTCACTCAGTGACTTCACCTGGGCAGCTATGGGGAGACAAAAGGGGGAAAACACCCCCACCCTTAAGACAATGAATAACTAAATGGGTGTTACTTACCAAGGCTGCACAAGCTTAAAAAAAAAATAAAAAAAAATAAAAAAAAACCCTATTCACCAAAACTGAAGACAACCACTGCTGACAAAAAGGTGCAAAATGGGTCGTGAGGAACACAAAACCTTATTCAAGCTTTAGGGCCATAGAAGATGCTGTACTCAAATTTAAGAGCATCCATCCCAAAAGTAGCCAATTAAGTGGGTGCCACTCCTACAAAGCAAAATGGCTACTACCATGAGGTTACCACAAACAAAGAGCAAAACACTAAATTTGCCAATACCACACACAGTAACAGATGTCCAACACTAAAGTGGAGTGAACAGTCACACACACAAACGGATCAACAAAAGTAGTAGAACTACAACAGTGCTGTCATTCACAAACAGCACTCAGAGATCCAACAAAAGGTGACTGCCACCACCACAACACAAATGGACACAAGTCTTCAAAAGACACACAAGTTACTGTGATAAGGCTGGCAACAAGCCAAACGAACGGAACATACAAATAGGTATACGAAGCAGTAACACACAAGTGACCCACCAAATGTGGACTGCAAACCACTACACAAAATGGTCACATAGCAGTCACCACTACACAACTGTTGCCACCTTACACCTACAGTAAGATGCAACTCACACGTGACCCACCAAATGTGGAGAGCAGGTACCACCAACAAACGGTCACACAACACAAGTTACTGCACACACAAAATCCTAATTGTAATCACACAGAGTGACCAAGCAAAAATGCGTGGCCTTATGAAACACAGACAAAAACAGTCAAGTAGTATGAAACAATTTGAAGAGCCAAATGAGTCACCCCAACCCCTACCTGCTTGACAAGATGTCTGACTTACCTAACTAGTCTTCAGTGGCCTGCCGAGCTCGAGGCATCACTTAAGTGAGCCCCCTCCTCAGGATTACCACCAAAAATAAAAAAGGCAAAATAAAAAAGTGGCAAGCTCTTCCCTGCCCGGCGACTAAATAATCAGGGTGCTCAGAAGTTACAAATAAAAGCAACTACTAATGATCGTGACAGAAACAGAAAACTAAAAAACCCAAACTATGGTCACTAGTTACGAGAGGAAAAAAAACAACTTTAAAGAACCTCATGGATGTTCAATCCCGGACGAGCCCCCATTTGTTACTCCCCACCCGAATGCGGCCCTATGGGGCTAACAACTATCCTCATCTTTTAACCCATTGAGTTAACAAACACCTTCAAATGTTTAACAAGTGAAAACAAAAACATAAAACAAAACCATATCTGTAGTCTGTGAATCATTCACCCACACCTCGGGCTCCTTAAGAATCTGATTCTTCTGATGCAAATATACACAGCCCAAAAGTAGTATTAAAGTAGTGTTACACATACTCTTAAAAAAATATATGGAAGTATTCACTGACCAAGTATACTTAAACCTAAGGCACACATACATGCATGAGTATAACTTGAACAAAAGTTTATGTATAAGTATAGGTTAAATATATTTAGACTTGTAGTATAATTCTCAGTACAAGCCAAGTATACTTAACATTTACTTAGTTAAGTATATCTCTGAAAAGTGCATAGAAACTAAACTGAAATCATACTTAGTTTAAAAACAGTATACTTAAAGCACACTTCAATATACTTCTTTTTGGTAAGGGTAGCACCCCTTTTTTTCACTGTTTTACAAAGGAGGAGGGAAACCTGTGGGTGTGTATCTATTGTTCTTATAGATGAAACAGCTGTCTGATATTTGGAAAATGTAATGGCTAATAGAAAAACATCTAAATCTAACTTGATGACATAGGAATCGTCTGTTCAAGTCACAACAATGAGCTGAAACTGGCTTAAAAGCGCAACTTAGCTGAAGAGCTGATTCCCAACTCAAAATTAGAGTTTCTTGCTGTGTTTACATGTGCATGTGTATCCTGCCTACAAGCACCATGATTCAGAAATTTGATGAATCATGTGTAATCAAAGAAAGGACCATCTCACATTTAAGCTTGTTTGATTGAAAAATAAATTTCTCCAAATGAAATTAATGCAACAGAAAAACTAATTTATTAATTGACATGATTAAGAGCAAAGTTATGTAAAATAACACTTTGTGTGGAGCTGCTTTTGCCCCATGGTTAGATCAGCTTTGGTTCGATTCTAACTTTCAGCACTTTACTAGATGTCATTGCCCCCTCTTTCTTCCCATTTTCCCACCCTATCCACTGTCACAAAAGTCACAGTCAACTTGAATAGATTAATTAATCGATTAATCAGATTTTGTCCAGCACGATTGTGGGTCCATGTGTAATAGTGTATTTGCAACCAGAAATGACAAATTCACACAGTGCTGTCTATGTAAAGCTGTGGTTTTCAAGCAAACACCTGTTGGACAAGAAAGTTGGCATGGGAGGCCACTTCATAGATTGAAATGCAGGACAAACTCTGGTTGGGGGATATCTTGAGTGACTGCTTTAATGTTTGCAAGTGCACACTAATGTGCACGTAGCAGCCCTGAAAGTCAAAGCCGGATTATTCATGTTCAAGTCAAACGGTGAACTAAAGGAGCTCATGTACAGTAAAGGGAGCAGCGTGCTTACAGCTCCAAAAAGTACATGTCAGTTTGGTTTAGTGTCCCTCCTGCTGACAGACTTATATAGTCAACTTGCTCCTCCAACCGTATATCCCAACTTATCCTACAGCTCTTTTCTGCTCTGTTTTCCCCATCCATTCCCCTCCTGTCCTGTCCCTCATCAAGGACCCCTGACCGTGTTTTGTGTCTTTGTTGGGCCTCCACATGAAGCTGCTGGTCTTTGTTTGGCTGTCAGAGGTGGAGGGGGTGTGAAAGAGAGGGACAGACAATTTAGGGGACAGGGATGGTAGTATCTACAGAGGGGGAGAGCATTTTCTGGACAGGATTTACAGTGACTTCATTATGTCTTCATCACACGGCCGTAAACTTGAAGCCAAATTAACCACGCACAGAAGTGCTCCTGACAGCACACTGTACATTATCCTGGAGCTCTATAGGGTCTGCAGAGAACTGAATCTTCTTTCTAGTCACATTCATCCAACACCTGTGTTTTTGTACAAACGCCAACAACATACAGACTTTTTGAAGTTATCTGCAGCACATCTAAACCAACTTTTTAAAGTTTGAAACACGATCTAAAAGGACAAGTATTCAGGGCTATGACTCTATTCTTCTATTCTGATCTTGTTAAACAAAGTCTCTTAACAGGCTCTCTTATATGCACACACTCTTCTCATCTATAGCCGTCCAACGTCCGGCATCTGTTGAGACCCTTTCATGCTTTCTTCAGCCGGCCACTTACACTCACAGCTGTTTGTAGTGCTTATTCTCTTGGCAGAGTGTGTCTCTCCCTCTCAGGCCCCGACAGGCTCTGCCGGACCTCAACAGTAGAGGAAGGATCAAATGTGGAAATCAACTCAGACTCCCCAATGGGGCACACTTCAGGCTTTTAGGCCTCTGAAGAGAGCTTTTATTGTCCTGTGGGTTGCTATGACACCAGTCAGTGTGGTGCTGTGTGTGTGTGTGTGTGTGTGTGTGTGTGTGTGTGTGTGTGTGTGTGTGTGTGTGTGTGTGTGTGTGTGTGTGTGTGTGTGTTGGGGTCCACAATGGGGTTAGTTACCATGGTGAGCTTGAAAGTTTTACACAAAGACACCTGAAAGTTTTGTAGGTTTCTTTCCAGTTATCACAAGTATGTTTAAATGAGTGTTTGATCACCTGAGTCTCACATTTCTTTTGGTTTTTGCCTTTTATAACTGTACACTGAGGCCATCTATGCTACTACGGTAGCGACGAATGGACTAGTAAAGTATGTGTTTTTGTATTTCACTAGAGTAGCACAAAAGCAACACAAAAACAGAGAGAGCATAACAATGATAGTAAAGACATGACAAATGAAGGATCAAACTTATCATGCATCACATGAGCTTTTTGTCCTTAAAGGCCACCATCGCTTCAGCAGGAGGAGTGAGCAAGGGAGCATCTACACATTTTACCTTAAAACTGTGTGTGAGGGGTGGGTTGTGACCATAGACTGTGTGTAGAATGGACAGCATCTGCTTCCTTGCTGGGTGAAGCCACTCCGAGAACAGCACCCTCTGTTGACGGGCTGCAGTATAGGTCATAAATCCCCCCTCCTCCACAAAGCTTATGGAGCTGTGGACAAACTTTAGAAATTTATTTCACAGAATATAAATTTTTCTCCCCCCTGGTTGTGATGTTGACATGTAGTTATTGTAAGACTGGTTTGTGTTCAAGTCCTCTTTTTTCTGTGAAGCTCCGTTTTTAAAAGTTATTAGGGGGTTCATGTTTTCTATGATTGACACCTGATACAGCCTATGGGCATACGAAGATTGTGTAGCTCACTCAGAGGATGGGCTGTTTGAGCCAAGCGTCATCAGAGCAACTCTCCCACCGAATGCGTACAACGCTACTGCACAAGCAGTGGTTCCAAGAAGTAGAGAAAATCCCGGAAATACCAAGAGCAATTTGGCTTTAAATTTGTATAATGACAGAAGGTGGAGCCAAGTTGTCCATAGTATATACAGTCTATGGTTGTGACATTGACATTGGATTAAACAGTTACTTAAGTAGTGTGTGTGTCTATGTGTGTGTGTGTCTGTGTGTCTGTTTCTGCTCAGGGTGAAAAAACTGAAGGACACTTTGGTGACGGTGCAGCAGCTTGATAAGAACATGAGTAACCTCCGCTCATGGCTTTCTCGCATTGAGGCAGAGTTATCCCGACCAATCACCTACAGTGTGTGTCACCACCAGGAGATTCAGAAGAGGCTGGCTGAACAGCAGGTGAACAGAAACTTCAGAATATTTTGTTTTGTTTTCTTATTTTTTTTCTTATTTTCTATATTTTGTTTTATTCTATTTTGCTTTCTTTATTGAAAATGTGTTTCTCATCTCACTCTTTGTTTTTCTGCTCGACTGTCACTCCCTCTCACTCTTTGTCTCTCCTTATGATTAATAATTCATATCTGTCCTTTGTTTAATTTTGGGAGAGGCCTCTCCCTGTCTGTGCACTGATGTTTGACAAATGCTTTAACTGTGATGCACCGGCACCATGTCTGTCCGTGTGTCCGTCCAGGAGCTGCAGAGGGACATCGAGCAGCACACAGAGGGTGTTGCATCGGTGCTCAGTCTGTGCGACGTTCTGCTGCGGGATGAGGATGCTGGGGGTGGCACAGAGGCAGAGAGCGACTCCTTGCATGAGACCAGCCGCAGCCTGGACCAGCGCTGGAGGACCATCTGTGCCCTGGCTCTGGACAGGAGACTCAAGTAAGACTCACACTTGTCCTGAAGACCATCTGCACAGCTTTCATGTCATTTAAAGGAAGCAGAACAGAGCATATCCAAATCCAGTACACGTGATGTAGTTAACCCTCGGTTCCTACCATGTCCATTTTGGGGACAAAATGAAGAGGAACCAAGGGTTGACCAATGACTTTGACAATCAAACAGCAAAGATCTCTGAAGGTGGTTCAGTCCACAGCTGGACAGATTCTCACAGTCAGAGTAAGTTCAGTGACTCTTGTCGTAGTCTTTGTGGTGTTAAGGTTCATTGTCCCTCTCTGACTCTGCTAATCCAGCACACACAATGCCCCAGGAACCTTATTTGTCAATGAAGCTGTCAACCACCTTGTTATATGCCTTCTTGTAGCCTCACAAAACTGTATTTTAGATCCAAGTACTTCTCAAGCCTTCATTAGTGTCACAGAATAACCAATAATAACCTGCCTGCAGACTCTTAACTCCAGTCTGGTGTCTCTGTAGGATCGAGGAGACATGGGGGCTCTGGTGTAAGTTCTTAGATGACTATTCACGCTTTGAGGATTGGCTCAAGATGGCCGAATGCACCGCTGCCAACCCCAACTCAGCAGACGTCCTTTATACCGTCGCCAAGGAGGAGCTGAAGAAGTTTGAGGTCAGTCCTGAGGTGGGGGGTTGATATAGGCATGAGTGGTTGTGTTTTTTTTTTTTGTTCCTGTAATTGTGCAGCATTACGCCTGGTTCACACTGGAAGCGCCGCGCGCGGAACGGAAGCGCCGCGCACAGAGTTTCGGATCGGCGCCCATGTTAACCTATGAGACTGTTCACACAGCACGCGCGCGGAAGCGCCGCGCGCGGAACGGCTCGCGCTCTGGAGCGCGGGTGCTCCGCTCCTCTCTATTTTCGGCGCGAGCCGCGAGCGCCGATGTAAAGCTCAACAGAGCAGATCGGACCAGACAGGAAGTCAGGAAGGAGATGCGAGAGAATCCGGTCAATTTTCAAAATAAAGTAAATTTCAATAAATTAGAAAAGGATTTACGGTGTTGCTTGTCAGTCTATTTTTTTTTACCGATGAACACACACACACACACACACACACACACACACACACACACGGAGGGAGAGCTGCAGAGATTCAGTGATGTTATTGAGACAAAGGGGGGGGGGGGGGGGACTTTATTACAATACAGTCAATAGCCTCGAGCTAACAAGGCTATACATACAACGGAGTCAACAGAAAGCGCTCGTAAGTGTGGAAAACTGAGGGCAGACGGAAACGGCCGAGCACTACCGGGCTCAGTCGATGTCTGACCGGCATGTCAGAGCGCAGCAGAAAGCGCTTCCTGTGTGAACAGCCAAGCGCGAGCCGGCGCTGCGCGCGCGCGCGGCGCTTCCGTTCCGCGCGCGGCGCTTCCTGTGTGAACCAGGCGTTAGACTTCATGTGACGGAGTTCATGAGGATTATGCATTTGACAGACAGAAACAATGTTGGCCTTTTTGGTATACCACAACACAAATATTAAATAAAAAACAGCTCAAGTGTAAAGAAATGATCTGAATGCACACTCATCAAACTGAAAAGTGCGTGTGTGTAAAAAAAAAAAAAAAAAAAAAAACAGTTTCAGAATCTGGAGCTGTAATCCTGCTCAGACTTTGCTGACATGAGTCTGCCCGTCTCTCCTTCTTCTATAAAGGGTTTTCAGAGGCAGGTTCACGAGCGGCTGACTCAGCTAGAGCTGGTCAACAACCAGTATCGCCGTCTGGCCAGGGAGAACCGCACTGACCGAGCCAGCCAGCTCAGAGCCATGGTGCACGAGGGCAACCGACGCTGGGACACGCTGCACCGCAGAGTGGCCTCCATTCTCCGCAGACTCAAGGTACAGAGTTGAAAAAAATTCTTCTCATCTGCAATCGACTAAATACATATGCAGTAGCTTTTCTCCTTTTTTCACCTCATCTGTCTCCTCTCTTTTCTCCCAGTATTTCACCAGCCAGAGGGAGGACTTTGAAGGCACCAGGGAGAGCATGCTGGTGTGGCTGACGGAGCTCGACCTGCAGCTCACCAACGTGGAGCACTTTTCTGAGAGTGATGTTCATCAGAAGATACAGCAGCTTAATGTGAGGACACTCTGAATCCCCTTTATCATGCTCTCTCTGCAAAAAAAAGCTCCAACCAGTACCTTAGCATGACAGACTTTTCTGGACGGTTCTCTCAGTCCTCTGTCACAGATCATGTGGTTTCCTCTCAGTTTCCCTTCCCAGCTCTTGCTCATCCAATTCCACTTCTTGCAGAGTTTCCAGAAGGAGATCACCCTGAACACGGAGCGTATTGATGGACTGATAGTCTTTGGAGAGGGTCTGATCCAGAAGAGCTCACCACAGGATGCAGCACTGATCGAGGACGAGCTGGAGGAGCTGCACTCTTACTGCCAGGAGGTTTTCAGCAGACTGGTCCGCTTCCACCAGCGCCTCAGCCAACCCCCGGTGAGCTGGAACCCACTCACACGCAGCACCCATTCAACCGTTCGTAACTCGATTTAAACAATTAATTTCAAATGAGCACAATCCTTTTTTATATCCTCTTTTACTTCGTTTAATGCAGCATTTTATACTTCAGCAGACAGTTACAGCCAGAATCACCATCCTAAAGAGGCAAACTCTTCACAGTCCCACTCTTATTGATGGATTCATAAAATCAAAAACGACTCCTCTGAACAGTTGAACCTGAACTAGAAAGCTCAACTTCTTATTTCAAAGATTCAAGCATTGTTTTGTTGTCATTTTCATCACTGCAGATTGTCGAAGAAGAGCCGGAGCTCTCCAGCACCACCTTTGCCTTGGAGTCCAGCTTGGAGCTCATAGGCAGACCCTGGCTGGGACGGAGCCAAGGAAGCTTCCCGGCCACGCCCACCCACCTGCTCGCCTGTGGGCTGGAGCGCTCAGGAAGGGAGACGCCGGTGAGCGTGGACTCCCTGCCGCTGGAATGGGACCACACTGGAGACGTTGGTGGGTCATCGTCGCATGAAGATGACGAAGAGGACGAGGATGATGATGAGGAGGGGAGAACTTACTTCAGCGCACTTTCAGGTTCTTTTTTTTTTTTTTTGCAACAAGGTTAATTTAGATGCAGTCTTTTCTGTATCTCTGCTGGTTCTTCAAACTTTTGATTGGATGCTGAAAAAAAGACAAGCGTAATTAAAGGGTCATATAAGGATCAACCGATAATCGGCAAGGCCGATAATATTGGCCGATATCCAGCATTTGTACAATAATTGGCATCAGCCATTTTTTCCACCAATAGCCAATGAAATACCTTTACTTTAAAACACCCTTGTTACAGCCGCTTTTCTCTGCCTGAAGTCACCACCACTCTTGGCTGTGTAATAATGTCGCGCCTACAGTCCCCACTGACTGGCTACACAGACAGCTAATCAACACTCTAGGTGCAGCCTCGCAGCAGGGAGAGAGTGAGAATGCATGGTGAAGCAGCGGTATGCCACCTCTGATTGGATGTGAGACTCTTGATCCTTTCACTGACGTTTATTAACACCGTAGAACTAAAACTGCAATAAACAAAATAAAAGCCAACGTCAGCTATTGAGATCGTTACAGAAATAACATTGTTTATCACCGTAGCCAAAACAGATCACTTTAGCCTGCTTCTCATGCAAAGTCATTCCCCAGAGCAGGGCTCTCAAGTCTCACGCATTGGGCGTGTGACACACGCATTCACACCCATTCACATGCCACACATTGTATTTCTCACGCATTTAAATTACCACAGTGATGTCCCCCAAGTTGCACCTTTTTAACAATGGAACAGGTATGAATCAATTAAGTCCCTGAGAGAAGCTGCGTGCCACGCGCAAGCCAGTCAAATAAAGTAGCATTGCTGTATCCAGGTAGATTTTTGATATTTAGCCAAACTGCAAAAGAGGACGGACACTCACCGAAATGAAGCAGGTTTCATAAGGACGAAAAAGACACAATGATTACAACAAATCAGTAACCTACACCTGCAGAGGCCTCAACATCTCATGGCACATACTTATATGATAAATTAAAGCCTTATTCTTTTCCTTTGACAGCTGCATTGGTGGATTTAGCCTCTGTGCAGCCATTTCCAGCCATTCTCCCCTCCACAAAAGCAGCAATTTCCTCAAAGTCCATCTTTTTTTTTCTGTGGAAAAGATGCATTTCTCATCTATTCTTATACCTATACTGAAGTGCAATTCATGTAAATGCCCCACAGCCCTCATTTTAACAACTCTCCTCCACAACAGGTAACTTCACATAGATTTATAAATTCATTAAGTAATCTTGAAGTTTTAAAAATGTTTTTTTTTTCTTAATGTGGCCCTTATAGTCCGTTGTATTTATTAGATTATTATACTAATACATTATCTTCAATTATTCTTACACCCTTGCCCCCCCATCTCACTCCAAGCTTAGTTCAAAACTTGAGAGCCCTGCCCCAGAGTCAATCATTACGGTCAAAAAAAGATTCTATAACACTTCTCATTAAATCCCATGCCCACAGTTATAACAAACACAATGACACATGGAGAAATAAAACAAAAGAAACAAACTAGCAGGTATTATATTTATTTTTACTGCAAATTAATATCGGTTCTAAATATGGTTCACATTTATTACTAATAATCAGTATCGGCCCCAAAGAAAAACACATTGGTCGATCCTTAGGGTCAAATGCAAGAAAAGCTGATCTTGCAATAAATGTTTATTGCTGAGGTATTGCTGGTAGCCGTGTTTTAAAGACATGAACAAGCAAACATCCTTTTTAGCAGGTTTATAACATGGTCAGATGGAAGGAAGAGGTTTTCTTTTTAGGGTTTCCTCTCACAAGTACAAAGTACAAAGACACACAAATATCCATATCTTTGGTGTGACCCGTCTCCTTGCAGAGGTGGAGTTGATGGAGAGCCTGGAGGAGTTTGTCGAGGCACAAGAGGCCATACAAGCCTCCTCTGTTGGTAGGCATCAAGAACGTCATTTTCACTCTAGGCTGCTCTTGGTGGTGGAAATCCTCTGAACAAACTGTCTTTGCTTCCTGCAGCTTCCTGCACCCTGGGTTTTTCTCCTCTAGTTGGACTATTTTTAATCCACTTTTCTAGTTATGGTATCTTTCCACAGCTGCTAAATTCACATTCATTCCTGTCACAGTCTCTCCATGTCAAACCATTGATTTGTTGTTATGTGTCTGACACAACTTTGGCCCTTCTCAGGCTTCCATCTTTCTACTTTTTTCATCCCAAAATCATTTTGTTAATTGTTAATTTTGACTTCTCCATTCTTTGCGTGGCTGGTTTACGCTTTGGTGAGATCTTTTTTAGCTTTATTTCTGCGAAGTTTTGGACTGACCTCAGAGGGTAATGTCGTGTTTCAAGCATGTTCACATCCCGGATAAGTACCTATATCTTTTCAGGGTCTGTTCACTTCAGAGTCAACAGTTGTGTTGACAGTAAATAACTTGTTCCACATGCTTTGTCCTCGAGTTAGCCTGATGTTTATAACTTCAAATTTGGAGCTAAATTTGAATTTAAATTGGAAAAAGAAGAAAGGATTTTTTTGTTTTTTCCCCAAACCGAAATGTGAGCCAAGCTTCTGGATTGAGATTGAGTCTAGACTTCAAAGTAGAACCAGAGAGGAGCCTAGTGAAATACCAAAGCCTGGAGGAGGAGGGGCAGAAGCAAAGATTTCATTACAGGCGCCAGAGAGAATACAAAAGACATCAGCTGAGCATGCCTGAACTAACACTACCATCAATTCTTTGATGACTCGTGCCCAATTAATGGTTGACTTGTCCACTGTCAGGCCTGGGTTTAAGGGAGGACTCAGAGGCAGAGGTTCCAAGATCAACAAACGCTTTATTTTGAAAAATCGTCTTCTTTACTTAGTAGATTGAGTGATAAATAATTGGCTATTAAAACTTTCTATATCTATTCTAATGGTAAACAGACAAAACACAAAATAAACAAAACAAACCAAGACTGAACAAAAATTCACTCCAAAAGGGAGGACAAATTAGTAAGCTGATCTTCTCTAATCTTTAGAGGAATAACTATGAAAATTTATGAACAAAAAAATACTCCAAAAGGAGGGAAACAAAAAGAGGCTACAAACTTATCTACACTGCACTCCTAAGCTAGAAAAACTGTAAGAAATTAAAGTCACTCCAGAAGGGAGGAAAAAAAGCAACAAGGCTATGAAACAGAAGCTAGATCTAGAAACTAAACAGGGAAAAAACTACAACAGAAAATCACTCTTCTAAAGAGAAAACAAGGATTATCAAAAATACAAACGTGGTAATCAAGCAAGGCTGTGGACATGAAGGCTGGAGGAACACGACTAAATGAGACACTCTGGCACAGGACAAAGGGAGACGCCAACTATAAGACACATGAGGTTAATGGGGAACAGGTGGAAACAATCAGGGATCAGGGGAGACGTCAGACTGGAAACACAAGAGGAAGGGCAAGTGACCTGAAACGAGAGGGGAGTTATTTTTTCAAAATAAAACATGAAAATGACAAGACAGAAAAACCAGGACAAGACACCCCTCATCGCATTGTGACATCCACCTTATATATTTAATGACTGTCAGTGTAGAATGAAAGTGTGGGAGGGAAATACCATTAAATTAAAAAAAACAAAAACAAAGTTAAAGTTTATTTTCATTAATGCAAGGGTTTCTAACATATTGATTTGGATCATTTCAGCTTCCAGCAGATCTTTGACAGCAGCAGAGTCTGTGAGACGGCGCCCACAGGGAGACGCAGAAACACAACCACTTCAGCTGGACTCTGAGGGCCAAACCGAGGCTCAGCCCACCCTGACCAGCACGCCACTGAAGCCAGGCTACGTAAGTTTAGAAAATACAGAGCCATGCTGTTGTTGTTTGGCATTGTTTCGCTGTAATTTGAAGGTCTTCCCTGAAAAAGGTTCAGAGCCCATGCAGTGATTTCCACCACAGAGCCTTGTCTATTTTTAATGCAGTGCTGCCTGAGGGCCTTAAGGTCACAGCCATCCAGTCTTGGTTTTGGTCCTTGTCCTTTTTTCATCTTTCCTTTGTTTGTTGTGTTTCCAGCTGCACCTTATGTCTCAGTGCAGCGGCAGCATCGAGAACATCAAACGAGTCTCACTGATCCTGGATGACGAGGAGCAGCCGGAGGAGCTCGGCCTGACAGGACTGACCCCCTCAGACAAACAGTCAGGTGAGACAGTGAACACAGTCTGTCATTGAACTGTATCATAAAGGGGACCGTAACCCTCTGACTTGAAAATTAAGACTGAATCAATCAGTAACTTCCATAGACTGAATATATTATGGAAAAATTGGCTTCGCCCTCTGTCGTTATACGAATTTGAAGCTAAATTGCTCTCGGTATTTCCGGGATTTTCTCCACTTCTTTGAAGCACTACTTGTGCAGTAACATTGTACGCATTTGGCGGGGGAGTCGCCGAGAGTCGCTGTGATGATGCTTGGCTCAAACAGTGTATCTCCCGGGTGAGCTATGCAATCTTCATACACCCATAGGCTAAATCAAGTGTCAATCATAGAAAACATGAACCCCCTAATAACTTTTAAAATGGAGCTGCACAGAAAAAAGAGGACTGGGGCACAAACCAGGGGGGAAAAAATGTATATTCTGTGTAATAAATTTGTAATAAGTTTGTCCACAGCTCCATAAGGATTACTGGAGGAGGCGGGATTTATGATCTACACTGCAGCCCGTCAGGGTGCTGTTCTCGCAGTGGCTTCACCCAGCGAGGAGGCAGACGGCGTCTATTCTATATACAGTCTATGATAATTTCCATCTCATCTCATCTCTCTCTCTCTCTCTCTCTCTCTCTCTCTCCTAGGTGTGATTGAACGCTGGGAGCTGCTAAAGGCACAGTCCAGGAGCGACCTGCATGCTGACTCTCAAGACCCTCAGCAGCTCACGTCTGACCTTGATGACATCACGTCCTGGTTAGAAAGCGTGGTCCCTCACTTAGAGCACCTCCAGCAGTCTGATCCAGCAGCCAGTATGGAGGAGATGGCAGCCAGAGCCAAAGAGCTGAGGGTGAGTTTTCAGGAACAAACTCTGATTATGTGAGGTAAAGGTTGCTCAGTGTCTGAATTCATGGATGTTCTTTTTTCAGGAGATGCAAAAGACCTTTGCTCACTACAAGTCCATCATGCTGTCTGTGAATCTGCGAGCTCAGGAAGTTCCAGAACTACAGGAGAGACTCTCTGGTATGAACAGAGACTGGAGCCGAGCATGTACAGGCCTGCAGCAGTGGGACTCCAGTCTGAGGAAGACGCTGATACGTTGCCAGGTGAGGATGTGAAAGCTATTTATTTAAAAAATGTGCACTTTTGGTCATCTAAAAAATACACTACACTGGGGATACACTGGGGGTGGTGCCAGCCTATGCAAACCGGTCCTTATCAGTGGGTCTGTCTTACTTGTATATCTATAAACAATGCTAAGCTAAACTGCTCTAGTGAGAGCTAAAAAAACAACGATCAGAAATAGCTTCACATGGAAACTGCACTTTGTTGTTATCTTTTTTTCCTTATAGTTTCTGTAAATTCCTGAGTTTAGGGTACATTTTCAATAAATTGATAGATTCAGCTTTGATTTATTTAATTGATTTTAAATCGCAGAACTTTTAGGAATGTTGACAGAAATCTAGATCATCTGACAGATATCGACTAAAAATGCTGATTCCTAACTGACTTTAATTTCACCAAATGGGCATTGACATTAGGGTGGCACTGTGGTCTAGTGATAAAGTTCCTCTTATCTGATCTTATGTTAGTGGTTAGCACTGTCGCCTCAAAGCAAGAAGGTCCTGGGTTCGTATTCGGGTCAGGCTGTTTCTGTGTGGAGTTTGCATGTTCTCCCTGTGTCTGCGTAGGTTTAATCCGGGTACTCCGGTTTCCTTTCACATCCCAAAAACACGCAGAAGTGAGGTTAGGTTGATTGGTTACTTTCAAATTGCCTGTAGGTGTGAATGTGATGTGTGGATGGTTGTTCGTCTCTATATGTCAGCCCTGTGACGAACTGGCCATAAGTGGTAGAAAATGAATAGGTGGGTATGGACACTACAGGAAATAACATGATGGCCCTTTGAGGGGGAATTCGCTGCTGGCAAAAATAAGAAACATTAAACTGGGGCAACATAGAGATTTACACAGCCCACCAAACTGGCTCAATACAGTAAAGCATAAAAAGTGTAAGATGACTAACCTTTTTTTCTTCAAGCAGGAGTTCCATGAAAACCTCCACTCTCTGCTGCTGTGGCTGGCCCACGCAGAGAGCCGACGCTACGCTGTGAATATCAGTAACCCTGACACGCCCATCAGAGCTCTGCAGCAGCACTTCAGCACACTCACAGTGAGCACATCATCACAGAGCTAAAAATGATGCTCTTTACTGTCAGGATGCATCCTCTCAGTTTGTAATGTTTGTATTGTACAGGATCTGCAGGAGGAGCTGCAGGGCAGGCAGACCCAGCAGGCATCTCTGCAGGCTCTGTGGTCTCAGCTGCAGCCAGAGGAGGACGACAGTGAGGAGAGTGAAGAGGCTCGGGAGAAGCTTCATGTGACAGGGAGTAAGCTGAAGCTGCTGCTGAGGCAGGTGGAGCAGGACCTGGGCTCCCTGCAGCAACGACTAGTAAGAGCCTGATACAGTTTCAGACATTTCTTTAAGACTTTAACTTGATCATGAAGATATGAAGATATTTTGTACTCTGAGGTCTTTTTTGGAGACAAACCAGCTGTCTGTGGTTACAGTCGTTTTTTTAAAGGACAGAGGTGTGTGTGGAAGATGTTGAGACTAAATGTGATGTCTTTGTCTTTGACTCAGGAATGTGAACCTGCTGCAGAGATTGAGGGCCAAAGTGCCTCTGCAGACTCTTCTCAGACACCCAAAAGCTCAAAGAAAGGTCCCTCTCCTCAAAGGTATGCAGACAGGTGCTGATATTAATGGGATTCTGACTTATTAATTGCAAAAATGAGAGTGCAGATTTTGACAAACTTTGGTCTCCATCTTGTCTGTGGTTGAACATGCAGAGAGAGGAGAGACTTGTCCCCGCCTCGCTCCTTCTTCTACCGGGTCCTGCGTGCTGCCTTCCCTCTCCACCTGCTCCTGCTGTTCCTCCTGCTCCTCCCCTGCCTGATCCCTATATCAGAGAGCGACCCAACCTGCAGTACAACCAACAACTTTGCCCGCTCGTTCTACCCCATGTTACGCTACACTAATGGCCCCCCGCCCACATGATGAGAATACGAAGAAAAAAGACATTATTGAGCAACATGAGCCACCTTTTGCTACACAGAGCAAACTTTCAAACTTTTATTTTGATGCGCTATGCCTTTAAATTGTTCTCTAAAGTTCAATCCAAAGTTGTATTTACGTCTATTTTAAACAATTTGCTCTTTAACAGCATTTATTTATTTCAGTGCACTTCAATCAGAAAAAAATCACCTCACCTGAGCAACAAAGGACTTATATTTTAGTCTAGATCTCACTGCAGATCAATCAGTCATTGAAACCTGTCCTTATACAGTCTCAGTGTTGAAAATTCTTGAATATGACTGCATTTAAAGAGATGGAAAACCTCCTAAGAGCTCCTATAAGGAACTCTCAGTTTGTGCCAACTTTGGCACCCCCTGGCAGTTTTCTTTTCATCTACATGCCAAAGTAGTGTTGATAAGGTGACAGTTTAAAAGCAGGCTGTTTCTCAAGCTGCTGGGCTGACACCTACCCCACTTCGTAGCAGATTCAAGCATTCAAAACAACCACAGGAATGATCAATCTTGTCCCTGATGGTTCTGTTTGCTTTTTGATGTGATGAAATTTCTTATACTAGCTTTAAATTGTACAAAATAAAGAAGCCAATTAAAACCAGAGTGATGTGTCTATGTGTAATTTAAGAGTTCAGCCCATGGCTGTGAGACCTACTCTATAACTAGTCAGTCAGGGGAGGGAAAACTGTTTTGGCTTCACTCTTGGGGATCTTCAGCATTGCCCATCCTTTTATACTGTCTATAATTAGGAGGTGCAAAGCTGAATACAGGGGCCAACCAAATGAGGTAGTTCAAAAATCCAAAAAATGTTTTAAAAACTTTCCTTCAAGTCCAAAAACCACAGTAAAAAAAGAATTACAGTGTTTCTTCTTCCTAAATGGATGATTTGCTCTTGTACATATGTCATGTTCAGAAACCACTCAATCATTATTTGTCTGTTTGATAAACTGTTGACATTTCATTTTTCTGTTTCTGTTGTCCCTAAAACAAAGAGCATGCATGACCTTTTTTTGTGTTGGACTGATGTCTACAGTAGAATTTATTTTTTCAACAAACGACACTAGTTGAATCTGAATGTAATTTTTATACAGCCAACAGTACAAAGATGTATTTGGGGTAATAAAGACACATTTTTATGGCAGTTTTATACGCAGAATTGTATTTTAGATACTTCATGTCTCGAGTAGATCGCAGCAGACATTTCCATGCCTTCACGGCTCTGTTATAACACTATATGTAGGTTTAGCGGGATGATGTGTATGTAAAGAATGTAATAATATAATGCTAATTTATGACATCAAACTGTGGATTTAAGCTTCTTTTTTCTGGTAGTAAACACTGATTGTCTTTACTCTCTTGACTCCAAGCATTTCCTTCATTCTGCAAACCTAATGAACACAGTCTGCTCTTATTTTTAGTCATTTTTGGCTTAATCGGGATTTTGGTACAAGGGAAGAACATCATCTGTACAACATGTTTGCTTTATTTAATGATGAAACAAACAGAAAATATGTGAATGTATAAACATACAATGAGAACTCATGATCATCTGTAACATTCATTGGATAGGAAACAGAGACCAAACAATTCAGCACTGCCTGACGGTGTAAAAGGTGGACAGACAAACTGTGGATTGTGTTTTACAATGAACTGCAAATGCCATAGCTGGTCTTAGCTAAAGCTGGGTCCTAACTGTGAAGTTGTTTTTGAAGTTGTTGGTCTCTGTTTTTGCCAGCCTGGATGGCTTTCAGCTGGTCTAAACTGTGTCCGGTCTTACCAGTGATCAGTTAATAAAGTGCCCACATGACTTCACTATTGCTTGACAGTATAAATCCTCAGGAAAAAAATTCCACTGAAGTCTGTAAATATTTCTTGAAAATGTTCATACCTTTCTCAGAAATGATCTTAAACTTTTCTAGAAAAGTTCTGGAAATTTCTGGAATTCTCTGAGAGGAGATTTTTCTGGAGATTTAACAAACTGTCCCTTAAAGTTTTGGAAACTTACCCAGCAGTTTCTAAAACTTTTTTCAGAGGAATTCTTCATAACTACCTGGAATTGCAAGAAAATTTCCAATAATGATCTTAAAAATTTCAAGAATTTTTCTCGTATTCTTTCTTTTGAAATTTGTATATATTTTCTCTGAAATTTTATGAAACTTTTCAGAAAATTTCAAGAATTTTGTAAGGAACTGTGAAAATTTCCTGGGAGGTTTCAGGGACATATTACCAGGTGTCCTGGGAACTTTCTCAGAAATGTTGGGAAATTTCCTCAGATAGAAAAGAATTGAGAAAATTTTAGGAACTTTCCAGGATGGTAACTAATATCTAGCTTGGGGATTATTTTTCCGAGATTTTTTTTCAGAGAAGTTTCACAAAAATTCTCTGAATTTTTTTCTACAAACTTCCCTAGAAATTTCGGGACGCTGTCTTGGAAATTAATCTGAAAAATTCTTCATAAATATCTGGAATTGTCAGGAACTTCCCAATAATTTAGATTTTTTTCTGTAACTTCAGGAGAACCTGTATCTATCAAGTATATATGATTTTTCAAGAAACTTTCTGAATTTTGAGGGACTTTTAACCCACACCTGACTCCTAATGTTTTTTAGAAAGTAGTGGGCTTAGTTTTTAAGAACAGGAATTTAAGCTTGGATGGCAAAGTCTGCTTGAATATGGGGTTGAGGTGAGACCATTAAGTCAGGACTGGCTTTATTTAAGACCATGTCAGTGTCAAATAGTAGAACCTTGCCTGTAAATAAAGAATATATATGACAGACACAGTATGGCAGTCCTGTGAAGAAAGGCACATGGAGCAAATGTGAATACAGACTTGATATGACAGTTTTTGATATACAGTGAAAATGAGAGTGGCCAGAAGTGAAGCAAAAATGCAGACAGGACTAAACTAGAGGGGTGCTTTTGAAATCCACATACTGTATGTTGGTACACTTCTCATCATGATCCTGATTGTCAAAGCTGCATCACAACTGTGCACGAAAAGCCACTTTAGCAAGTTCTAGGATACAAAAATAATTTCCATTTTCTCTTCAAGCAAAACTTGAGTTGTAAGAGTGCAACCTTTGTCTTAAGAGAAATAGTGGTTATGATTTTTCACAGGTATGACGATAACACCTGAACTGTACAGTGCACAATGAAGCAATCAGAAGGCCTTAAGGTGTGTGTGTGTGTGTGTGTGTGTGTGTGTGTGTGTGTGTGTAAACTGTAAAGGGCCCCCTAGTTGTCAGTAGAAGACCTGCAGATGCAAACAGCGCTCTGAAAGCAAGAAGAAAAGATGATCTGTTTCTTTAAACCTAATCTGAGACATCTGTTGAGCTAAAACCAGATCGAAACAGACTCTGTCTTCACCATTTTACTCAAAAGGAAATGCAACACTGTGATGTTTGAAATAATACATCCTGTAATGACAGTATGGCTCATCTTTTCTTGTATGAAATATGGTGCTCAGCTCAGGAGAATCATCATGTAATATGAATATGTGTGGGAGTGCTGGTGCTACAGGACACATGAACATTTGCTCCTGTCCCACACAAGCTTTCCAACATGTGTTGGTAAGGCAATGAACATGGCAAGTTTGGTCAGATAAGAGAAGTTCATCTGAGATAGCGCACAAGAGTGTCAGAGCTTTAATTTCACCACGAAGAGTTCACAGACCTCAGCGCTTCAGTCAAAGTTGTAACAATCATGTGAAATGTGCAAAGCCTTTAGACGACTACTGTTCACCTCTACTGTCAGTGCTGCAGGGAGTCCAGGTATTCGAGGGGCCACTTCCTGGGCTGTGGGGCCAAGCAGGACCCTCTTTATGATCACTGGAGTCCTGCTGTGGGGGCCGGCGAGGCAGACGGGAACTGTGCATGATGTGGGCATCCAACATCTCCAACAACAGGTCATACAAAGGCACCATGTTCTTCATTTTCATGCAGTGGAGGTGGTCCATACCTTTGTTACTGCACAGGGTGGAGAAAAGTGATTGAATCAAAGAAGATGGAATAATAATGTCTGCCAAAAAGAACTTTCCACTTTTCACCATATCATAACATTCAGCTATCAGGAAACAGACTCTCTGTACCTGAGATGACGGATGTGTGAAAGCAGCATGAGCAGGTGGGCAAGGCGGGTGTACTGTTGGCGGAAGGTGAGGCCGGTTTTGGCGATGGCCCACACCAGAGCATCTGTAACGGCGTCCAGGAGACAGAGCAGCTTAGAGCGACTCTGCAGCTCCTCACTGGTCTCCGAGGAGCCGAGGCACATGTCTGGAAACACACATGAACACAGAGAGGCAAAAACTAAACCTTGTGAATATTATTATCGATTCCTGCCATGTCTGATGGTTGAATGCTGCTCAGTGCTACAAACTGCACCTTTAGAACAGTTTTTGTCAGTTTGTGTCACTGAATCAGGAACTTTTAGCCTGAGTTGGTTTTGGTGCCCCTTGTGGCCAAAGTGATATGTCTTATCCTGTAAATGTGAAGAAGTTGTTTTGGATGAAATCTTCATCTTTTTGTCTTTTGAGAGTAAAATATAAAGTAGGGCTGCATGATTTTGACCAAAAGTAAAATCCTGATTTTTTATCTCTGAAAATTCGATTTTTGATTTTGATTTTTATTCAGTGACAACTTCACCAAACTTCACTTAAATAAGTTTATGTCATCACTCAAAACAAAACCACTGAAAATGATGTAGTGCATATGCCAAGCCAGCAAGTGGCACTGTAACGCTGCAGACGAAATGCACAAAAGACAGAAGAAGTGTACTGAGCATGCATATAAAGGTTGTTTTGGCCGAACATGTGCAGGCGCCATAAAATAGTAATGCTGTTTGACACATAATCGTTTCAAGAGCGACGCAGATAGGCATCCACACAGAGATGAAAGGTAGTCGTTTACAGATTTATGCACTCTCTGACCCGTTTTCAACAAGTTTACAATCACCCGAAACTCTATTCCCGTGTGAATGAAACGCTGTTACGACAAAAAACTTTTGCCCCTATCCCTGAATTCATTTCCGTGTGTACGGGTTGATACCGCCTTCAAACAGACCTTGCAGCAGGGAGTGGTTAGCTCTTCATCCCAAACTGCAATACCTGCGAAAGGGCTGTGCCGTACCAATTCCACACGGCTGACTTGCTCTTGCCCTATTTAGCCACGAAATTATCGCCTTCTTTTGCAAACGCCATGTTTGTTTACACTGGTGTGTGTGGGAACTGGGGAGTGCTGTTACAGGAAGGGAGAGCCTATGGTGGCCTGGAGGTGCAAGACATGATAGAGAGGAAAATCAATTTGACGATTTTAATTTTTTTAACATCGTCATAATTAAATAATTCGATTACAATTTAAAATTGATTAATCGTGCAGCCCAATTACACAGGACAACCGTTCTTGAGCCTGCTGTCAATCATCTGGTCTTACACCTACCCTCTCTAAGCCAAGACATGATCAGCTTTTTTCTTGATAGTCTTTTTTTTTGCTCCAGTGTAGTATCAGTTAAGCCCTTTTCTTAACTGCTAAAAAACTTCTCAGAGTGCCTTTAACATCATTATAATCTGATCAATTCGATCTTTTCTGGCTGTCGGACAGCATCTGTAAAATAATCATGATAGTTTTATCTATCATGATGAGCTGCAGTTATGGTTTATCATTCTGGACTTATTACTTGATATTAGGATTTACACCAAAATTCAGCCTCGGTTTCTCCACAGTAGGTAGAAATACAAAATGCTAATATTTCCCATTAACACGACTGCTGCCTGAGGAGGCACAGCGGGGGAGTCAGGAGGATCATTTGCTGCAGATAAAGGTTAAACAGAGAGACTAACCGCAGAGGATTAGCTGTTATTCTAGTGTGGCGTGGACTCTTCTCACCTTTGTTTTCAGCAGTGTATTGAACAGAAAAATGTCTGTAAGAGGAAATGCATTGCGTACAGATTAGACCTTTTTAAAATCTCCTACTGGAAAGTTCTTCCTTTTAAACATTCGAGGCAGATGTATGAAAATGTTGATGTTTTTAACATCTTGTGACAGTCTAACCTTTCAAATGAGACTAAATATTTGATTCAGAATATTTTGTTTTCTCTCTGCAATAAATGCTCTAAAGAATAAAAAGTGAAATTAAAGAATAGGAGTGAACAAAGGGACCTGGATTGAGGACATCAGTGAGGACGAGCAGAATCATCAGCCTGAGGTGAATAATTCGACCTCAGATAGAGTCGAGTTCTGCTCGTCTTCAGACTCACACTTCACACCATGTTCCCATGGTTTGCTCCACACAACCTCACACATGCACGCGCGCACACACACACACACACACGCGCGCGCACACACACACACACATGCACATGCACATATAATGAATAGCGTGCTCACTCACTGGAGTTGAGGAGGATCATGGCCTTGAGGCACACGTACTCCTCCCTCTGCAGCTTCAGCTCTCTCACTCTGGACGTGGCAGCGACTAGCATGTCGAAGATCTCAGCGAAGCCCTGAACACAACTCCCCTCCTCTCTGAATATCACACAAAAAAACACAACAAGATATTCATCCACACCAGCATGGAAATGGCTTAACATGCACAGCAGAGTCTCCACTACATAAAATGATCAAGGTCACCACTGAGGAAACGCTGCCTTGTTCCATATGAGCATGCCTTCAGGCAGCTCAGCACACTCTGTTCCAGCTTCTGATGCAGTGCAATATACGAACAGATAACTCTTTGTAACCATATGCAGACAAGATCTGACAAGAGAGAGCATCGAGCACAAACATCAATCAGTTCTCTCTCTGTCTAGGACACTTGAACTTGTTTTTCTCATGATGTCCTTTACATGGTACAGCTTCAACCTGCATTCACAAATGCAGCAGCAGGCTGTGTCCACAGACAGCTGATCCTCCAAGTGGTTTCCTCTTTGCAACAGTGCTTCCTGAAGACCTGGAGATCAGAGCCATACAGTTCTGATTTCCCTCTCTACATTCTATGAATTTCTTCATGATGTTAAAAGGGATATTCCGGCAGAAATTTAAGTTATGGTCAAACACACCGTAACACTGAGTTCCGTCAAGAGATGAATGCTGCAGCTCATCAACAGAGGGTGCTGTTCTCTGAGTGGCTTCACCCAGCAAGGAGGCAGACAGCGTCCATTCTATATACAGTCTATGGTCCCAGCCATAGAACTAGCCATCAAACATCTTTTTAGTTTTGCCTTGTTTCTTTAGCAAAGAAACTAAACACAACTCACCCACTCGCCTCCAGCAGCTGCTTGTTTGTGTGGAGCCCTGACGAGTAATATTCCTTGAAGTAATAATCATCATAATGATTATTTTGCATTATTTTGTAATAATAATAAATGTTCTTCCTTGAGCTGTGAAACTCCGCTGCACTTGGTGATCGACCGCTTTGTACAGCTATTGTGCTGTCGCCACGAAAGTTGGTATAACTAGAGAAGCAAGCAGTCAACAACATTCATCTCTCGAGGGGGTGTCTAACTCTGTGTTACCTTGTGTTTGACCATAACTTAAATTTAGGCTGGAATATCCCTTTAAGTAATTTCATGCCAAGAATGATTATTTTTTTTAATTGCTAATGTATTTACTCACACAGTCTCTCACAGAGTGGTAAACCTCTATCTAACCTTACTTCTAGGAGACTCAGTCTCCCTGAATACCAGTTTTTACCCTCAGTCACCTGTTGCAATCTTATTTGAACACAAATGACAGAAATCTCTTTCAAGCGTGTAAGAATTGAAATGAGAGATTTGTCAGCGGTACCTGCTCAGGCTGAGGTCAGGGGAGAAGATAAGTTTCCCTGGATGGTCCACTGACCTCCACATCAGCCCAACCATCAGCACCTCCAACCAGCAGCACTCCAACAGGTGCACCTGGTCCACCAGACTGAGCTCTACAAACCCTGAAGAAGAGACAAGATTACAACAATAATGCTCGGCACAAAATAGGAAAATACAGGAAGGAAGCTGCAGCAACATTAACAGAGGTGCTTTCATGTGGTGTTTTGGAGCAAACCTCAAAAAGAGGTCACAAGTTCAGAGCAGATTTGTTCAAACATGTACACACTGTAACAGAGAAGGGCAGTCTATGCTGTTATCTGATTGTACAGAGGTTATGAGCGGCTGTACCTGACCGAGGAGGACACACAAATATATTACTTTAGGTTGAGGTAAAAGGTTTCTGTGTCATGTGGTCTAAAACTCAAATAAAGGTTGCAGACAGCTGAGGGTGCAGGACAGCTCTTGTTTCAAAATGTTCCTTTTAATGCAAAGAGGGTGAATTTACTGAGAGTGCAGCTCTGGAGGGAAAGGAAACCTTTTGAATTTAGGAACAATGTGACTGTCTCCACTGCAGCATCTACCTTAACTGTACAATCTAGTAGAGTTGAGTTTTATTTACACACCTGGAATCTTTTTGGCCCAGCTGATCATGTGTACCAGCTCCTTATCAGCCAAGTTGGTGAGCGACATCATGATGTTCGCTTCGGTCAGCGGCCTCTTCATGTCCTTCATGAGGTAGATCTCTGGCGGCTCAGCCTCCATTATTCTCTCTATCAGCTGCTCTGGGGTCAGCGCAGGAGGGTGGTGGGGTGTGTTCAACAACGCTTCAGCTGGTCCGTTTAAAACGGCCAGCTCGTTAGTTCTGCTCTGTGAGGACGGTCGGGTCGCCCGTCTGGTCCTCAGGTTTCCACGCTCCTTTCTCATACCTTGGGCAAAGAAAACAAGGAAATCTGCTAATGGTCCTCTGGAGCCAACAGATGGTGGAGCAAAGTAGATTTTAAGTTGTTTTTTTTAAGGACAACGTTTTATCATAAATTAATAGAAAGCCTATGATTTATGTTGCTCTCATATTATGTAAATGATGGAATGAGCTGTGACACACAGAGCAGTCTAGATGAGCAAATGATCTTCGTAGCCTCCGTGTTTTTTTTTTTTAAATTAAGGCTTAAATTCCAGAAATCAAAACTGTCTAAAACTGTCTGGAACGGGGATCAGCCATGGGGCACGTCTAATCAGAATGTTATATCCTCATCTTCTGAAGTTAAACTGTGCATTTTTGAGCAAACCCTTTCCGATTGATACTCTCACTAGATGTGAAACTAATTACAAATATCAGGGTGTCTCTTTTCTTATCTGATGACATGAACTTCAAGATCAGTCCTTGTTTATCATTTCCCATTTGTGAAACATAAACTCCCAAAGAGAAAATATCTTTCTTAATGTGCCACCTGGGCCACAATGTGCTGTGGCAATTCAGATTGAAAAAGTCCTAATTCTGAGCCAAAAGTCTTAAGTATGGACAAACAAACAAACAAACAAACAAATAAATAAACAGAATAATGTTAAACAGTAAGAATTCCCCCCCAAAAAAGAGGCAGAGTCCTGGGAAAAGTCACAATTCTGTAAAAAGTCAAATTTTTGAAGAAAAAAAGCCTGAATTCTGAGGCAAAGAGTACAAAATAGAGATGACCTTTGTTTTGTTTTTTTAATAGCTTCCATCCTCTTCAGTTATTGACAACTTACAAGACAAGACACAGAGAGCATATTCAGAATCCTTCAGTGCCTGTTGATCTCGTCTTTATCACCAAATTCAATTTTAGAAGCAACTGGTGGACAAACAGTGCTTCAGTCTGACCTTATTAAAACATGGGGCAGTGTTTCCTGATATAGTGGTTACAGACACTTCAATCTAAAAATCCCAAATACCAAAAGTATTCAAACCCATTTTCTTTTTTCTACAGCTGCAGAACAGATTAACAGAGACACAGAGACAAACAAAAATAGTGCTCTGCTGGTTTCCTCTCAGTGCTCTGGATGGAAACATTCTTGAACATAAAAGTTCACAGGGAACTTTCGATCTTCTGGATTTTCAGACAAGTAAGCTCCAGAAACATAAAATCGGCATGTTGGTTTAACAACAAAAGAGTGACATCATTCCGATACAGCTTATTTGTTTGCTGAGTGCAGACAGAAAGAAAAAAAATCAAAACCCTCTCACAGATACAAAACATAATTGGAAGATATAAAGACTCTTACCGCACTTTGTCATGCCGACTTCGTAGCATTTGCGAAGGCGACACGCCTGGCAGCTCTTACGGCGGTTTTTGTCTATAGTGCATTGATTGGTTGCGGGGCAGATGTAGTCGTTGTGTCCTAGGACAAAAAAAAAGGAAAAACAAGAGACAATTACAACAGACAGAGAAGAATAGGAGTAAATGAATGAAGCAATAGAAGGACTGAAATTAGATGTTCGGAAACAAAGAAAAGCTGAAATGCTGTGATTGAGGGTCAGATCCACTCCTACAAACCCCACTGAAGTTAAACTCTGTTTCCCTGCAAAATGATTGATAAAGGCTCGTTCTGAATTCTCTTTTGGAATCATTTCAAACCCTTTTATGAACCATGAACTTGGTCATAAATCTGGAGGCTGAGTCAGCAAGAGTAAAACTGCAGTTCATACTGTGGGATTCAGCTACAGTTAACGGAAGGCGTAAAGCCAAAGTGCATAAATATGTTATTAAACTGTAAGATGTTTACAAGCTCATGAATACTGATTACAGGCTTTGATATGATCTGTAAAACAGCGTTACATTCCCCACAGAGCTCAGTGAGAGTCCCTGAACAACGTGAACAATGAAGGTCTCACTAGATTGACTTTTTTGAGGTCGTATTAATCAAACATGCACGGATGCTGTACGTTTTTGTGTCTCACTTTGGATGCTCCTCTTGAAGAAGGCCTTACACCCCTCACATGACCAGACGCCGTAGTGGTATCCTGAGGCGTAGTCACGACACACAGCGCAATAGTGGAGGTCCCCCTTCTCGCCGGACGACACCACCTCCTCCTCGCTCTCATGAGAACGCCTCCTCACACTCTTACTAAGAGAAAACATTTCAGCCATCATTTTTTTCGTAAACAGAAACATGTGATACAGCCTCAGCATGATGATCAGGTTTGACTGGGCGGCTACTTGTTCCATCAAAACAAATCACAACTGCAATAATACTGACATTACACATCATTGACTCTGCTAATCTCAATTTTTCCACGTGTTGCCAAAATAATCCCAGAGGTTGTAAGTGAACATAACCCTCTCTACCCTTGCCAATATGAGGAAAAACATTCTACTGTGATGGCCCAGGACCAACTGATATATATTGGGGTTTTCACTGATCTGTAAAAAGCTTTTGACACCATTGATCACATTGTTCTGATAAAAAATGTGAGCCTCATGGTCTCAGAGAGTTTAAACTCCAGTGGTTCAGAAGTTACCCAGTTAATCAGCTTGTTTTGTGTAATGGTATAGGTTGAAATACAGGGAATTAATGTGTGGTGTACCCCTGGGATCTATGTTTGGTCCCCTGCTCTTCATTATTTATGCTCATTACTTGAATTCAGTCTATAAAAACTGTTTTTATCATCTCTGCTTATGATAAGAGATCATGCATTTTCTGTTCTGATCATGTTTATTCAATCTTTTAGTCTCCTCTATTTTTGTCTACTTTTTTGTATGAAATCAATAGTTCTTTTTTAGGTGCAGGTTCCCAGTTAGAGCCTCTTATGTTTCAAACCTCTCTTGCACATTTTTTAAACATTATTCACAGCTTCTATTATTTTGTTTTGTAGAGCATGCGTCAAAAATTAGAATTAAAAACTATCAAAAAAAGTAGTATTTAAAAAGTGCTTTGAATCCCTACCTGGTTGATAAGACAGTGTCTATCTGCGACAGATCTACCCACTGTGATGGAGACTGGACTGGCTGTCTGTGCTGAGAGCGAGCCTGTGAGTGGTGTAGGGGTATGGGGGGCCCGACATGGCTGTGGCTGGGCCAGAATAAGGACGGGCTTATTGACTGGCGGACAGAGGGACAGTCTGAAATACCCGAAGCAGCATAACTGAAGATAGTTGGGCTGTAGAAAGGGATGGTGGCAAAGTCATGACCAAGGTCGTTGTACGGCGAGGGGATGCAGATGGGCTGACCTGCTTCTGAGGAGGAGGACAGTATGGGGGAGAGGACGCAACTTCCAACTCGGCTGGAGTCCACTTTTTGGAGCTGGAGGAGAGGCTGATCCTTCTCTGGAGAGACGGCAACGGCCATCGCAACTACGCACGATACACTACCACATGGCCGACAGAGAATAAATCTAAGACAGAGTGAGTTTCTCTGGTGTCAAGTTCACTGTGAGATTGTCATTATCAATGAGTAATGACTGTGAAACAGAATAAAAAAGCAGACCAGCAGACCTTCCTACACAGGCCAGAGGGGATAAATGTCACTGATGTGCTCACATCGTAAGTTCCCAGACTGTGTGGATAACTCAGTCAGACCTGCGGCTGGATTCAATCTCTCTCTGCTCTGTAAAATGTCGGCTTTGAATGGATTACATGATCAGCATAAAAGGAGAGGAAGTCAATGCTGTGACGTGATCCAAATCAGAGCAGATGTGCAGAAACACAGGCTGTTTATCCTGCGGCAGGGTGGGTGTTCAAAGACGGGTCTCAGTGAAGCCATGAGTCTCACACATATGTGAAGTGAGCCCACTCACCTGGAAAACAAGGAGACAGACATCAATCTACAGACTAAAGGCTAAAAAGAGATAAAGGTACAGTGGACAACATATACCTACTAAGATGCAACAACATTTCCTTTGTTAAAAATACATCAAGACTTACCTATTCTAGGACAGCAACCAAAATCCAGGTTTTAAAGTGAAAATATCCTAAATGAATTAAAACAGCCCATTCCAATAAAAAAGCAGGTTTTGAAAATCATTTAAACTCTCAATTTGAACTAAAATTAAGCATAGGCAACTTAATAAGTTATTCATTTTTAACATGATGCAACATGTTAAAAAATAGAACAGTGACAGCAAAACTCTAATAAATTTTGCAATGCTTCAAAAAACCTAGACACCTCATGACCTATTATTTTTATTTGTATTTGTTTAGTAAAGAAGACCATCATTTACAGGACATGAAATAGATATGTAAAATCTGCAAAAATCTCCAATTAAAAAAAAGGACAAAGCCATAAAAAAACAATGGATGGACATGATATTTGGGCCTTGCAATATAGACAGACATGGCTCTGTAGTGGAAATCACTGCATAGGCCCAAAATCACTTCCAAAATCTTCTCTCTCCCGGTTTTTCACAGCCGCCACAAAAGCAGGTTGGAACTTAACCAAGCAGAGGAGAAAACCGTGTATAAACATAATCCAGGAAAACAGACACCTTCTACAGGCCATAGCCCATTCGACTGTGAGGAGGACACACCAGAGGCAAGAGACATCCACCTACTTCAGCCATGTGAGTTATTGTCTTGAATGGAAAAGTAGCAATGTGTTTTTACCCTATAGTATACAAATGTTTGCTTCGAATGCATTACTTTGGGGTGCTGCCAGTCACACCCAATAATAAAATAAAAGCAATACACAGTGAATAGAACACAAATGTTCAAACATCTAAAGCCTGTGGTCTGACAAATCAAGTTCTTATATTCTTCTTGGAAATCCATGGCATTGGTAGCTTACATACCTGAGGAGTTGAACAATATTTACAGGTTTTGGAGCATCATGTGCTGCCAAACTACATTCTGTCCATGTGCGCACAAACTGACTTCACTATTTTTTTTCACCCTTTTTGTCTCATTCATGTCTAGTAGTACTTCTAACAAAATAAAATCAAGCAGATGTTTTGTTTATGTTTGCAGTTTCTAAGTTTTCAGGACTCAGAGAGATGTTCACCCAAAGCATAACCAAGAGTATTTCAAAAGTCGCAGCAAACATGGCAGCATAGTAGAACATTTCAAACAAATGTCTTTAGACAGTCAGATGGTGTGCACTGGTTTCTCTCGTATATAGTCTTATAAAATAGGTGTGTGTTTTTCTTTTCTCTCTCTCTTATTCAAAAACAGTGCGAAGAAAGTACAAGCAGCCACTTAAGAAACAGTCAAATCAGGACCAAATATGTTCACATGAAGAAAGAATTTCACCCTCTTCAGAGGACACAAAGTCTGCAAAATGACAAGTCAACGGGAACAGAGGATTTATAATGTCCGGTAGACAGATACAGATGTAAAATCAATAAACACATCGAACACACACCAACCTCGGTACAGTCTAAGGACATGTTAGTTGACCCTTCCAGCGTCTGACAGAGTTCATCATTCCTGAGTGGCAGAAGGATGTCTCCAGTCAGAGCTGGTACTCATTGTCTCCACCTCTCTGGCATCCAGCTCACTTCTGGAAGTCATTATTTATCCTGAAAGAAAGGGTCCATTAATTTTGCCGACCGGCTGAAAGAAGCTCTGGTTCAGCTCGCCAACAAAATTTAATAATCCGTGGGAGTAGCTGGAGTCTTGTGCTGTAAGCGTAAAAATGAACAGAAAACTGTCTGCAATTAAACTCACAAAGCTGCAACGAATGCCGGCAACCATTACTGATTTTGGATTTGGAGGAAAGCTGGTTTTTCAGGGTTTTTTATGATCTTAAATTTAAATATCATTGAAGTAATTAACCTTACAGCTGTGAAAACATAAAAGGGGCAATTTCAGCCTGTTGAACATCAGTTTTATTGTCAACAACATTCCTGCAAATGTACATGGCTTTACTCCTGAAGGCCTGACATGTATTTACTAGCGCTGTAAGCTATTATGCTCACCACTGTATCCACTATAATAAGGTTGGTTAGCTTTCCCCGACCAGAGATGAAATTACCATTGGTGATTACATATTTATGAAATTCTGTATGGAAAATGACCCTCATACTTCAAATCTTTGCTGACCTAGAGTCCTGGTCCACTTTTAACCCACTACAGTAACTCTTTAAGGTTATTTAGGACAAACACTCAGTCTGCTGCTCTGATGCTGCAGATTCCTGGACTCTCCTGAGAGACTTCTTGAAAGCTCTTATCTTTGGAGACTTAAAGGAATGTACGTAAAAATCTCTGGAAAGTTGGCTTCAAAAGAGGAAGTGCACTTTTGAATTTAAAGCTAAGAGTCTTGAGAAGTTTTCACAACAATCTGAGTGACAAAAATTCATTAACAATATTAGAAAAACTTGTTTTGCTATTCCTTTGTTATTTATAAAGCTTGGATTATGAAAAATCGAAGGTAAAATGAGCTGCAGACAAACATAACTGCCAATAATTACTTAGTTTTGTCAGAATGCTCTTAATTTGTCGAGGAGAGGGGACAAATTACTCAAATCTCATGTCTACTTGCAAAAAGGATCATTCTACTCCAGCTCAAACCCGAGTCAAAGACTTCCACCATGTTTTTGCTCAATATACATGAATTATGAGAGGCAGTGTTTCAGGCAGGGAAAACAAGAATGTTATAACTGCTGATGATTTATGAAAAATAAGGAGTAAAATGAAATATAACGCCTCCAACTGTAGATCTTTTGTGAGTTATAACTGTTACAGGATCTTAAATTAATGGCTAAAACCAGACACACTCCCAAAGTTCCAAAACAAACACAAAATTAAAGTTGCTCAAGAAAGTAAAGGATCAGTAACAGTCAGTCAAATACGGCTGACAGCTAAATAGAGCTAAAGGGACAAAAGACATGATTGAAATGTACAAGAGTCACAAACAACTGCACAGGAATGTTTATGCTGCTTGAGGTCTGCTGGAGGAGCAACTATTTACAAGCTAAACTGTATTTACACATTCACTCCGCAGCCTGTTTTTCTTTAGACTATTTTGGTCAGAGAAACAGTTTTAAAGTTGTGTGGGTGATAAACCAGCAAAAAACGTAACCAATATTGGCTTGTGGGTGTTAGTCTGAAAGGAGGACCAAAGGTTTGTGGTGCTAGCTTAACTAAGCTAATGTTAGCAAAACTAGCCAAACCAATTTGACATAATGGCATGACATAGACACATAAAACGCAATTTGCTTTAAGTTTAACTGTTTTTCTTTTTCTTTTTCTTTTTTCCTTTTTTTTTTTTTGGAGCGGTGAGACTTAACAAGTTGGAACAGATGATATCTCCTATACGCAACTGAAGATCTGACTTCTACTCTGGATTTTTTGGTAACTGATCAAAATACAACAGTTCAGCTCCCCACTTCAGATTTGTTATCAGAGACAAACGAAGACACTGTGAATAAGGGTAATAAGGTGGTGATGTTGCTTTAAAAGGATACTCTTTCAGTAACATGGTTAAAGCTCCTATAAGGATTTTTTTATGTTTATGAAATTAACAGAAAGTCATGGATGTTCTTTTTCATGAGATACAAAAGCAAACCAAACTAAAATCAACAAGACTGAAGATCATAATATCCTTATTGTAATTGTCTAAAACCCAAGTGAGGGGGTTGGTCCAGGTCTTGACGCCATAGACAAACACCTGTTTTTACTATTTCCACCTAAAAAGAGCAGACAGGATAAAAAAGACTGCAAGCACTGACACAAACTAAAGGTTCCTCACTGAAGCTTTAACCCTAATTCCTGTTAGCATTGGCTCAGGCTTATTGTTTGGTGTTACAACGAGGCTGAGTGTTTTCTGTGATATCTAACACTATTTGGGTTTATCTTAGCTCTGTTTTACAGTCACTTCTGAGGAATCAGACACAGTAGCACAAACAGATCATCTCAGCTGTTTCAGCTGCTCTGCGGCTGAATATTTGGGCTATTAAATAACATTTTATTTTACAAATGGTCCACTTCTGGTTGATCAAACAGAGTGTGTCTTGGCGGTGGGAGGATGGCTCAGCCTCTGTCTTTTTGAGTGGTTTATCAGTTTTTACCTGACACCCACACAGATAAAATGCCAGGAAATGAAAACGTTTGAACGATTTTTGTTTTTGAAGTTTAATTACACAGCCGTCTCTTCAGATTATTAATGATCAAAAGTATTATTTAAGGTCAGCAAAACCTTTTCCTTTTATCAATAACATAATTTAATAACTTTTATGTGATGGCATTTCATATCATCTGAAGATAATAAATGACTAAAACTGAAACTTGCAGCAAAAGGTGCTACAAGGTTTCATTAAATTTCCAGTGACCCGGTGTCTGAACCTGATAATCCGATTCCTTAAACGAATGAGTCATTTTAATAGAAAAGAAAAAGGATTGTTCGACTCCTGTTACCATTTGGGGGTAAACGCAGATGTGGTGTTTCCTTTGAAGCCTTGACCTTGTCTCTAAACCTTCTCACTGTCACACTATCCAGTCACTGGCAGCTGATAGTGAGAGAAATCCTCCCAGCGTCTCTGCAGCAACACTAAAACAAAAAAAACCTGGAGTTTTGAGGTGAAGCAGTGGGGGGTTGAGCCGTCGGTCAAGTGCCTTGCAGAAGAGCACCACAACAACTTGTAAACATCCCTGGATGACCTCAATAAGCAGCTCCATGGACCCTGTGGTTTCTGACTATTACTGCCTTTCAGTGCTGTCAAAGCAAACACATGAGTTCAACATTGCACAGAGCAAGGCCGGTCTACCAAATAGATTACAGGACTTCCAAACAGCTATGGAAAACAGTTCAGCTGTAGGCTACTGTAGGCTAATCCTGATCTAGCTGCACAGACTCACTTGACCCCTACTGTGCTGCCCTTCAAGATGTTGCCACAAACCCCCAGGATACAAAGATGAACAGGAGGCAGGAGATATTTAGACACAAGGAAAAAAAGATCATGCCATTTCCTTTTGTGTGTTTTTTGCAGAGAAGCCGAACACAGAGTTGACAATTTAATTTGTGAGATTATTGCGCAGTTATGCTGAGTTTTTGAGGTTGAATGAAGTCCAGAGAGCCTCAGTTAGCTTCCTACAATTATGCTACTCTAAATTTTGGCAAATGTAGAGTGCGAAGAAGAGAGAAGAGCCTTTACAACCTCCACTTAGCTTTCTGCTCTTATCTGCTCTCACTTTAGGCAATCTTAACACATCTTCAAAACAACATACATGACTTCTGGTTTCACAAGATTTCTTACTGTTATGATTGAGGCTAAAAATCAATCAGAATACTTAAATGTATAATTTTACCCGACTTAACATGTCCCATTGCAGTCTCTAACACGGGGAGTCCCTGAGCTCCATCATGCTGTAGGTTCCTCTGGACCGCAGCTGCAAACATTTTGCTGCCTGTTTTCCAGCTGCTTCAACGATGAGCAACAGTCTCACCATTTTTAACCACAGTTACAAAGACAATGGTCATTTATAAACACCAGTCTTCTTATTCTTTCTGTTTTCATAAATCTAATTCTCATCCCCATTATCAACCTCAACTTTATTATTACAAATGCTGTCACTGATATGCTATTACTATAGACCTGGATCAGACAACAGACTTGTTCTTAGAGAGTTTGCGAATATCACTCTAGCTTGTGAACCAAACACATGATGAATCAACCCAAAATTTCTACACAAAGGGCAAGGCTAAATCTGACAAGATTGCACTGCTCCTGCAGTCGCGCACATTATGCATGAATACTGGTGCACTCAGCATTGGATTCCCCTCCGAAAAAAGATAAGCACAAAGGTCAAAGCCAAAAAAGACGCCACACATGATGTGACAGGAGCGTTTCTGTGGTGCTTGACTTTCTACACAAAAACAGCTCAAGGTCATTTCATCTTTTCCCATCCAAAGATTCCATAGCCTCCCCAAAAGCAAGCGGAAACGGATGTTGACCGGCTCCACAGAGAGACTCGGTTAATTACTATATAAAGTAAGGGAGTATAAGAGGGGAAGTGATCGGCGGTGCCAGAAAATCCCCAAAATCCGATTTTGATATTCAAGTATTCACACACTTGAACACATGCTGTAAGAGGGGGTTTGGCCTCTCACCACAGATAAACCACCTCTGTGAAACAAACACCCCAGTGATGGTTTAAACAATCCTACACAAGCTAATCTTTTCTGTCCCATGTTTGCTTCATTTTAGCCAAGGTTCACAGTCCTGCTTTTTCTTTATTTAAAAATAATGCAGATTTTATGTCTTAATTCATGGTTATCTCTGCCAGTAACATGCGATTCAAATAATTGTTTAGTTTTACTGAAGCTGATATTGGGATAAATACAGAAACTATAATAAAAAGGCCTGCTCTTTTGTGGTGGTAAGTCTTGTGGTGTCAGCTTGGATGCAAAATCGAGTCTGTTCTTCAACTTACGTTATGTAGTTTTGTTCAGTGTTGTTGTTTCCACATGCAGTCAGATTTCAGGATATTGCATTATTATTCTCCTGCACCTTCCTGCACATATGTGCTGCTGTTTAAGGCAAATTTTGTTTATACTGTGTACAGGTTTTGCTTACATAGCTTTACATCATTCAATAGTGTTATCTGTTTCTATCATCAGGTTCTTCAGCAGTCATAATACTGCTGCTGCTGCAAAAAGAAAAGCCTCTCACTTACTTGTATACTTCTAGTTTATCGGCCTGTTTTGAATTTTTTTTGTACGTGTAATACTCAACAATAACACCATTTCTGATTCATATTCAATGCACTGCTTTCACGTTTTTTTTTTTTTTTAATTCTGTCTGTATCAGGCACAAAGACATCTAGCTCACATTTCATCAATGATTACTGGTTTCTTTGTCACTTTTTTTTTGCACCAAAAATTTTTTCTTTTTTTTTTCTTTTTTTTTTTATGGTGTACCAGAGCAGATTTGTGTAAATGTTGCATTTTTCACAGATATAGCAGGTGTTAGTTGACATAAAAGAAGCAGATATAAAAAATAAAAAAAAGTAACATTATAATGATTAAAAGGTGCAAATATGTGAAGGGGACTCTAAGTAAATAGAGAGATAAATAAAAGGCAACTTTCTCCAGACACGATCTATTTTGGAGAGCCCTAGAAATAATTTAAATGTATTCTCCACATTCTCTCAATCATTTCAATGATAAATAATAAAATGAGTGACGAATATCTACCAGATTCCTTGTTTGAAGGCCAGAAGACAGCGTCTATTGCCTGCAGCCTAGCAGCTGGTTGATAACAGCTGCTTGTTTACACAGTGATAAGCGTCTCTTGAAGTGGCTGGTATTCACATCAACCTCATTCTTAAAACTTAATTACAGTTCCACAAAAACAGAGACCAACCAGAGCCTAGGGGTCACACTCATTCACGAGGACATTCATAAGGACGTATCACGAGATCAATCCGAGGAAACAGTAAATGATAATAACATGAGGATAAAATATTTCCCATCACACGTAATCATTTAACAGAAAACTGTTTATAAAATATGATAAACACAGCTGACATCTGGGAATAATTGAATGACCCAGAGTCTGCTGGAATAAACTCTAGATGAAAATATCATAGTCTCGGTAATGATTTCCTTCTCACTTTGATTCTGTCACCTGTTGACCAATCCAAATGCGCAGATCTTCGTCCGTATGCGCAGTTACAGGCCCGACTACCTGTTGCATGTAGACTGAATACATGATCATAAATCTACGGGACAGTTTAGAGAAATGTCCCGCCTGCAGAGCTGCACGTCAACAGACCCGAATAAACAAGTCTCCAAACACAGGGACAGAAAATCTTACCGCTTATCCCAGAGACAAAAAGTTGTTACTTCGACAGCAAGAAGTCCCGCAGCAGAGTCATGAATTGGTAAAGTGATGAGTAAAAGTTGTTGAAAAAGATGTTGGAGCCGCAGAGAAGCCGAACACCGAGTTGACTTCACCACTTGACAGGCAGCGTTCATGTCGCTCTCTGCCCGGAGGCAAACGACCAGCTGTGTTAAGGGAAACGCTGTCAAGCGTATGAGGCAACACATAAGACATCCGGTAGCCCTTTCAAAATTAATGTCTTGTTATTTCTTTTTTCTTGGTAGCTTTTTTCCTCTACATACTTGCTCGTCTTGCCTTTTTTCGTTTCATTGAAGATATTCCGTAAATCAGTGGATATTTATGCCACTTTTTTCTTTCTTTCACTCCTACCTCTTTTACTGAAGAGATGTCAAAATTATCACACTAAGTTTGTTCTGCAAGACTGACTTAATAGATACATTTCAAATAAAAAATGTTTTTTAGATTTTGATTTTAAAAGATCGGTTTATAAAAAAATACATCATTAATGTTTCCACTAGTGTGGCTCACTGTTGTTAAAATATCAGTTTTAATTTATCGTAATCAAAATAATAAATAAATGAAGCCAAACGAAAAGTAGTGAATGGTCGTGAGAAATAACCCTTATCCCAGAAATAAAATCAAACAAATACTTTGAAACTTAAGAAATAAAAACTAACTAGCTAACAAACTGAATAAATAGATATGTAGCACTTTCGCCATTCCATTTAACTAAAATGTAAACAGGCTGGTGAGCAACTTACTTAAAAAAAAAATCCTTGTCTATACATGGTCACAAAGTCTAAGGTCTTCTTTTGAACAGCCAAACCTTGTATTATGTATTTTCAGAGCTCACCGCGTTTAGCTCGTGCTTTATTTTGAAGTCAGCCGCAAAACTTTTGTTTCTCTATAATTACTTGAACTTGACGCTGTTCATAGAAAGTCGCCCAAAGACGTCAGATTAAAACCACACCTTCCTGTTGAGAGTATACAACCCGCCCAAGGCCTGTCGATCAAATTTAAATTGAGACGATTAATCGAATTCACGTTTCCTTTTCAATTTAAGTCAGAGTGAAACACGTTTGACATGCATTTTGTGCAGTTTTGAAGTAAACGTTTTTGGATTTTTTTTAATGAAATAAATGACTCATAAAAAAGCTTTAAAAAGGCAGTTTGATCATTGTTTTCTGTCCTGATTGTAAACACATAAACAAAAATCGCTTCATGTTTACACACATTGTTTGGAGCCTCCATCTCATCTGCCTGACTCTGAGAAATCCTCACTCTTATTTATTTAGAGGCTCCATCACTGCTTAATATTTTCTCCTATTTTCTCAACAACGTCTACCCTTAATGTATTATGGGTCTGTTTTCATTGTGTTTGGAGATTTGATATAGTGTAGCTGAATATTAGGAAAACATTTCCGTTCTTCTGAAGCCCAAAGAGACAGAAAAATGTTTCAATAAGTGAAGTCTATTTTCATTTGTGTCTTGTGCTCAAGAATAATTTCCGACTGAGGAAAAAAGCTCCTGGTAGATTTATTTACAAAGTAGCTGAAGATGAAAATTCTGTAAATGTGATTCATTTAAATGAACAGCGGGTAATTGTCTAATTCAGTTGTTTGTTTATCACCTCTGGTTTCACAAGCAGTAGTTAGAAATAAAGATCTTCTAGCTTTCAAGTGTACCTTTACCTGCAGTCCAATGAAGTAAGACAAAATGGTGTTTTTAAAATAAAGAAAAAGCTAAATCATTATGAAACCTCTAAAAAGTTTGCAGTAAGGAACATTCCATCCCTCTTGGTCTTGTTGTCTTGTTGTTGCTTTCTCGTGTGCAACAAACGCTGACAGACTTGGACCGCTGTAAAGAGATTCATAGATTTAACAGTAAGAAACTATAAAACTCCAATAGTAAATGACCATGAGTAAATTTTACTTTACTCGCAGTGAAAAACGTAAACACTGTATTAAAAAAAAAGAAAAATACTGTAAGAATATTTTATAGTGATATTCAGTAAAAGTTACTGGAAGGTACCGTCAGTTGCACAAACCACGGGGATTTAAATGGAATAGTGATTTGAAATCCAATACAATCATGGCAGTGAAATTTGCTATAATGTTACTACTTAAATGAGATAATTTGTTGTAAAATGAAAGTAAATGAATGTAAAACGATGTTGCTTCTGGTAAAAACTTGTGCATTCTATGGTATGTGACAAATTAATCTTTAACTCTGACCGTTAAATTTATGGCCCTGATTTCCCTTTACTGTTACCGCAAAAAAAGGTTGTACTATATTTACCAGGTAAAGTTCTGGAAACCCAGCTGCAAGTTTGTCCAAACAAAAGCCAAAATACTATTGTCACCAAAATCCCATCCCTTGCATCACAGATTTGGCTTTTTTTCTGGTGTGTAAACAGACTCATCAACTGAGGAGAGAATGACAAACTAAGAACATAAACTCAGTAAGATACCAGTGATCGTTACTCCACTACTTTGTGAAAGTCATGGTCAGGGTTAAACCTCTAATCCTTGTGAAGGTCTGTGTTTGTCGCCTAGAAACATTATTGATCCATTTTACCTGAAAGCTGGCTGACTGGCCTTGCAGAGGTCTGGACCTGTGTCCTATCGCGAGCAGCAGACCTCAAGTCTGACCTTGGCCTTCCTCTGGGCTCATTAGCAAAGAGTCCAGAGAGGAAATTGTTCATGAATCTGCAGCCAATGCAGCAAAGGGGCCAAAAACAGGCCAAGAAAACAAACAATGCTATTTGAAGAGCAATGATGCCAGGGTAATTCAACAGTGTTATGCAATCAGAGGTCTCCTGGAGACTAAATAAAGCTACACTTCAGAGCTGCAGGGCCTGTATCATCTAAAAAAATATAGACTAAATAAATACCAGGAGTGAAATATTAAACAACTGAGATTTAAAAAATGTAGGTTTCTGTTTAAGCCTAATAGATTGTAGTACAGTAAAATGCTTTTGTTTTGAAGTTTTGAATTTACTTTGTTAGACTGTTAATTCAGATTAACTAAACAGAAGATTTCTGTCGAAATCTAGCTTTGGCTCTGGAGTCAGTCTGTGCTGGTTAATTTGTCTCTCAATCAAACAGAGACAAACACGTTGTTCCACTTTGTAAAGTGCATCATCACACCTCTAAATCACCATGTCAGTGTGGTTTTGCTGATTAGCCACTCTGTTAATTGTAGGGCTGCTCTTGTTTATGCACTCTATCCCTGCAAGCTGTGGCTCCACAATGTCGTACACCAGCAGCTCCATCAGTGCTACAGCTCAGATGCAAAATAAATAAAAGGAGAAAAAAAGTAAAAAAATAAAAATAAAAAAATAAAAAAGCAAATATGCTCCCTGTTGCAATTAGAGAAGCACTAAGGAACATAATGCACCATTTATTAGCTCTTGTACCTGGAATATATCCTCCAGATTCAATTCCCCCTCTGCACCTGCTCCCCCAGGAGGCAGAGGAGCTGAGTATGTCTGAAAGAGCTTTTTCACCTGATAATTTTCTTTCAAGACAAAATTTCTTTTTCCCAGTCCTGGGCCACCACCTCCTTTACCACCACACCTGGCGAGATAATCATCCGGAATTACGATGTGCTCATTTCTCACCTCTTAAAATCCAATTTGGGTGATTATAGTTGGTGGCTGCTTCAGGAGCTCATTTGACATTGGCGGGTAATGGACTTCAGTCTTTACATTCTGGCCAAGCCTGCATGAGTGCTCCACAGGCTGCAAAAGTGCAAATTGTGCCAGGAGATGTGACTACGGTGTCCCCCAAGCTGCTATCATTTAGTTTATGAGGAGCTGAAGTGGCAATTTGGCCCTTCAAATTGGGCTTTTAACCTCAGTTATAATGATGGACTATAACAAATGAACATTAGAAGAACCTGGACCTGCTGGTTTCATCATCTCCACTCTTCACTGCTCAGGCACAAAAGTAAGTATCCACACAATAAATGCTTTTTCCCTTTTTATCTGATTTCTATTATTCCTATTTAAATGCTTCCTCCATGACCTTTGACCCCAATATATTGATAGCTAGTGGATGGTGCTTTTTATTCCAGGTTTGATGGTCTGCAGGTGGTTCATCAACAAATTTATTTCTGTAATTATCAAGTAGTTTAATCATGGTTTCAGCTGGTTATGAAGATACCTGAGGCCTTAATATGAACAAAAAAAGTTCAAATAAAGTGTAAATAAGTGAAGCGTTAGTGTTAGAAATTAAATCAATAGTTATATTTTTTCTGCCTTTCATCTCCCCTCATTCTTTCTTTCTGATTTCTTTCTTTTATGTCTCTTTTCTTTCATTTTAATTTTTTCATCCTTTCTTTCCTTTCTTTTTCCTCTCTGCCTTTATTATTCTTCAATCTTTATTCTTATTTCATCTCTTCCTTCTTTTATTTGTTTCTTTGTTCTTTCTTTCTTTCTTTCCTTCCTTCACATGTTCTCTGCACTTTTCCCTTTGTCTTCTCTATTTGGAGATGTTTGGAGCATCTTCAGCTTTTATTTGTTGAAGTCTTATCAAGATTGTTAAACTGTCAGCTATTCTGTCAACTTTGTTGCTCTAAATTTTCCTGTGTTTTGCACAGCTTAAACCTGAGTCCCCTTTCAGAGAAATCTGGGAGTTCGAAATCACAATTTCTGCCAAATTTCCTAAAATGAAATATGATTTTGAGAGATAATATCCACTTCATCGGAGGCCCGGAGCTTGTGTTGTGATGTTAGAGTGGGAGGAAGTAATAGTGGTTATGTGGACAGAACAGAACATGTCAGATTCTGACCAGATTGAGTACTTTCTGCTTCCTGTTATCCACAAGCAATAAGCACTGAGTTTAGAGACAATATAAGTGGTTGCTGTTGGGTTCACTGAGCTTGAATAATATACACTGAGGTTAGGGACTGATTGCAGCCATGGTTAAAAGGGAAAATCCAGCATGCTTGAACCAAATCAGGTTTGAACACTGTGAGGCTTAGGACAATAAAACTATATAAAAACTAAATGACTCCTTTGAAAAGTTTTCAGTATCCCTCCAGGTCTAGAGCAAATTTAATTACATGTTTCATTGTGTTTTGCATGGTTTCTGGCCTGTTTGGGATTATGTGTAATACCTGCATAGATCT